CCTTTTCCCCTTTCCCCCAATCCAAACACAAAAACCCCCCATCAATCACTCCCACTCCCCCTCCCTCCCTCCTTCCACCCCCCAAAAAGAAGGACTCGGCGGCGGGTTCGGCGGCGGCGACGGCGGCTCACTCCATGATTTATTATCTAGCTCCTGCTCGGTTGTCCTTGGCGCTGCTGCGAGGGGTTTGTGGATCTGCATTTTTGTTTTCTTTTGATGGTGTTGTTGGTGTTGGTGGTGGTGGTGTTGTGAGGTGTTGTGAGGTGTCGTGTTATGAATGAGGTTGGAAGTGAGTGAATAAGTGAATAAGTGAGGTGATTTTACCCCCCCTCCCGATCTATTATTTATCTGATAAATGAGTGGATAGGATAGGATAGATGAGCAGGAGGTTAATATCAAATATGAATATATCAATATTCGAAGTCAAGCTCCAGGTCTCTATCTATATGGCAAACCCCAAACTCCAAACCCCAAACCCAAACAACAACACAGAAGTAATAATAATAATACTCCCTCCCCTCCTCTCCCCCCTCCCTCTCTATCCCTCCCCCCTCTTCTCTCAATCTCAATCCCACACAACTCCAAACACAACGCTATTTGACACCTACCTACTTTATATCCCCTCCTTTCATTCATTCTTCCCTCCCTCCTGTGCAATTTAAATTCATTGATTCATTAATTCATTAATTCCCCTTCGAGGCCCTTTCTTTTTTCTTACTTTTCTTCCAATTCCAATTCCATAAGGTAAGGTACATGAGAGGGAGGGAGGGAGGGAGGGAGGGGGAGAAGTTTCTTCCCGCCGGGCTACCGCAGCCGCAGCCGCGAGCCGCGTTAACCATGCAAAACGCAAACGCAAACAGACAAGGAGGGAGGGGCGGGTGCCACGTCGTCGTGGGGAGGAGGAGCGGTGGGACGAAAACGAGGTCTCTCTCTCTTTTGTGCGTGTGTGTGTGTATGTGTGTTCCTGTGGGTTGAGAGAGGGAGAGAGGCGGGAAGGGAAGAATCGAGGGTTGGTGCAGAAGGGGGGGAGGGTGGTATGTTAGCCTCACGTCGACGTCGACACAACCCATGCAATCAAATTAATCAATCAATCAATCAGAGCAGCGGCGTGGTGGTAATTCTTTTCTTTCTCTCTTTCTTTATTTCTCTTGCGTGCACTATCTAGGATGGATGGGATGGTTCGGGGGAAGAGGACGGATGGAGGTAACAGGAGAAATAACGTGAAACTTTAAAAGAAAAAAATAAAACCAAACCACACAATCATCATCGCTATCATTCGCCTTATGCTTCCTGCTAATGTTGGGTTGACAATGACATGCCGTCTGTCCACCGCCGCAAGCATGTAGTCCACGTCATTACACGCGCCAGAAGAGGTATCGTATCAAAAAGTGCTGGTGGGAAAGGTCTGGGGAGGCGGCATACCAAATGCTGTCAAGATCTAGACCATCAGGGTTGCCCCCGTCTCGGGGGTCCTTGCTGGCCGGGAGGGCCTCTGCGTTAGATGCCAAGTCGCCCCCTATTGTACCTGGCTGACAATCTCGCTTGCGCGGGATAGTGACTCGACCATCTGCTGGCATTCCTTTCTCCGGCGGACCGTGTAGTCACTTTCTTTCAGGAGGTCATCGAGCGTATCAGTCCGGTACATGTTCTCAAGAAGTTCTCGCTGCATCTCATCCTTCGTGAATCTGGGAGGCGTTAATTGCGAACGTGATATTCTGCATGGCTAATACTTACTGCACGAGGTTCAGCATGATTGCCTTGGGTACCATATCGATCAATGTCTTCTTAACGATATTGTAGTAGGAGTTGATGAGAAGTTCTAACCAGGTCAGTAGGAAGATAAAATTCAAGAATAGCATTCGACTTACTGATGACCTCAACCTCGATGGTCTCTCTCTCTGACAGTGTGCCAGATGCCTTCAGGGTTGGTGGTGGAGGTTCCATGGCCGCCATCTTCTTCTTGTTCTTTGATGCAAAAAAGCTGCCGAAGAAGCCACCATCTGACCCGTTCGTATCAAGTGGGGGACTTCCTGCCCGCGCCGGTGTGGACGGTATTGGTTTTCCTGTCTTGGGATCAACTTGGACAGGTTTTGATTGGCTGTGTCGTTCATTGACAATTGCCATGGCCTGATAAACGTATTAGTGATGGTGATGACCTAATCCATACGGGCAACTTACTCTGTGACCATTCAAAAAGTCAGGGTGTCCGGTGTTGATATAGCAAGACTCCATAGAGACCAAGTCTTTGACGAGCTTGTTTGTAGGATCCATAACCTTCTTGAAGAACGCGATGACAACCGCGTGGAATTTCTCCTTTAGCTGGGGGTACCGTCGGAAGAGTTGCTTCCCCAGTAACTGTGTGAGAATACGGACAAGCTCATCGTATACTAATGATACACACTTCAAACTTGGCTCTTCTAATCGTCTGATTTGTTGCTTGACAATGAGTTCGAAAGCAGCAGTACCGACGAAGAGGGACGGGGAGGATCCGGAAGAGTTGTAGAGGACGGTTCTGATGTCGACATCCTTGACTTGGTCAAAAGGATCCACGGCCTTGATACCATTGGAGTACAGCTCGTGGAAAACGAAACTGATTCTAGCACCTCCTGAAAGCTCAACACTCGATAATTCGGTATTATTTCCTTCCAGGACAGTGCGCCATTCGTTCGAGAATTCGGTGATGATGTTAAGCACGATGTTTGCGCTGTTGCCCAGCATGGAGTCACCCAGGCTTTGGAGTTCTGCAGAGTATTTCTGCAGCGAAGCTTGGATGCGCGCCTTGATATCTGGTAGGGTCTGCTTGATATGCATCATTAAGATAAGATTCAGCTTCCTCGCCAGGTAAGGTGTTCCGCAGTACGAGCTCTTGTTTCGGTATGCCTTGTGGTTTTCGAAGAAGTTCTTCTCATTATCCAACGCGGCGGTGATTGGCTTCCTGTTGTCAATATCCCGCTGCCCCCGGTTCACCACTGGGACGTATCCTAATCGGAGGGGAATAATTCTTCCAGCCAAGATATCCACGACATCTGTTCCCTCGTCCATCAGATCCACCTTTGTCAGAACACCGATCGTCCTTTGCCCTTCGGGGTCAACTTCTCGGGCGAGCTTCAGACCATCTGAGTTGGCCAAATCGGTGTTCGCTCCCGTCACCGCAAGAATGATCGCATTAGGTTTGCTGATCTGCTTGAGCACCATCTCCCTGATCTGTCTCTCGATATCCCTTGGTTGATCACCGACTGGGACCTTTGTCAGACCGGGTAAGTCGACGAGTGTAAGGGTGAGGACATTGGGAGAGTATATTCGGAGGTTGATAGGAGCGGGGGAGATGCCGGCATTGCGGCCAGTCTTTGCCTCTGTCTCCTTAACAATCTCGTCTCGAATCTTGTTGAAATCATAAAACTTCTGGCCTGGAATATGGAGGAACTCGCCCCACTCGTCGACGTTTGCTTCCTTATCAGAATCTGTGTTTACCTCATCCTTGAGCCCATTTGTCTTTGCTGCTGGTGCGCGGTTAATGAGCTGAAGAACGAGCGGCCTTCTCGTCACAATTCCAGTGCCTCGGGGTAAACTGCAGTACAGGTTAGGTATGATTCCGGTTGAGGGTATCTGTCCTTACAAGTCTCGTCCTACTATGTTCTCCAGCACGGAACTCTTCCCACTTGACTGACTGCCCACGACCACTATTTGAGGAAGATCGATAGGATTCTGGACACCGACCGTCGTGAACACATCTTGCAGCTTGTTGACCAACCTACGGGACTTGTCAGCGTCACGGCGCAAAGCAGAGAAGCCCAGGGGATACTGACGTTATTAGGCCAGGATCTGAGATGCCTCCGGCGGCTTGTGAGGACATTTTGAAAGGGGGGGACGAATCTGCAACCAGCGTCGCTTTCTGGAGGTCTTTGAGAAGGGATGGATAGGAGGGGAAGTGAAGGTTATAGCCGCGTTGTCGACGATGCGGTTGCCTTTGAGATTCTCGTGGGAGTTGCGTGCCCTCGTACGCAGCGGTATGCTGTACAAAAGTACATGACTGTTCCCGCTATGGCAAGGGGCTTGGCGATCTGTGGCTGAAATGTGATGCCTGAGGATGCCTGGCATCAACGGTCAAACGGTCAACACCACCGCCACGGCAACGGCCAAGCACTTGACGAGTGGTGGGAATAAGTAACGACTGTCCTGTACCTTGAGACTGGCCTTGGAATAACCTTAGTCTCCACGGTCTGTCTTTGACCCCGGCCCGTAATGTAAGTTTCTATTGCAAATTACGGAGTATCATATTCAGAAGTGGGCGTGCTAAGGCGGGCGTGAAGCCAAACGCCTCAACCCACTAAAATCTCAGAATCCAAAGAGACCTCCTATCTACCTATTCACGAAAACTCATACAGTGACTGATTCATATGCCAGCCTATATATTCCAAACATTCTATCCTCGTATTTATCGTTGTGACCAGTTCAAGTTCCCACCCCTGAGCCTGGGTCTCATATCAGCACCTCTCGCTCTCACCTGGATATCGTGACTGGAATCAAGTCACCCCTTCTCCCTCGTTCACCATGGCTCCAAAGACAATAACCATTATTGGCTCTCTAAACACTGACCTCGTCACCCACACTCCCCGGGTGCCCATCGGCGGCGAGACCCTCACGGCGACCTCTTTCTCCACGGGCTCCGGTGGTAAAGGCGCCAACCAAGCCGTAGCATGTGCGCGGCTCTCCCGACCCAAGCCCTCTTCATCCCAGACGCACCCAACCTCGGATGTCGTGGTCAAGATGGTGGGAGGCGTGGGGCATGACGAGTTCGGCCCCCCGTTAGTCGAGTCCATGAAGCGGGATGGCATCGACACGTCAGGGATCAGGATTGTCGAGGGACAGACGACCGGCGTTGCTGTGATTATTGTCGAGGAGGGTTCCGGCGAGAACCGCATCCTCTTGAACCCGGGAGCAAATTACACTCTCAAAGCTGAAGATTTCCGCGCTCCTGAATCTCTGGGCACGCCACTTCCGGATATGATAGTCATGCAGCTGGAAATCCCGCTAGAGACAGTGTTACAGATTCTGGACACGGCGAAGAAGGCTGGGGTAGATGTCTTGCTTAACCCCGCGCCTGCTGTGAAGTTGCCCGAGGAAGCATATACCGCTATCACGCACTTGATCGTCAATGAGAGCGAAGCAGCGATTTTGAGTGGACGAAGGGTTGAAGAAGTGGAAAAGGAGGGGTTTGAGTGGGAGGGACTTGCGTCGGAGTTTTTGCGGAAAGGCGTCCAGAATGTGGTTGTGACGTTGGGTGCCAAGGGGGCTTATTATGCCACAGCAGCAGGAGGGGCGGGCTACATTAAGGCGGAGAAGGTTGAGAAAGTCGTGGATACGACAGCGGCAGGTGATACGTTTGTAGGTGCGTATGCCGTCAGTATTGTGCGGAAGTCTTTGCCCTCTGGCACTAGCCTATCTGAAGAATACAAGCACAAGCCTCTTGATGAGGAGGTTATCAGATTCGCATGTAAAGCTGCCGCTCGGACAGTGGAGAAGAGAGGCGCACAGAGCGCGATACCTTGGGCTGATGAAATCGAGAGACATGATGCAAGGGGAGGCTTAAAATAAGGTACGAAATACAGGGATCCCTCGGATTATAGAATTGGGCTTGTTAGACGTTACTGGCATCTTGTTCATTAATATAAGGTAGCCATTTGTAGAGGGGTTTGGTAGCTTAGACTTCTTCTAGAGCCCCCTCAAACTAGCCTAAAACCGCAGAAAAGGAATATAGACATTGGTTAAGGTACATATCTCTTTCTCCAATTCTGCAATGTTGAGATGAGGAAAATCCCTAAGTTTATTCAATATTTCGAAGGACACTGAATACAGTAACCTAGGTATGCATCTGCTTCGTCTTGCCAACCGTAAGGTACCCATGACAATCTATACGAGCTGTGCTGTCTAGAAAGAAAAGAACATAAAAAGACCCCAGCCGTAGACCCGCTTCCTCTGTGCCCAAACACCTAAACAAATGCCCAGAAATGCTCCATTCCCCATTCCCAGCCTCAGCTCTGAGTCGTTCTCCAGATTCGCCGTCCAATGTGATGATGCAATCCAGTCTTGTTCTACGTTACAGCAAGGCTCAAATCATTGTGATCCATCAGACTGCCTTGAACCTTACGATGATTTCAACCGAGGATCTTCGTTGGACCATCTATCAACATTAGCTCTATGCAACACTAATGGCTTCGTTATAAATTTTTACTCACATCCGAACTACTTTGTCGTCGCCTGCCGAGGCAAACATGCACGGATTTTTGGGATTCCATGAAACAGAATTGCAAAATCCCCTCGCGTGCCCATCTAACTTCTCGACAAGAACTCCATTTTCTCTATGCCAGATATAGATGTAGCCGTCTAAGCCAAAGTGTGAGTAAGTCGAACATCGTTTTTGAGTTCTGTGAACATACCTTTGCTCCCCGTCACGACGAAGCTCTCGTTAGCTCCACCAAAGGTGCATCTGATGATGAATTCATTTGATAGATCACCGGTGTTGAAAACTCGAACGAATTCTCGGCTGTCTAAATCAAACATACGGGCCTCGCCGTCGGTTTTGTTGATAAGAAGATATTTCGAATCTTGACTGATGGCGACGGATGCTAACTTCGATTTGAGATCTATCTCATACTCGAGCTCGCGTGTTACGAAGTTGTAAATGTGCAGGAGCTGTTCGTGGTTCATGGCAACGAGGCGATGGCCATCGGGGGACATTGCGAGGTCCTGTATTCGATGGGGCTGACCCCAGTCGTATATGAGCTCTCCGTTCAGGCCCCACTGGCAAAGATTGCGATCTTTATCAAGACAGCCAGTCACGAACGTCTGTCCATCAGGCGCCCACACACAACTGCTTACAGGCTCTCCAAAACGGGCTAGGGTCCGCTTGAGTTCACCAGTCTGTTTGATGTCAGCAAGGCAATCGATAGAACGGTATAAAAAGCTTACATTAGCATCCCATAACCGGGCATGATTATCCCGAGAACATGTGACAATCATCGAATCGTCAGGGCTCCATGAAAGTGAACCAACGCCCTTGTCATGATCTGAAAGTGTGTGGAGGACTTCAAAAGATCCAACTTCATAAATGACAACGGTTCCGTCATGGCCACAACTCGCCAAGCGTGAGCCATCATGAGAGAATACAACCTGCCAGACTTCACCACTGTGCTTCTTGAGCTCGACAAATGGCGTCACTGGAAAATTGTCTCGATCGCAGGTGTGATCCTGATATAACGAGGGTGAAGTCGCGGTATTATGATACAGGCACTTTGATATCTGGCTCTGCTTCGCCTGCTGTAAGAGCACAGCTAATCGGTGTTCTGGCAACATAACTGAAGGCGAAATGCATTCTGAATAATCATTAGTTAAGTCCTGGTTCTACCAATATTGGACTTACTTGAGAGCTCAGATAAAAGATGATACCGTGAATCACCCCCTGCACCATCCCATTCGGCCTTTCTTTTGAGATCGTCCACTGATTGACACATCAGTAAGCTTGTGTGGCCAGTCAGTAAAAGCTTCTTTCAAAGGGACTCGCATCAATCTACCTCGAGAGAAAGTGAAGTTTGCCAATATCCTGGTATAAAGGGGTTAGTTCTAGTCGGAGTACCATCAAAGCTCTGCCGGTATCCCGTTGCTCCAAGAGCTCCAGGAACTTTTGTTGTCTTAACCAGAACCGCATCACGTTACTGTCGACGCCTTCTTGCAGAACCAGGCCATTTCCACGTATACTGACCCCTCCTTCCTCCATCGGTTTATTAAATAGCAGATCCTCTGCTTCGTCCCATTCGCCCTGCAAAACCGCATTTCGAAAAGCTGCAACGGCCGGGCTCTCTAAATCATAGCCAGATTCTTGGCTCAAACTCGCAGCAGCACCGTTATAGCCTAGGTCCGTGAGGGCCTGGATCAGGATTCTTGTCACTTCCTCCCGGTCGTGCCCAAAATACGTAGGCTTGCTCTTGGTACTTGAATTGAAAAGTCCATTTGAATTCGATAAGCCGTTCATGGAGGCTGAAGAACCCCGTGTGCCGTTTGTTGAATTTGAGAGCGCAGCTTTATGGAGCGGGGTGGCCCCCGAACCGTTTGAGAATGGCCTCGAGGTTCCATTCGAATTACTGGTTTCTCCGTCTAATCTCATTCTAGACGCTTGACGTCTGCGCTTTCGGCGATGCTCGTTCTCAGTTTGCAGGATATCCACGGAGGGCTCTGGACCCTCGTGAATATCTACTTGCTCCGGCTCTGCAGAGCTGTGTCGACGTCGGCGACCGAGGACCCGAGGTGGAGATGCCTGGGCTGCCTCTCGTGACTCTTGCTGCGACGTGCTATCTATGCTTGCGGCAATAACGCGTTGTAAGGACTGCGCTGCCTGTTGTTCGGTGAGGGTTGGTGCTGAGATGGTTGTGCTGGAAGGAAATGAGGGGGTTATCGGGGTGGATGGGCCGTCGGAGGTGGATGGGGATGCTGAGTGGGAGTGATCGTCTGCCAGGACGACAACAGCGGGAGTGCCGCTCTTCGGTGGGTGTTTTCAAAGGGATCTCTCTTCACAGGGCTCTCTGGAAACCTTGGATATCCAGATATGGCCTCAAGTATTAGTTTCGTCACGATATGGGAGTCCTGGTTAGTGATGGAGAGCTGGCTCGGCCAGGTGCCACCGACAAAGCGGTTGAGGTAGATAGAACAGTGGGTTCTCGGCAGAGGGATAAGAGCTGTACTTGGGGGTGATCTGCTGAAGCACAGTGTGCTTGATCATAGTTCGTAAAGGGTCGACGACAAGCTGGGGCAGAGGGAGGATGGTGGTTTAGTACTTAAGCAAGAGCTAAGATGTAAGGCGTGGTGGAGGAGAAGGGAGCCCCATGCATTCGCTACTACTGGGTGATTCACGTGAACAGGAGGGTATACGGAGTAAGCAATATACATATACGAGTGTATATCTCCCCGTTTAGGAGGACAATGCTGGATGATGGGTAACGTTCAAATGCCAGCCATGATACTCTCACACAAATAGCAGCTAGAGGGACCTCCATTTCCGCTTCCTCGTGCAAAAATACCAGATAATAAGGTGCTCTGTATAACGAGATTACCAGAGGGGTCGATAAGCTGGCGGTGTTACGGTAAAACCCACGTAAATACACGGCGCCTTGCCTGATTCGTCGCATGCTGACCGAAGCTTGGTCGCCCGCACACTGGTTGAGCTATCTACCAAGCTATCCCAGACGACCTATCCCATCTCGCCCTCCAACACCAACTGGGCATTGTGAATGAACGTTGGCTTCCGTCCTCGATTGCGCGCCCGCCCGTCGTTGTATGATCTCGTCACTTACCGCAACATTGAACGGTTGTCTGTTCGACCGAGTACGCCAACCCGAATAGAAGATCTCCCTCCACTTCCCAGCTCGCCTGGTCCAGTACCATTACCTCTGCCGCCAGCCCCAGTCCACGAGCATCATCCAGAGCCGCTGGACAAACCCGCAAACATGGGTCCGAAGAAGTTAGCCAGAGACGCTGATGGCGAAGAGCAATATGGTGCGTTTCCGCGAATACGACCGTTCAGGAGCTGGTAACTGATGACAGCTTGCAGGCTCCATTTACTCGGTCTCCGGGTATGTGCCTGTCCTCCATTCCCAGAATCCATCATATATCGTATGGCCCCAAGATTCTGATTTCTGGCAGGCCCGTCGTTGTAGCAGAGAACATGATCGGAGTTGCTATGTACGAATTGGTAAGTGAGGCAGTTGCAGATATCTGGCAGCGCATCTAACCCTACATAGGTCCGCGTCGGCCATGATAACCTCGTCGGTGAGGTCATTCGAATTGAAGGAGACAGAGCGACAATCCAGGTGTACGAGGAAACAGGTATGGGGCACATTCACAATCTGTAGAAGGAGATGCTGATATACGGAAGCTGGTGTAACTGTCGGAGATCCTGTCCTGCGAACCGGAAAGCCCCTATCCGTCGAATTAGGACCTGGTTTGATGGAAACAATCTACGATGGTATTCAACGTCCCCTCAAATCGATTGCGGAATCGTCAAACAGCATCTACATTCCCCGTGGTATTTCTGCCCCCTCGTTGAATCGAGAGAAGAGCTGGGACTTCAAACCGACAATGAAGGTCGGGGACCATATCACTGGTGGAGATATCTGGGGTACCGTCTACGAAAACTCTCTCTTGGACGACCACAAGATTCTCCTGCCACCACGAGCAAGGGGTACCATCACCCGAATTGCGGAGGCAGGAAGTTACAAGGTCGACGAGAAGATTCTAGAGGTCGAGTTTGACGGCAAGAAGACCGAGTACAGCATGATGCACACCTGGCCAGTTCGTGTACCTCGCCCGACAACTGAAAAGCTTGCGGCGGACAAGCCTTTCATTGTCGGACAGAGAGTCTTGGATGCGCTCTTCCCCAGTGTCCAGGGAGGTACTGTTGCTATTCCAGGTGCTTTCGGTTGCGGAAAGACTGTCATCTCTCAGTCTGTGTCCAAGTTCTCAAACAGTGATATCATTATCTACGTTGGATGTGGAGAGCGTGGAAATGAGATGGCTGAAGTCTTAATGGACTTCCCTGAGCTCTCGATTGATGTCGATGGACGAAAGGAGCCGATCATGAAGCGTACAACTCTTATCGCGAACACTTCCAACATGCCCGTGGCTGCCCGTGAAGCTTCCATCTACACTGGAATTACTGTCTCAGAATACTTCCGTGATCAAGGGAAGGACGTCGCCATGATGGCTGACTCCACATCTCGATGGGCTGAGGCTCTTCGTGAGATTTCCGGTCGTTTGGGAGAAATGCCTGCTGATCAAGGTTTCCCTGCCTATCTGGGTGCCAAGCTGGCCAGTTTCTACGAGCGTGCTGGCAAGGTGCAATGCCTTGGTAGCCCGAATCGCGAGGGCAGTGTTAGCATTGTCGGTGCCGTCAGCCCTCCTGGTGGTGATTTCTCGGATCCTGTTACTAGCAGTACATTGGGTATTGTGCAGGTCTTCTGGGGTCTCGACAAGAAACTCGCCCAACGTAAACACTTCCCCTCGATCAACACATCCGTCAGTTACAGCAAATATACCGGTGTCCTAGATAAATATTACGAGAAGGACTTCCCCGAATTCCCAAGGCTCCGAGACCGTATCAAGCAGCTCTTGTCTGATTCGGAAGAATTGGACCAGGTCGTACAACTGGTCGGAAAATCCGCACTGTCCGATCCTGATAAGATCACCTTGGATGTGGCTGCCATGATCAAGGAAGACTTCTTGCAACAGAATGGATACAGTGACTACGATCAATTCTGCCCCATCTGGAAGACCGAGTGGATGATGAAGGCCATGATGGGCTTCCACGACGAGGCTCAAAAAGCAGTCGCCCAAGGTCAAAGCTGGAACAAGATCCGAGAGGCAACTAGCGATTTGCAGTCGCAACTCCGAAGCATGAAGTTCGAGGTGCCCAGCGAAGGAGAGGAGAAGATCACGAAGAAGGCAAGTTTCACAGCCATTCCCCTTTCCATTTACATACAACTAACCCAGCGTCCAGTACGAGGAGCTCGTCCAGGCCATGACGGATAAGTTTGCTTCCGTCGTTGATGAGTAAATACGAAATGAACACACGGCATGGCATCTGGAGGAGAAGGGAGCGCGGTGGCAGCATAAGCTTAGCTTCCTTTGATCTATCACCAGGGTATTGTGGGAAACCGATAGATAAGGAGTATGTAGTATATATTTCCTAGACTGGGGTTTTTCATTCCTCAATACATCCCTGGATCTTCGTCTATTGAATCGCCATCCTCTTTTCTTAATGAATCCGTGAGAATCATTCCCGTAGGTGAAGAATTTGAGTCTACTTATACCCCTCCTCTTCTTTGCCCATCATCACCTCTTCACCCAGACGGAGATAGAGGAAAGCATTGTGAAATCATGTTGACGAGGAGAAGAGACAAGAAGAAGTGAAGAAAAGAGAAAGGAGAGATGAAAGGAAGAAAGAAATGGAACAAAGAGGTGATGTTTGCGGAAATGAGTAGATGGGAGATGGAGAGAGAGAGGAAATTCCAGGAGATAGAGAGAGAGAGGAAATTCCAGAAGAGAAACAAAGGAAACTCCAGAAAAGGTCAGGAAGCCATTACATTATATAGAAGATACTGATACAGCTTGGAGCGAAATCGGTGTCCTGTCTACCTAACCTCTTTTAGACAGTTCTGAACGCACAGACGTTTTTTGCTTGAGCCGCCTGCTGCCCGGATATATCTTTGACCGATTCCGGCATCAGCCAAGGCACGCTCTCCGCGCCGGTCATTAATCCAAACTTCAGACCTCTTCTACGAAATATACCTATGTCTTCCTGCTGTGACAATGCCCAAATCAAACGTAGACCCCCTGATCATCTACCCCACCTCCACCCATACTCATACCTTCATTGTTCTTCATGGCCGCGGTTCCAACGCGCTCCATTTCTCTCAAGACACCACGAATCCCGTCAAACCAGGTTTCTTGACATGTACTACCTCATCCGGTCTTACTCTCGCACAGAAATTCCCCGGTCTAAAATTCGTCGTTCCAACGGCTCCGAAGCGTCGATGTACTGCAAAGAAAAGGCTGGCGATGAATATCTGGTTCGATAATTCATCTTTTGAGGATCCTTATGAAAGAGAAGAGTTGCAGTGCCAAGGGTTGCGGACAATTATGAGATGGTGAAGGAGATTGTGACGGAAGAGGCTAAGGAGCTAGGCGAAAGGGGGTTGCAGAAGGTGTTTCTGGGCGGACTGAGCCAAGGGTGTGCAATGTCGTTGCATGTTCTGCTGGCCTTTGATAGGGACGAAGAAGAGAAGTGTATGGGGTTTGGGGGGTTTATTGGGATGAGTGGGTGGCTGCCTTTTCAGGACGAGATTAACAGTTTGCTTGGCATCAGGAGAGGGGATGACGGAGAAGAGGACGAGAACCCTTTTGGTGATGAATCTGGTGATGAAGAAGACGGTGGGGATGCTGAGGACCCGGTCGTCAAGGTCGCTCGATTTATAAGGAAGGATGTTATGAATCTTTCGAAAGCTAAGAACGAACTTCTGGTTTGTCGACATACCCCCATATTCCTCGGTCATGGAGACCAAGACGATGTCGTTCCGCTGGAATACGGGAAGAACGTGATGGAAGCACTACAGGCGATGGGTATTAATCTTGAATGGAAAGTCTATGCAGAACAAGGCCATTGGTATAAAGTTCCAGATACAATAGATGATATAGTTCGGTTTTTTGGAGAAAAATATGCAGGCTTGAACTTTGACACGATACTCCCAAAGCATCTACATGAAGACATCTCGAACTTGTCTAATGACTGCATGTTCGATATGAAACGGCTTCATAATCCTATCTACCACCCTTTCCTTAATTCACCCTGTCTCCCAACTCGGAAGATGAAGCGCTTTGACATACTCCCAATACTCGGGATAAAACCCACTGAATTCCCAATCCAGGATCGCAACGACCTTCCCACCACGCACAATGATATTCCTAGGAGCAATGTCACCATGCGAAAGCACAGACTTATGCTTCGGCAGAGCTTTCACCATGTCAACAACCATCTCTGTAAAGATGCCCCCTGAAAAAGTCCTCATGGCTTCAACGATCCCCTCATTAAAAGCCTCCTCTGTTTCATAGGGACCATAACTCCTTCGTACCACTCTCAAAAACCTGATCCTCACAAGGACCACCATCCACCCTCCCAATAAACATCCCCATAACCCCCCTCAACTCATCTATATACCCCCTCAACTGCCCCACTATCTCTTCCTTTTCTTCTAGAGACATTGTATCCCAAACGTCCCGAAGCACATCCCCTTCAATGTACTCCATCAGAAGAAGATACCTGCATGGATCCGTCTCGTCAATGTATGCATCGTAGACCTCGGGGACTGGAATGGATGTTTTGCTGTGGACGAACTTCATGCTTGCAGCTTCAGATAGGCGTATGCTATCTCCGACTTTGACAACTATATTAGGAGAATGATTCAGTCTATACACCCATGGTGCATTGTCCGGTGCTAGTCGGGTTGCGAACGTTGGTTCGAGGAGGTCACTGAATTTGATTTTTTGGGCCATGGTTGAGAGAAATGGAAGAGGGAAACTGAGGATAAGTATCACGATCCACGAAATCCCATTGCTGGGGCAAAGTGTCTGGAAATCCTTTTCTGATTATTACGTCTAAAAAGTTATGTCGGATTCGGGTCCACAGACAAGTCACAATGAACATCAGCAGGAAGTGATATTTCAAGGTCTACTGTACCTTAATTTAAGGTAGGAAGCTGTTAAACGGCTGATTCAAACACTGTTGATGCGGGGCATTCTCCCACACGTGTTCTACAGAGTAAACATCAGATACAAGATATCTCCATCCCGTCTTCATCCTGACTATTCCCCATTCCCCATTATACTTCTTTCAAAAACAAGAAATAATACCTTGATACAATACCCCAGGAAGAAAAAGGACGTAAAGCCACCCCCCAAATTCCTCATCATGGCATCCAGCACCCGCCCCGCAACCCTCAGCGTCTCCCTCGACGACCTCGCCAAAATGATCGACCATTCCCTCCTCCACCCCACGATGACCGACGACGACGTTCTCGCCGGTCTACAAATCAGCAAGAAATACGGCGTCGCAACTGGTAAGTCAGCTTCCTATCCCCAAATACCCCCTCCCCCATTCATCCATCTCCCCCCTCTCAATACAACTTCCCTCCCCAACCCTACCAATCAGTCCATCCCCTCAACCCCCAGAGACAATGATAATAATAAGAATAATAATAATAACCCCATTCCCCCCATTTTTCTCCCCAACAGCATGCGTAAAACCCTACCACATCACCTTCGCCAAGGAAGCCCTCGCCGGCTCTTCCGTGCTCGTATGTCCCGTCATCGGCTTCCCGCACGGGAACTCGAGCACCGAGGTCAAGGTCTTCGAGGCTTCCCGCGCGGCCGAGCTGGGCGGCAAGGAGATCGATATGGTGGTGAATATCGGCCGCGTGCTGTCTGGAAAGTGGGACTATGTGGCGGAGGAGATCGCGGCCGTGAACCGCGCTGTCGTGGAGAGGGGGAGCGTGTTGAAGGTCATTTTTGAGAATGATTGTGAGTTCTTCCTTCCCCCTCCCTCTTTCCTCTCTTTATATCTCTTGCTTTCTTTTACGATTACCTTTTCTTTTGCTATTATTGTTGGTTTGTTTGTTTTTGTCAAGCAGGTTCAAGAACCAAAGGTGATTAGCTAGCGAGGAAAGCGGGAATTGGGGCTGATAGGTAACAATTCAAGATCTCACGGACAAGGAAATCATCAAGTTGTGTGAGATCTGCAGCGACATTGGCGTAGCCTTCGTCAAGACCTCAACCGGTTATGGTTTTGTCAAGCAGGCGAACGGAGATTACAACTACAAGGGGGCCACGATCCCGCATCTGGAACTGATGCAGAAGCATGTCAAGGGCGATGTGAAGATTAAGGCTGCCGGTGGTGTAAGAACGCTGGATGACTTGCTTAGGGTGAGAGCCTTGGGCGTTGCGAGGGTGGGTGCCACGGCCACCGCGGTCATCCTTGATGAGGCTGTCAAGAGGGGGATTGGCAAGGAGAGGGTGGAGGTGGTTGTTCCGCCATTCCCATCGTGATGGATGCGAGAATGAGTTTCCCACTGAAAGAGGCAGATACCCCTGTACGTAGGTCGATCAGGTGAAATATGACGGTCTCGCACGTGAGGCAACTTTCCTCCACGACATCGCGCACGCAGAGTTTCCTCTTGAGAAATCATCGATCGTGGGTGTTTGAATTCATTTGTCTTTCTCAGCCACTAACTGAGCTTGATATGTACTCTTTAACTCCTGTACGCTAGCGCCTGAAATGCATCCTCCTCCCTCATCAATTAGTGCATGAACTAGGACAGTTCCGTTCTCCACATAATTCTTCCACATCGACTTTGTCTGCTGACTCCCGTCCCCTTTCTCAATTTTGCAAAATGGAGAAGGGCAGCTTTCAGCTTACGTCGGGGAGTCGGACCGCAATGTCGCCTGATTGCGTGATGTATCGGACCCATGGTAAAGAGGGGTATTGTAACTATTTGCTTCGTTAGACGATCGATCTTCTACGGTTGATATCTCTTGAGATGATTCCGAAAGGGATGAGGGTCGATTACTGACCACTCGGCCATGGAGATCAAAAGGGGGAGGATAGGGTTCAGTAAGTAAGTACCAACATACCTTTGGCTCCACGATCTTGAGATATCGGACTTGAATCCCGCTCGTTGTGAAATAAGGAATCTCGAACTTCACACTGATCGGTCTCTTCGCTCCCTTGCCACCAATGCCTCCCATACTTCCTCCAAAGCCACCAGTCATTCCGCCACCGTGTTCATCATCCCCTTTCACGCTTGGAAGCCCAAGTTCAGCACGCATTAGGAACTCCTTATTCCCACCAAATTGCTTGATCTTCCACACAATAGCGCTCTTCTCAGGCGCATAATGCACACTACCGATGTTGGTTCGGAAACGAGGCGAGTCAGCATCTTCTGGGACAGGGACAATGATTTCCACATTGTTAGCCGTGCTGCGACGTTTGAATTGCGCTTTCGCTTTCAACATATACTCGATACGACTCCCAGAATGTGATTCCACAATACATTCCACCCAGATTAAAGGCTTGACTTGTGTGTTTAAGCGATATGACATCAATTCAAACTCTCCATCTGGTGGAATGAAGGATATTGTGCGGTCGTTCTCGAATCGTGCGAGACGTACACACTGGTGGAACTTCACGTCCTCCATCTCAATTGCTTTTCCACGAGTCGCTCGACCAGTCGTCTCGAACATCACCTTGTCGTTAAGCCCAAGACGCAATTCCGGCATCCCTGAGAGATAGCATTTCATCTTTATGGCCCCGAGAATCTCAGAGCGAAGGACGTTGCCGTTGGAGGATACCAAGAGATTAAGTGATTCGACAACATCGAGGAACACTTCATTCTTGCGGTATCTGATTCCTTCTGATCGCCAGGATACAGCATTTGTAACCGCGATCGGCGGTCGCGCTTGAATTTCCAGCTTGTGCGATTCCTGTGTGATATATTCTTGTAGAATCTTGGATTCGGTAGTTTGTGGATACCCGAAGTCCATCATTTCGTCGAGAAGTTCGTAGATGATAACGAAGTTGTCTCGTATTGACTCTTCTTCGAGTTCTTTGAAATATTCGGTGAAGACCTCGACGATCTTGTGGAGGAAAAGGAGAATTTCGGCGGCATTAGTATTTCGTTTCGTTAAGGCTAGGAGATAGAGGTTGTTATGCCTGATGTAGAGGTACTGGGAAAATGTCAGAGTAGAGTTCAGGCTTGGATGATGGTAGAGCGCATACGTTGATGCCTTCATCTGAAAAGCACGGCGGCACTGCGGAACTCTCTTCTTCCGCCTCACTCAAGAGGATGGGAAATTTGTCTACTGCTGACATGGGAATATCCCCTCTATAGTTTCGCGCCAGAAGGGTCTACGAGCAATCGTCAGCAAGGCTGTACTATGACATGAGGACACTCAGGGGGACGTACCTTGCCCTTCAGGTCGAGAAAGAAGACAGCTGATGCCATGATGTCGGGAGGAGAGGTATCAGCGGTCGGGGGTATTGATATGAAGCCAGATCAGCCAGTAATCTTGACTTAGACGAATTCAAACATTCGTAGATGTTATTGACAGAATCATGAGGTCGGGAATGGCGCTCTTAACCCCACGTTACCCTTAATTTGGAGATGGCAGCGAAGCTTCAACATCGCGGTGGCCTTGTCTCGCTTGGGTTAGACTGGGATTAATGGCCCCAGTCCTAATGCAGCTTAGCCCATCGCTCGAAAAATATAGAAATATCAGAAAATGCTCGCCGAGATCTTTTCTTCTTTTCTTCAACGCGCCCTTCTAGACAGTGCTGCTCACCATATAAGCACAACCGGCCTGGCTTTCTGTCAGCGCCTACCCTGCCTCCCATTGATGAAGCTAGCGATACCGTGGCGCGGAGACGAATCTCCAGGGTACCATAAGAGCTGGCCGAGCATTGTTTTCAATAGCAATAGGTTGCTTGGGCGGCGTCAGAGGGACCATACATGATAAATCGAACAGTAAACCTTGATTTTAAAAGAAGGCATCGGCTGGAGGAATGTGAACAGAGCCTTCGGTGGCAGCGTCAACGTGAAGATTCTTTCATTGCCAGTTCTCACCTCAGTTGCAGGCGTCTTTTCCGGGATATGGAAAGACACCAGCTATGAGATGCAATGATCGATGATACTCCGTAGATCTAACCAAGCAAGCTCCTTGGAAGCCAATCAGTAACTTCAAATACCGTTTTCCCGTCCATTCTCAAGCAATCGACGTACTGTACATCTTCATCCCTCCATCTCCAGCCTCATCCAGCCTCCTTTCACGTGATGTGGCTTTTACGCTCTTACCCTGCACCTACCTAGGTTAATAATCCATTATGTAATCACAATGGTCTAACTCCTCCCAGCTAGCTCTGATCAGCGCCGAGCTGCTGGCATGTGATCAGGCAGGTGACCACCATCATCCATCGTTCACCACCCATCGCTCTCCATCTGCACCATGTCATGATCGCAATACCAACGTCGACTGGAAGGCTCTTCAGTAGCATCTGGTCTGTCTTGTAGCTCTTCTCAAGAGACTCTATGCTGTTGTTTTCTTCTACTATTTTTTTCTGTTGCTCCAAGTCCACCGCTGAAAGCTCGAGCTTCACGTTCCCGCTTCACAAGCAAATGCAAATGCTAGCCGCGGGACGCTTCACCAACTCTCCCATATCCACTCTGCGCCCAGGGCCGCCAGCAGATGCGCTTCGATTCGACCATCCTCATCTTTTCTGATCTTTGCCAAGTACAATCTCCTGCAACATTCGACTGTATTGCTGCGCTCGTTGGCTTTCGAGAACACAATGGAGCAGGACCGTCACATGCTCCCAGAGCATCCTCCCTCTTACGCACAATCGCATGATCCGCAAACTCTGGATCTGCCTTCTGCGCCCACCTCAGACCTTCCTCCGATACATCGTGAACGTACATTGCCCCCTCTACCTGCTGCCCCGGCAGAATTACGATTCACGTCAGAGCCGGTAGCTGAGCCTCAGTTTGTTTGGCCTTCTTCAAATCCGTTGACGGCATACTACCAGCCTGGACCTTCACAGCTTTCCCCCAAAGGAAAAACGATAGAATCGCCGAGCACGATGGATGTCGATACAGATAGTCGCGGGCGACGCGGGCGACGCGGGGGAAGCGTGCTGTCGATAGATGATCCAGATGTTCGCATGGCAGCCGAAGCACTTGGGGATCTTCGAGCAGGTATGTGAGGCATAGAAATATCGCGGGTGCCTCTGCTAAAACTACTATCCTTAGATTTCGTCCACTCTCCTCCCCCAAGACACACTTCCTCGCCGTCGTCTTCGACGACTTTCCAGGGCAGGGGACAGCAAGCGGAACCTCTGCTGTCCCTCCTCACTGAGTCCCACCCCCTCATCGGCACCGCAATCGGTGGCTCACTCTCCGCCTATTCAGCTTCTAAGAACTATAGCCCTCGATTTAAATCCAGCGCTGAGTATGTTGAGAAGAGGTTCACACCTATCGTCAATACCGTTGGATCAGTCAATCGTATAACAGGTATTGAGGGCGGTGTGCGATGGTTTTTAGGAGGTCGGCGACCAAGCCACCAACCGCCTTCCGATCCCGAAGCTGGCTCTGAGGGCTCCAACAAACGGCGTAAGATTGGCAGTGCAGAAGAGGATCGGGAGGCTGATCGTGATGTCTCTCAAGACCCCTATCGCGCCCACAGGGGGGAACTACAGCTTCGGCAACGAGAACCAAGTCAGGCGTCTACTGTCGAGAGTTTACCTGCATATGACGAACACAGAAGTCCGTCCTATGAAGCGGCGCAACAAGCTTTGATCCCCACCCAAGGAGACGCGGCGATGTCCCAAGGTAGTTCCTGGCAGTCGCGTCTCGTGCTCTCCACATCCGGATTGAGTATCGCTATGAGTGAGGAAAGTTTGCGGAGTCTGAAATACTGTCTCAGTTGGCTGCGTTGGGCGAACGAGCATATTGGAAAAGTAATCGAAGCGTTGAAATCAGCACTGGAACATTACGACCAAGGATCCGAATCTTCAACTGCGGGCTCAATTACTTCTAACGACTGGACATACCCTAAAGAGAAGGAAGGACAAAATAGCGGACAATTGGTTGTCAGAAGCGAAGCCGAGAGATCAGCGCTCAATGCGCGGATTGCGGAACTGAAGACGGATGTGTTGAAGACCTTGAAAGAGGTCGTGGACATTGTGTCCAAATACGCTGGAGGAGCATTGCCGGAAAATGCGAGAATTCTAGTAAGGAGGCATCTTACATCGTTGCCGCAAAGGTTCAGATTGGCGAGTGCCAATTCTGGGAGGTCTGGCGGAGGCGGAGGCGGAGGCGGAGGAGACACACAGGTTACGGAGGGCGCAAAAAGGGTCATGGTGCTTGCCAAGGAGGGCCTGGACATGATGGCCCAAGTATCAGCAGTCCTTGACGGGACGATCGTCAGCGCAGAAGAATGGTGTGAGAGGTTAGGGAGGAAGAAGAGAGAGGAACGTGAGGGCGGGAGCGCAGCAGAGAGAGAGAAGAGCCCTGGCGCACCGCCCCCACAAAGGGATGAAAATGGCTACATTGGAGGAGTTGCGGATACAAAAATGGGCTGAACATGGCCTTTCCCTTTGTTCGACAGGCGCTTGGTGTAAGGCTCGGCAGGGTTGGCTTGGCGCGTACGATAGGGATCTAGGAGTAGGTTTGATGCTTGTTAGATACCACACGTTGTTTAAAGTATGGGGAAATATACTGTGACTTTTGATCTACATTCCTTCTTTTCTCTCTGGGGGTTCCCCAATTTGATCATAAAAGCTTCAGAAGAAGCACCTGCAAGTGCAGAATCCAAAACAAGAAGTACATGTCTCCTCTGATACGCATCCTATATCCGATTTTCATACCTTCGATGTTCTTCGATAGATACTCAAGCTCCCGCATCTGAAACCCTATACATCCATCCACTCCTCGAGACATCTCTCCACGAGAACCGTCTTCAGTCTTCGAGCCTTGCTAGACCATCACCATATCAATATGCATAAAGCACTCACCATGGCTTCCCTCAAGTGCCACTCAGTCTTCGACGTCCAGCGACGAGCTCCAAATGGATGTACCTTCTCATCTCTCAATCAATCCCGACTCCGACGATGATACTCCATCCCAAACATCAGACAACGCACGCCCGCGCTCCTTCCTCCGCATCGCCGCTCTCGTCGTCCTCCCCATCCTCTTCCTGATCCTATTCCTGATCAGCGAGACCGCAATCCTGATCTACTCATTCGCTCTGCACGAGCGAATTCCCGACCCCTTCCTCATCAGCACCGCGATCGCATTCGCTATCATTATCTCCCTAGCGATTTTCCTCAACATCCTTCTATATTTCAGAAAGCGCGCGGAAAGCGATGGGAGCGCGAGAGGTAGGTGGAGAATGTGGTTGGTGAAGTATGAGGAGCAGAGTTTGGCCTTTACGGAATTTTGGAAGAGGAGGAAGATGAAGGAGAGGCGGCGCAAGGCAAGGAGTCCGGGCAGTATGGTCTTCAGATATGCATATCGGTTTTTGATTACGTATAGAGGCCCGAGATGGGGGTCGGGATCGGGATCAGGATCAGGATCAGAATCGCAGAGTTCTTCGAGGGGTTCTAAGGGATCTCATAGGCGGGGAGGGCTGGGAGAGACGGGGCGGCGACACGGGATGGACGATATCAGGAGGCAAGAGGAGGGCAGGATTCCGAGCGAGCTTTCGTCCATGAGATCCCATCAACTTCAACGCACCCAGCTCCAGAATCCACCAGTTCGGCCAATGCCTCCGCCAGCCCATCTCTCGACTCAGCAAGTTTCCGCATCTCCACTACCTCAGCATCCTGCCGCTGTGCACACACCTAGGAACCTACCACCCAACCTCCGAGCCTATCAGGATTCCTTCATCATCCACGGCTCTCTCCCAAACAACCCCCAAGCTTCTCGAACCCAACGTCGCAGATACGACCCCGATCCCACTACTCCTCGAATATCCTATCTCCCCTTCCATCCTACCCCATCCGCACGCGCGTTCTCTCCATCTCCAACCCCCAGCTTTCTTCTCCCTCCTCTCCCGCCTGTTACCCATCACGTACCCAGCGCCCACGCACAATACAGCTACATCCGCTCACCCACAGGCGCCACGTCCTGGGGCCTCAAAGTCCCGGGCCGGTCTAGACCACCTTCAAGAGCTGAGATTTGGGAGCTTCAGGGAAGGGAAGAGCTGCTGTTGAGGAAGGAGGTGAATAGGAGGTTTGGAGAGAGCAGGGAACAGGTGAGGAGGGGGAGTATGGAGGGATTGGCTGTGGGGGGTGGGAAGGGTGGGGAGGATAGGGGGAATGGGACGGAGGGGGAGGGGCAAGGGGTGTTTTGTATGCAGCTTTCTTCCTTTACTGCTGCTGATGCTACTACCGCTACCGCTACCGCTCATCCACCTATCCACGACAGCCATCATCATCACGAAACAGCAGACATCTCCCCAAACCCCACTAAACAAGAAGAAGTCCCAAACCCCTCCCATCCATCATCATCAGCACCCGCCAAGCCCCCAAAACACATGCACTCGCACACCCTCATCTCAATGCGCCATCTCTCAGGCGCCGCGCTCGGAGACGCAAAGCCTCTATTCCAGAACGCGAAATGTCGGGATTGGTGGGGATAGGGAGAGGAAGAGATAAAGAGAGTGGGAGGTGAAGTACAGATGAAAAGGAAGGAGGGAGAGGTTGGGGTAAGTGGCAGGAGCAGATTCGGCGGATAGTTAGTATTATGGAGGTGGTTAGGGGTTAGGGGTTAGGGGGGAAGGGGGGAGAGGTGTGAGGATGTTATAAATGATGATGGCATGATAGGGGGGGGTTTCGTAGGAGGAGTTTTCTGTGTGTGTGGGGATTTGATTCTATGTATGTGTTTAGACGGGGAATTTAGATCAGTACAATCTCACTACCTAGGTATATCAAATCAGCTTTCTGAGCTAAGATCTAGACGACTGACTCCCTGTATTTCTGTGATCCTTTTTGGATCCTTTTCTTTTCTCTATTTTTTTTTATCCGGATTTTGACTTTATAGTAATGCCCCATTTCCTAGTTTGTGAGGATTCTTTTGTTACAGTAATAATGCCCCGTTTCTTTCTATTTCCAACCTACCTATCTTATGTCTTATGTGATGTTACAGTCAGTGATCCACCCACCCTTCCTGCTTCCATCTAACCCTTCAAAGGACACCATCTCTATACATATACATCTTCAGGTCCACGAAAAGAAGAAATCATAGGCCATCAGAAGTGGGCGGTCCCTTATACACTACAGACTTGTTAGAAACCCTGGTCCACAGCACACACACAGAGGACTAGAAGACATTACCTTTCCGAGCATAGACCAAGTACCAGAAGACCGAAATAGCACCAAAGCCAACGAACACCACGGATGCATAATTCATCGATGTGGAAGTGACCGGTAGCGCAGTCGGCATGCTGAAGAGCACGACCTCGAACGCGATCCAGCATAGGGAAACGGTGTTGACGATGGGGCCGATGATGGGGCCGCAGTTCCATTGGGCTTTCGAGACTTCGGCGCGCTTGTTCCAGAAAAGTGAGAGGCTGATGGGGATCGCGTAGGAGACGGAGAGGGCGATGACGCTGACGGAGTCAAAGGCGGTGAAGGCGCTGCTGCTCCCGAGATTGATGAGCCCGAGGAGCATCTGCACGACGGTGACGAGGATGAGAGCCCAGACGGGAACGCCGAGTTTGTTGTTGACCCTTGCGAAGAGTTTGGCGGCCGGGATGGCTTCGTCTCGGGCGACGGCCCAGGTGCAGCGCGACGCGGCGACGGTGATGCTGATGCTGCAGAACATAGTAACTCCCAGGACAATGAAGGTCAGGCCGAGTCCGCCGCCGGGAGTACCCATGACGGTGTGGAAGATATAGGGGGCTGCTTGGCCGCCGGGAGAATTGAGAACGTCTGCTAGTGGTGGCATGGTAGCACAGATCGGGATGATGTAGAAGAGACCTGCAAAGCCGCCAATTGGGACACACAGACTCATGGCCCTGGGGACCTTGACCGCGGGATCACTGACCTCCTCCGCCATGGACGAGATCATGCCGAGCGCGCAGAAGGTGTAGGCGGCTGGAAGCAAACCAATGAAGAAGGTGAAGCCTCCCCAGCCGGAAAAGCTTTTGTCGTAATGACCAAGCGTATACGCCGCGCTGTGTCTTCCTGCCTCGGCCTTCACAGACAAAGAGATCAGGACTGCGATGATGCCCAGAACGGTCCAGGCCGCACAGATGATATCCACCATGGGGAGGAACCTGTTACCAAAGGTACAGATGGCAAGAGAAATGAGGCAGATGGCGTAGAAGACGAGAAGGAGTTGCCAATCAGTCATGACGAAATCAGGATGGTAAATGGAAACCGTAGCTGAGATCAGGGTTGCTAAACCGAAGTTCACCGACAGTGTGATGGTCCAGTTGCCGATGAGCCATATCCAGGCCGTGAAGAAGGAGAGGACGGTCTTGTTCCGTGTTGCGACTTGGAAAGACCAGTAATAGGGCCCCGCCGAGGTGGGATATCGAGATGCGAGTTCGCTGAGGGAGAGGGCTATGCATTCATCCAGGACAAGAATGATGATCCAGCCAACGAAGAATGGCAGTTGACCACCGCCATAGATGGCACTGATGAGGGGGCCGCCTTCAGCATAGGGGATGGCTGCGATGGCCAGACTCTGGAAGAGAAGTGTGAATAGGGATCGGTTCCGTTGGAGCTCCGGTTTGTACCCCAGGACTTCCAAGCTGTCGAGGTTGTGATGTGTTCCCGTCCCAATGTCGGCTCCAGCCCCGCCTCCTGAAGGAGCGAAAGCCTTCTCGTAGGCCAGCTTCTCATCGCCCTGCTCGACGTCGGTCGACGACATTGTTGTTCACCTGGCTGATGCTGCTGAGAGCATGGATAAGACTTAAAGAGACCCAAAACAGGTAGGTATATGTATATCACCGTGGTAACACGTGACAGCTATCTGCAGATAGCGACCCGGAAATAGGAGACAGCAGAAGAAGCAAAGAAGAAGAAGATAAGGGGGGCAAATGACGCGCTTGACTTCAGACGCGGCTGGCAAGGATCTGCAACGAGAGCCATTTGTAGATATAAAGAGTCTGGATATACTGTAAACGGCAAACAACTGGCATCCGGCGGGATGTTTCTTGAGCCTCCACAGTTCCCCGACTTGGGGTTATACTGCGTAGGTATGTCTTGATATGCCTTGATGCTCTGTTGTGGGGATCCTCCTCCCGGTCTCACACTCTCCCTGCGTATGCTGTCAGACAGTATCAGTAGGTCTCAGCCAGGGCCGCCTCTGTTATCGCAACCAATCATAGCAGAGCATGGACGACATATCAATAGTTGTAGTAACAATCAATAATATGTATATAAAATGCCTTTCTTATCTGCAAGGTCACAATACAGCAAACGCGTTTTGTGGAGGGAAGCAATAAGCGAGTCGACCGCTATTCATTTCTAATGTCATGCCTCGCTCTCAACAATCCCGATAAGACTCTCCTACAATCTTTTGCCATGTCGAGGCTATTCCCAGGTGGCTTCTCATAGGCTCTCTTTGCCCCGGGCTTAGGAGCGTCCTTCTGGACGGCCTCGCCATAGCAAAACTGGCAAAACCTCTGACCTCAACTCCAGTGCCGTCAGCGATGATGACCGCAACATCGCACGGGGATGTCGGACATACATACCTAGGTACTCTACCCATATACAGTACAGTACAGTACAGTATCTAGGTAGTAAGGCAAGGTAGCTGTTGTCCCTCGTCGCTGCGTCACGTGCTTGGAGGGTCCCTATGCCCGCCTACGGTAAAACTTTGCTGCCTCTTCTTCAGGCAATTGATTGATGATCCACGATAAGAAACGATAAGAACGGGAAGACTATGCTGAAAGAAGCCTTGATGCAATCATGTTGTACCTCTGTATATCGAAGCATTTCTTGGCGGGATAGCTTCAGCCATTCACCGTCCGCCTCTTTCCTTCACTCTACCAAGTATATGAATTCCCCGTCCCCGGCTAGCTATACATCGGCCGGGCCGATGTATAGCTAGCCGCAATTTGAAGGGTCAAATACTGTAGTACATACTAGATATAAACGACTACCAACTCGTAGTACTCGTGTACTTCTAATACAATTATACGAATGGATTCGTATAATTGTAGGTACGATTCGGGCATTCAGGCGCCGGCTCCCAGCCCAGCCTTGCCTCCGGTCCGGGTCGAGAATCTCACACCCGCGGACGAAGCCCAAATGCAACGGCTGATCAAGGCCATATTAAACCCATCCTGAGCAGCAAGATAAAATACGAAAAGAAAAAAGGACGAAGGATGCTTTGACAAGCAGACGCTGCTGATTTGGAGTGTGTAACAAGTTTAAAGGAACTTCACGAAACGAGCACACAGGCACAATGCAATGGCTCGTTTGGATAAACAGCCTCTGCGTATTACTATTAGCAGCAAGTCGGCGTCTTGACTGCCGATTCTCAAAAACCCAACCATTTATAGGAAGATGCCTTGAAGACCATACGTTTATCGATCGACAACGACTCCTCCCATGTCCGGCTCGCCCGGCGGTTGTCCTGTTCGAACTTCTCTAATGACAATGTGTCATTTTGTGTCATTTTTGGGGCTTTTTGTTTCATTCAAGAGCGTCGCTCTTGAATCATATCTTTTTCCACCGAATGAAGCGTGCCATTCGTGATGTCCGTCCCAGATTCCCTTGCTCCGGCCGCATCCTGCACCAGGCTATCAAACCCCTAATCTAACATAGCCCTGAGTATCTGGATCTGCTCCAGCACGCTGGATCGACTGGTACCGCCTTTAGCCGTTTTCAACTCGACACTCGTTTCATATTCGAATGCCTCCGCAATGTCTGCTGTGAACCGAGAATCAATGGCTTGCAGTTGCTCAAGGGTCAGCTTGTCCATCGAAACTTCCAGCTTTTCAGACAGTGCAACGACGCGTCCAGAGATGTGGTGAGCCTCTCTGAACGGACATCCCTTCCTCACCAACCACTCTGCGACATCAGTGGCTAGCATCGTTTTGTCCAGAGCAGCCACCATCCGCTCTGGCCGCACCTTCAAGGTAGCAATGACCCCATTGGCTATGCCTAGACTATCCGATACAGTCTGAACCGAATCCAGCATAGGCCCCCACCCTTCCTGGAGATCTTTATTATAGCAAGATGGCAAGCCTTTCACACTCTTCCAAGTGAATAGTTAGTAGCTACTCTCGATACGCTCCGGGTCACCCTCAAAGCCAAGGCAACTGGCTGAGATGTTAATATGAGGACTTACCATCATTAACCCAGCCATTTGACCAAAAGCACGCCCTGACTTGCCGCGCAGAAGCTCTAACGAGTCCGCGTTGTGTTTATTGGGCATTAAAGAGCTACCCGTAGAATAGGCGTCGGCCAGCCGCACGAAACCGAACTCAGAGGTCGAATATATGATGAGGTCCTCAGCCCACCTGCTGACGTGGTTGGTGAAAATCGAGTTCCAGACCAGGAACTCGATTATGAAATCGCGGTCGGCCGAAGTATTCATGGAGTTCAAGGTTATTCCGCTAAAACCAAGCTCGTCAGCTATCGAGTTTCGATCGATTCGAAATGAATTGCCGGCCAAAGCGCCACAACCAAGTGGACTCAGATTGACCCTTTCAAAAACTTGGCGCAACCGCTCGAGATCCTGCTTGAACGCAGCGGCATATGACATCATCCATTGAGACCACCGAACTGGCTGAGCACGCTGGAGATGGGTGTATCCAGGCATGATGTAGTCGCTGAGGTTGTCAGTCAGCAGGGGGCCGCTTTTGGCCGGAGGTGAGGCTAGGCTTACATTTCAGACTCCGCACGTGTGACAATGACCTTGAGGAATGCAACGAGTTGGCTGTCGATTTCGCGGATTCGATCGCGTAACCACATGCGCATATCACAGACAACCTGCTCATTGCGGCTGCGACCTGTGTGCAGCTTACCCGCGATGTCCTTGCCGATGACCTCTCCTAATCGACGTTCGTTTGCCGTATGAATCTGGTCCATTGTGTTAGCCTCGAGAAGTTGAGTAGAATTGAGTGGCTTCTCACATCTTCGTCATTCGGCATGATAACGAAAGTTCCCTGCTTCCATTCTTCCATCACTTGGAGCAAACCACGCTGGATCGCCTGAAATTCGTCTTCGGTGATGATGCCAGCCTTTGAGTTGGCCCTGGCAAAAGCAATCGATCCAAGGATATCTTCTTTGTAGAGAGCCTTGTCGTACTGGATGGAGGCATTGTACTTATACATGAGAGGATCAATCGCACCTGCGCACCGTGAGGTCAGTATACTGCATCCAAAGCTTGTTTCCCGAGACTCTCAAACCTGTGAACCTGCCCCCCCAGAGCATGCCAGCTGCCGGGGCGTCCGCCTTTTTCTCGGCCATGTTGAAATATTTGTGAGTAGCGTTCGTTGCGTTCGATGCGGTTTCAAGGCCGATGAAATCAATGGGGTCGATGAGACCAATGGAGCATATGGCGCGTACTTGTACCAATTGGCGTTCGAGATCAAGGGCGGGAGTTATCAAGGTCGAGAAGTTTGTTGAGGAATTGAAGTTAGTCGATCAGTCGAGTCATACCTTACGGAAAATTTGTAAGGCCGACACCGGCTAACGTTTACCTTAGGGATGGGCAAAATACGTATTTTAGAGGTAGGTAGGTAGGTACCTTAACTTTTAAGGCCTCTTATAGGTAGTCTTACTTTGAACTAATAGAGTCTAAAACTACGTTATTTAGTAGTACTTATCAAGTAGTTAATAATCCTTAATATCTATAGTAAATTTAGGTTATTGAAAATCTAGTAGTATAGTATAATTTCTACTATCTAAGGTAGTTCTTTTACTCTAATAAGCTATTAGTCTAAAGGTACTAAGCTATTGTTAAGTGTATTACTATAGAGTAAAAGGGTTCGTTCTTGAAATCAGGGGGTTTAAGCCCCTAGGTAGGTGACAAGTGTCAAAGCAAGAGCAGGAATAGCGGAAAATAGTACTTGATATTTCTCTCTAGTCCTGAGCGTTTTCAGAAGAGACAAGTAGCCAGCGCGATATCCTCGAAATACGACCACCAATCCGACTTCCGATACGCCTCGTTCTCCTGATCCAACATCTTCCATCTCCCTTCCAAAAACAGAGTCAGAGAGCGCAGGCTTTCGAACGAGAGATATGCCGACGTCCGTTCGATACTGCGCCGGATTGTAACTCTCTGGTTTTCCTCCATGCAGAGAGTGCCTACGACGAGTAGGGGGAAGAGGATGCAGTGCTGCAGTTGCGAGGGTAGAGCCGGGCTGGAGATCACTTCCATGCAGCTGCTAACGGCTTGTTGCACGAGATGGTGGTCGACATCGAGACCGCTGAGGGCACGGTAGAGATAGACTGAGGCTGTAAATCGATATACGGAGCAGAAAGCAGCCCATGCGCTTCTCTCGACACTGCCATGCGTTTCGTCGTCTACGGTTAGTTGATTCGCTTGTTCATCCAGAGACGTCTGGATCGCGAGCAAGGTATCGATAGGGACGGTGTTGCTGAAGTGACGGACGCCGTGGCCGAGAGTTGCGAGGTTCGCTAGGATGCCCATCGTCTGAAGGAAATCATCATCCGACTTGACGTTCCCCCACCAAGCTTCGCAATTACCGAACCTTGCCCAGGACGGCTGGTCCAAGTACGGTTCATCGCCAATCAATAACGAGTGGGTCAGATCCATGGTTGTAAAGATTGATAGCATCAGAATCGGTAGCTCTTCTGTCTGGTCGAATATATCTTGACCACCCTCCCAGTGTTTCAGGATCGCTTTTCCTCCAACAAGATGGTGATGTGCTGCAGCTGCTGAATTCTCCGTGGTTGGTCCGAGCATGCCATCGAGGATACAGAGGAGGACATTGGCGATGAACAGGGAGTGGTTGACCTCATCGTTATGTGCAGCCATCAGGTGCTTCCTGAACACCCGCAGCGCGTTATTGCGGTCTTGAATGCGGGCCACCGCCGAGTTCTCGTCGGAGCTCTGGTATGCATATGTCTGATGGGCATTCGCAACTGCGATGACCGACTGCGACAGGATGGGGTCGCGCGATAGGAAGGACAAATCGATGCGAGGAACGGTATTGGACAGATTGAGGCGGGGGAGCAGTTCATTCTCAAAGTAGAGCAGATGCTGATCTTGGCTCCTCTGCAGCGCTGGCGGCTGGTACAGAGGGATCTTCTTGCCCGCCAGCCGTCCCCTCGATGCCACGCAGTCGGTCCATCGCAGACGCACCGTGCCATAATCGCAACGCCGTCCAATCTTCGCACATTTGCCGCAGGTCGGCACGGCCAAGTCACAGATCACTCGACGCTGTTTGCATCCCCAGCAAGAGCCCTCAACCGTCCGAATCCGTGGAGTCGGCGGCATTGCGTGGGCGAAGACATGAGTTGTGCTGGGAGTATTGGTGTTGAAGCTTTTGCTGACGGACAAAAGGGGGAGAAGAGGGGGGCGGAGGAGGAGACGGAGAAGACAGAGAAGAAGAAAATAGAAACGCACAAGGACCCTTACACAGGCAGAAGGGAAAGAGAGTTGCGGAAAAGCAAGAATGCAAGAAAGCAAGGGATAGAAAAAGGAGAAGAGAAAAAGAAAAGAAAAGGTTGCTGGTTTCCATGAGGAGGGAGACGAATACGACTCTTCCATTTCCGTTATCGCGGTCACGTGGTAGGGGTCCTCCACGGGTGGGGGTCGATCAAGGGGAAGAATCCGGGGATGGGTCATCAATGCTCCGTACATACCACAAATCGGAATTCAATAGGATTTTGCATCCCCTATCTACTCAAGCTTGTAGCCTATCCACATCCAACATAACCCAACATACCCATAAGAGGCATATAGTGCTTTCTCTGTAAAACGCTCCTCTTTTTTCTTCTAACCGTTACAGCCTTGCTGCCGCCGCTTAGGCGTAGTTCTTTCCTACAACATCCTTCACTTTCATCCCTTTCTTCCTCGCTTCCAGCGATACTATACCATTACCATATTTACTTTGTCTTCTTAAAACTTGTCGAAAAGCAATTATGCCCAACCTATTCTCACTAATTTAGCTTCTATCAAAGAGAGCATTTTCAGTAAAGATAAACATACCATGTTACCACTGCTTTGCTTACTGTACAGGTATATGTCCCGGTACTCCTTTTCCCTGGCTTTCTTTCTTTTGAGGATAGTATATGCTAGCTTAATGAGATCTTGTATAGGTACCTAGCTTCTATTTGTATCTAGGATAAGCGAAACGTTTTGTTGAGAATGTAAGAAAAAGTCTTACCAATTACTGATTTTGTCTTTGGCTGTCTTCTGGTGAGGCATCGAGCGTACAGTATAGCCACGAGTTTGTAGCTGTCTTGATCAATGTAGCATGAATGTTAAAAAATACTGTGGCTTTTTGAATCATTTGGTGTATCTCAATACATAAACTAATATTGTAGTTTGAAATGGTTCTAAAGCGTTTGAAAACACCTATCGACATCTGTCGGACTTCGGATGGGCCGCTTGATAATCGTGGGTATTTTGTACTGAGTGAGCGGTACACGGGAGCTGAATGTTGTATCAACTGACATAGTAATACCACTTGCTATAACAGGCCTCCAAGGGCAGGGTATCTATCAATTGGATCAATACAAAACGCTAGTGTGACGCATTCTCGCGCATCTTCCCAACACCCATATTCCAAGTCTCTTGCCTTATAGACTATGACCCCTCCAACATCGTATGTTCATGGAGGGAGGGGGGATGGAGGACGGGAGGATACTTCGTCCTCGATCGAATCCCCTGTATGAAACTGGCCATCAGTGTTGAGGCAATTTACGCACTGCCAGTCTTGGATGATCGAAGGATATCTCGGGGAGTGTTTAACTCTGCTCCTGTCAAAGAGAGGATATATCCCAGTCGTTTCAACAAGGGGAAAGACCATTAATGGTCCGAATATTCGGAAACATCGATCGGATTCGAGATCATTCAGACTTCCATAATTGTATCCGGGGCTTTCCAAATACCAGGAGCTATGGTATCCGCAACATTCCAGCCTTCCGGGAGGCAGGAATAGTATTGCGAGACTAGAATGTCGAGACTGCATCGACACAGTTTTAACCCTATCAATGTAGCAAGACCGCCCCCCACCTCGATCCACGTCTCCCTCTCCCTCTCGAGGACAGGCTCTGCTTTGATCTCTGCCCACCTTGTCAGCTCAACTTCTGGTAGCTGCGCATATATAGAATGGATTTGTGATCTTGGGACGCAGGCCTCGCAAACATGAGAGGAAAAGGAGCAGAAGGCCCAAACCACCAGCGCCCCAGCAGAGAGCGCCACATGACTTATCGGATCTATTGTCTTATTCACAAGAGCTGACAAGCTATTGTAAGACGCAAGTGCGGCTGCAGCGTGGCACAAGGCGCGTCTCGAGTTGGGTGCCTTGGCCCATTCTCGTGCATAGGTTTCTCTTCTGGTTTTGGCTTGTGAGTTTACATCTTCATACGGGGCTTTCGAATTATCTGGCCTAGCGTCCTCAGCCAGTTGACTCAGAATTCGGATATTGGCGTATAAATGAAGGCTGAAAACATGATAAAGCATGGTTGCGTCGTAGACAAGGCTTCTCTGGCGGTAGGAGACAACGCTTTGCCAGCCGTCTTTGGACTGGTCTTCTGTTCCATAGTAGTAACGCATGGCCAGATGTTGTTCTCTGCTGAAACTGGAAGCATCAGGTTGTGCCGTCGGTATCCGGATGAGCAAACGCTTCCAAGATTCCAAATTTCTCCTGAGAGCATCCATTTCAATGGCGCTACTGAGGTCCGGGGTATCAGTTCTTCGCACTAATAAATGCCAGATGCGTGGCTGCAATGCGCAAATTCCCAACTGTATATCCTCTGCTAGCATTAGACCCTCGACTGGAGCTGCAGCATCTAACGCGGCGTCCTGGACCATATCGCAGAGCGTCGTTTGACTTCTGATAGCTGGCTCGATCGAGTATCGGGTTTCAAATATATCAAGACCGGCTGCATTGTGAAGCGAAAATGTAGCTGGAAGAGTATAATGTAGCTCTTCAGCAGTGAGAATTGCAGGCTGACCACGGACGATGTTAAGGTACGAATCGACCTTGAAGAGGTATGCTGCCAGTCTAGAGAAACTTCAGAAAAGGTAGAAGGTAAGAAATACGTGAAACACGTACCTCTGTCTTTCTCCGAGTTTTGTCATACGAAAAGGTAGAAAACTTTTGGGGTTATCATAGGAGACTTCCGGCCTGAAGAATCCCACTTCTCGGAGGACAGCAACGAGTATGTTCCTCAAAATCACTACTTTTGATATAATCCTCTCGACCTTCTTATATTAGCAGGATTTCACCGCTGCCGTTTATTTTTACGTACCCCGCAATAGAGGCCATATATCATATTGAGTAGAGAACCCTGACACAGCGCCATTGATAACGACTCCTGTAACTTGTCACTTGATGAGGCTTGAAGCTATTATTACCAGTTAATCAAAAGTTGATCCGGTCTATGGGCTTCATGGACACACCAATCGAGGAACGATGTGGGCCACCAAACGGTCATGCATAGCAGCAGCCAGCTCTCTTGAATCTTGAGTCCCACTAAGCCAAGCACCAATCATACACATAGACGACAACACGACAGGAGGATGGGTCTTGTCGTCAAATGTAGGAGCGTGAATGATGGTCCAGCGATGATGAAAATATGTAAAGTAAGCATCCAGATACTTCTGGGTCGAGCCTTCAGGTTGCGGGCACGGATTCTCATCACCACTGGCGGAACTGGGTTGAGAGACTCTAGGCTTAGGTTCCACGTGCATGGGGTCTGGCTGGTCTTTTTGAATTCTTAAGGAAGACCAGTCAATGAGGCCATTGGTCTTTCCTTGGAAAGCAGCTGACGGAGGCGGAGGAGCCGGGGTAGGGATGATGCCCGGAAACTCATTATCGGGTAGCGGAGTTTGGTCGATGGTTAATGCTGATGATGCGAGAGGCTGGTTCATGCCGTTGCTGGAGTCCAGAATTGCATGATCCCCGTTCAATGTTGGCGATTCGAAGAGGGAAACCGAGTCAGCTCGATGAGCATCAGAATCCGGCAAGTCATACTTGCACTGAGCGCCTTTCCTCAAACAGGCCGAACATGGGCGGCTGCCATCACATTTTACCTTGCTAGCATGGCAAGCCGCACAGGCGTGCTTGCTCCGGCCAGTGGTGGGCTTGAACGAATCACCATGGCGGCTCAGATGACGCTGCAGGCTGTCACTGAGATAGCAAGTAAACTTAGCTAGACTGATTTAAAGGAAGAGGGGAGTTATAAGAGGAGCGGACCTGCGCGTGAATTCTCGGAGACAGAGCTGGCAAACGTGACGGCTACACCCCGAATGAGAGCGGGAGTGCCGTGCCAGGTGCTCCTTGCGAGCGAAGCTCTTCCCACAGCCGCTGAACTTGCATAGGTATCGCTCGCCGGCGGAAGACATGGATGCTTCATGGGCAACCTCTTAACCAGAGGTGGATTGAGATTGTCGGCGGCTCTAATGGCAAAGATGTAGAGCAAGAGAGTGTAAATAAATTCCATGGTCCAAGGAACGCGGGGGTTTGACACTCCCCCACACGTGGCCGCTGCTTTTAGCGAAGGGCTGATATCTGAATGTGCCGCTTTTAGTAAAGGAGTCGTACGGAGTAAGGGATGTGCACAGCCAGAAACAAGAAACGGAGAAGTCCAGAAGACACGCACACATACGCACATATATATATTCACCCTATTTTCTGGTCACATGAATAGGGGGATTTTCAGCGTGGAGTAGAAAGAGATCTCGCACGCCCTTCACGCATTTTACGCACTTCACGTAATTCACGCACCTCGCAACCCCACCACCTGCGCGCAACCACGCACAACACGCTGCGTACACGCCGCGTGCTCACTTGCGATGTGCAACAAAAAGTTATATGTCACGTGATACATAGGCGGTCTTGTTGCACATCGCATTGGGGCTTGTCATGGCAGCGCTGGACGTTCCAGGTTGTTCTCGATGGCGATAGGATCAGCATCACGTGACTGCTTTCCCGTGGAACTGCAGGTGGCACGTGCGACTTTCGGTTAGTTGACTGGCCCCCCTATTTGCGCCGGCGGGAAGTCGATCGAGGGCCTTTTTGGAATTATGTTCACCCGCTATGAGAGATCTTAAGAAGACCGGCAACTGCTACATAAGGTAATGCCCTCATGTAATCCTGTCTCATGAGGGTTACAGAGGTGCACATACGAGACCAACGGCCAGGATGCTGATACACAGAATCTCAGCGGAACAGTCCATTCCCGCGCGGGGCACCGGTGGGCGCGCCCCTCAAAAGCGGCGGAAAAGTGGCGGGAGCCGCGGGAGGGGGAGGGAGGAGGAGGGAGGGGCAGTGACGCGATCCCGAGCGGTGGGAGCCGTTGAGCCAGAGGGGTTGATTACGGCTCCCGGCTCCCACCTCCCACAGAAAGCCGCGCGCTTCTTCTCCTGATGTGTGTCGCGCATCACAGCTGCGGGCAAGTTGCAACGCTCACGTCTTGGTGATGCTTCTCCTGTTCTGCATAAGCGCGGTGATTTGTCAGCAGGGCCATCTCACCATCGCTGAGCTAAGAGAGGGAGCCCCGCGCCGAAGGGCTGCGAATTGCTTCGAAATGGTCCAAAATGCGTGATTGCCGGTCCCAAGGGGGTGATATAAATGAGGTATATAAACATATCCATCCAAGGCTTTCCTCCTATCTCTGTCTCTTCTCTTCATTAACTCTCTCATCTCTCATCTCTTATCTCATTTCATCTCATCTACTCCCCTTTCCCCTCTCTTCCATCCACAAGATACCCCCCTATTCCTTCTACACAACATCCAGCTCTCGCCATGACTACCATCAAGAACGTCGCCGTCGTCGGTGTAAGTACCCCAACCCCAGACCTCCACCAATTCCTGGGACCAAGCTCACACCTTTCCAGGCCGCCGGTGCTTTGGGAACTCCCGTCCTCAAGGCCCTCGTTGACTCGGGCAAGTTCAACGTGACCGTTCTCACCCGCTCCTCCACCAAGGCCACCTTTCCCGCCTCCGTCAAGGTCAGCCAGGTTGACTTCGAGTCCCTCGAGTCCCTCACCAGCGCCCTCAAAGGCCAAGACGCCGTCGTCTCCACCGTCGGCACGGCCGGTCTCCAAGGCCAGACGCTCGTCATCGACGCTGCCGTCGCTGCCGGCGTCAAGCGCTTCCTGCCCTCAGAATTCGGCTCGGACCTGAGCAACCCCAAGACGGCCGCCTTCCCCGTGTACGGCTTCAAGCTCGCCGTGATCCAGCACCTCGAGGCCGCCGCCAAGGCCCACCCGGAGTTCACCTACACGCTCGTGCGCAACGGCGCCTTCCTCGACTGGGGTCTCGAGCAGAGCTTCCTGCTCGACTGGAAGTCCGGCAAGCCCGCCATCTGGGACGGCGGCGACCGGCTCTTCAGCGCCACCAGCCTCGCCTCCGTCGGCCAGGCCGTCGTCGGCACCCTCACCCATTTCGAGGAGACCAAGAACCGCCCCGTCTACGTCCAGGACCTCGTCACCTCCCAGAACAAGCTGCTCGCCCTGGCCCGCAAGGTCGCTCCGCAGCTGAAGCTGGAGCCTGTCCCATCTAGCACCACTGAGCTCAAGGCCGCGTCCGATGCCCGCGTCGCCAAGGGCGAGTTCACTCCAGAGGTCCTGATCCCCTATATCTTCGTGTCTATCTTCGGAGACGGATATGGTGGCAAGATGGAGAAGACTGACAATGAGATCTTGGGCGTCCCTGGGAACAAGACGGATGCGGATATTGAGGCGATTCTGAAGTCGTTGTTGCCGCAGTAATGGGATGGATGGTTTGCAAATGAAATTATGGATATAGCGAACGCTTCTTTTGACCATCTCGAGCTGTGGAGCTATGAATGAATGAATGAATGCATGATTATACCCAGACCGTATCATAGCTTGTTGGTTGTGATTCCTGCAGCGATGCTTATAGAAAGGTGACTACTGCTACCATTACTGTATTTGCCGTGCCATCCATCGCACCCATTCCATACGTAGCTACTCACTCCGTCATTAGCAACCATCCGCTCTAACCCCTAATACCCGTAACATGGACCACAGCCCCCTTCCCACACTCCCTAACAACACACCTCTCACCCCCGCGAACCCTCCACATGCCCCCCTCTGGCATCTCAAACACCATTCCGCACATCTCAACCTGGACGCTCCCTTTCGCGACCGAACACACACTCACCGCCTCAATCCGGAAATCGCTTTTGTGGGGATCCTGATTAGTGCCAAAGCCGTGCTGAGCATCGGGATCCTCTGCGGTGCAGAAATGCTCTCCCTCTTCTAGAGACAGGATGCGGAAGGTGAAACCTGGCAGAGTGACTGAGTAGTGCGTGCCGAGGTAGGTAGAGGAGAAGGCAATATCTGGAGACGGTGATTAGCTGGGTGTTCTTGGTTTGGATTGGAAAGTTGGGGAGGGGGCATTACTTTCTTCCACCTCAGCATCTGCGGAACTCTCAACGTTGCCGCGAAGCTTGCCTGGGTACTCTTGCCAGCTATTTGGAGTATCTTTCGCCCGATTTTTTCGCTCGCTTTCTCCCTCGCTTTTTGAAGCCCCGCTGGGTTTCGGGGTTGCCTTCGGCGCGCGCGCGGGTTTATGCGTGGGGGTGATCGAGTCCGGAATGGATATGGATTCAAGTATAGACGGCAAGGAAGTTTTGATCGCAGCGACGGCCTGTGAAAGAATTGCTTGTCCATTCTCCAACTTTCCTTTCGTGGGAGCGGAAGAGCGGGTGGTGGATGAGGAATGCTTGCTTGATTTCTTGGTCTTGCTTGGGGCTGCTCCGGCTCCATCTTGTCCCGAAGGGAATACAGGAGTTGAGATATTATGTTTCTTGCTCGCTACTGTCTTCTCTCGTTCCTCGTCGAATGGATCTTCTTCACTGTCGATGGCGAGACTTGTGTCTGGAGTCGGAACTGCGCTTGATGTCTGGACAATCTCCTCGGGCTTGCGTTGGGCGCTTTCGAGGACTGGGAGTTTCCAAAGGCCGCCGACCTTGACTGGCACGATGCGAGTTTCCTTGGCGGGCTTGGGGTGCTCTTGCGCGTTCTTAGTTGACTTACTGGCCTTCTGTTGTTCCGTATCAACATTGTGTTTCTTGCTCTTCTTTGAGTGCGACTGCGTGGTAATGTCCCTTGGAACGTTGTCGATATCCACCGAGAATTCTGATGACGTATCTTCATCCTTTGCCTTCTTCGACTTCTTCATCGTCTCCCACTCATCCTGCTCTGTGACTGCATTATCCTCGTCCAACTCGCTCTCTCCGCTGATGCCCTCAGGCAGAATGATGGAGGTCTTTTCCTTTCTCTGCCGCTTCCGTTCCTTATACAAATCCTCTTCAAGCTCGGGCTCACGAGACTCCCTCTTTCTCTTCTTATCCTTGGTCTTCTTCTTCTTCTTGCTGCTTGATTTGATCTGGGCCAGGCCAGAGTCCAATCGATCTTGAAGGATGCGCTCGCTGGGCGAGACATCAGAAGTCGACATCTTGGGCATCACTGATGAAACCTTGGCTGTAGAATTGTCGATTCTGCCCTGGAGTCCAAGCCTTGATGGAAAAAAAGGATACAGAAAGTTATGTAGACGCGAAGGATATGGCGATGCAGGTGGGAGGTCGAATTTGACTTTGGAGGAAAGTGAATTGAACTGGAGGTTGTGATCACGTGACTTGCCCCTATTTCCTGTCTACCTATCTAGGTAGGTATGCAGGTACCTTGGGTACATCGGTAAGTATATGTAGATATCTATGGCTTTCTTCACATGGCATTGAAGATTAAAGAACCATAACCACCTACCTGGGACAAAGCTTCGACTTGCAGATTATTTAGACATTCGGCTGACTGCAAAACCAACTCGTTCAGGCATTTAATACTCCCCCTCCAGCACCACCGCCCCCTTTTCAAGAACCCTACGTCTGATTCTCAATATCTCATAAATTTCCAATAACTGAGGGGGCATGCAATAAGGTCGAGCTCGTTCAACACTTCATCTTGGAGCTCTTACGATTTTTGGGAGTGTAGAATCAGAAGCGTAGCAGCTATCCCGCTCTTACTGCCACATCATGCATATTCGACTTCGGACACTGGAGTCAACTTCCAGCCTCATTGTGAAAAGTATATCGTTGAATCTAGCTAACTAGCTAGTACGGTGCAGCCATACTTTCTCAAAGTAGGCATGATAAAAAGGCATGATAGAAAGGAAAACAAGCCCCAAACTTATCGCCACTCAGCCTATAATGCACAGAATAATACTTCATAATCATCGATCATCGCAGAGCAAAACGCCGTCCCATAACCCGCACCTGCTATCTCGCATCAGTCATGTCCTCGTCACCATCCTCAACAAGCGCATCCAAATCCTCTGGATGCGCAAGCAGAGTGGCCACGTTCTTCATCTCGTAATGCTTCTTCCGCATCTCTTCAAACTTCTTGTGCTTGTCTACCTCTTCCTTACTCAATCCTACGTGTTCCTGCTGCGATGGATGCTTGACTTGCACCGCCTTTTTGCTCTCAGGTTCCTCCGGGACAGCCTCTTCCGGCTCGCCTAGACTAAGACCGGGGATCTCCTCTTCTTTCGCCCTCGCGCTGCGTGCCGCCCGCTTCTCCAGATCCAACTCGTCGACCATGATGTCGCCAGCGTCCAACATCCGCAGCTCTTCTTCGTCCTCGGCGGGGTCGTAATGTCTGGCCCAAGGCGTCTTCGGCTCGTCAATCTTCATCGTGGAGCTCCTTTCCTGCTCCGTTAAGTAGAGGTTCGCCTCATCCCACTTCAACCGCATGTTTTCTTCGCCATTTCGGCCATTGGACGAGAGGCTCGACTTGCGGCGCGCTCCACCAGGCCGAGAGGAGTTGGAGGGGGAGCGGCGGGGGCCGGCGTTCTGGAGGGTGTTCTGGATGGTAATGTCTTTATCGGAGAGTTCGTGAGGGAGTCCAGGCCGGTGAACTGGTGAGGTTGGTAAGGGAGGTATGGTTGTTATGGGCGCCTGTTGGGGGGGAGAGCGGTGATATGAGTTCTTGAGGATCCCTGGAGGGGTGAGCCGGGGATGAGGAATGAGGGGAAGCAGGGTAGTTGGTTACCTTTTGGCCGCTTTGGGGACGGGGCGGGAGGAGAGTGAAGTTGCGTGGGACCTTCTGAAGCCATTTTGGTGCTCATTGAAGGCAAAGTAGTGGGGGTATTGAGGAGTTGGCGAGGTTGATTGTAGACTTGTATCGACTACCGGCTCACGAACCCTTGGTGGAGTGTCCGTCAAGGAGGTTGCCGCGGCGATTTATCGGACTTGGATTCAATTCGTGCGAAAAGGCGTCAAGGACCAGTACGGAGTAAAGGAGAGAGGGATTGATTGCGGTTGTCGACGCGGAAATAGAGGTGAAAGTAGAAGGGTAAAAAAGAAAAAGAGGTTCTGGTGTTTTGGTATCTCGTGGCTCTGACTGCTGGATTGTTCGTGTGACGAGTGTCGAGGGTGGAAATATCGCGGATGACCGTTGAACTCAAACATTTATACATTCACGTGCCAGGTGCGGGGCGATAATTTTGCACCTTCGCCGTCTCCTCCGTGCCTTTTTAGCGTATTACCGACTGTTTACGGAGTTTTATGGAGAATTTACGGAGTATTTGCGGAGTACCGTAAATCGTACTTCGCTGCGCTCCCTGACGTCATATCCGTGGGTGAATGTAGATAACGTGCCTCGGCATCTATTTTTGGACCTGAGGCACCCACGGACTCTCCAGTTCCAAACCAGTTTTCTGTTTCTGTTTCTGTTTAGAAGCCAGAAATTCTAGATATATGACGTCTATACATAGCTCTTGTCTTCCATTGTCCAAGTCTTCGAAGTATCAAGCGGCTTCGAGTTCTCCACGTTTTCACCATTTACACACCCCAAGACCATCAGTGTGCGTCCTTGCGTCTACATACATATACATGACAGCATGTAGGTAAACGCTATCGTTGAGGTGGTGCAAGTCGATGTACCCCACGTTTCCTTTGCACGTCATTCTGCAGCAAACCTAGATTTCTTTCCTTCAATCAGCTTCCTCGGAACTGGCCGGTCGTCTGTTTGGGCCCGAATAGCCTCATCTTCGCCGAATGAGAGCATGTTGCGCATCGAAGCACCATGCGTCGAGAATGCGAAGAGGCATCGTCGTGAAACCTCTGCCGTGCCGCAAATGACTGGTCATTTTAACATTTTGATATGATCATCTGCATGAAACCCTTCGGGCCGAAGACAAGCCTCATCCCCGTCCAAGTGGACGGAGGAGAGTGAAATGTTATTCCTATTCGTTCTTCACCTACAGAGAGCTGTATTACCTAAGGCGTTGCGGGTTGCTGCGGTCTTCTCATGGTTAACTCTCTCTAGTGAAGCTTACCAAGCCTCCTGGAAGTCTCAACAAGGCTCGAACGACTCTGTTGTCTGTCTTTAACATATGCCACCCGCACCCTTCCAATAGGACTGTTGGATCGGGGTCAGAATTCCTCTCTACAGCAGCCATTCATAGCCCCTGGCTTGGTCCTGCTCTTACCTGGAACTTAACTCTATTGCATCAGTTCTATGAAATGTCTCAAGACATCTCATCGGTAGTCGGAGAGACGATTCGGACGGCTTTCCTCTCCAGGCCTAGGTTCTGGCTATCGACTCCACGTCGATCCTCCTCGCGTCCTCTCGCGGACTCCGTTCCAGTTTCAACCGTAGGAGGATAGTTAATGTAAGCGCCAGGAACCTTTATATCTATACTCTTTCTTCTCTTGACTGCTGAGGTGACCTCGCTCGACGGGTATGGAATTGGAGGAAAGTCCCTGATTGGCCTTCCAATCCTCAATGGTGCAGGGATATTGAGAGGCCTCCTTGGCACACCGTACAAATCTGCCACAGGAAGTAATTGTGACAGAGACGCTGTTCTATACGGGCTCCACTGGTGTGGTGGTGGAATGGCGGGTGCAAAGAATCCCAACTCAGGATGTATTGCGACCTCTGGGTATTCTGCAGGCCTAGAGACTATCAGTGACAGCAACGGTGACGGTGAAGTTTTGGAGGAGCGAAATACCTCATCGTATACATAGATGACCGTCTGGGGATACTGGTGCTACTCCTTAGAGTCACGGGTTGTGCCCATCCTGTCCCTGTCGACGCCGGGATTTGCAAGAAGCCACTTGGATCTGAAAAGTCTCCATATCCAGAGATGTTGTCCGAGGTTGGGGTCTCCAAGTCTTGGGCAACAGTACCTTTCTTTCCAGGGTTAGAATCATTCAAATGATCAGGCAATTCTTCCCGCTGCTCTCTTAGCCTCGATCTCTCCAACATGGGAGGCAACGGTGAGAGGGGAAATTCTTCGGGGTGTTGGTGGGGCCCAGATGCCGAAACTGGAACCGGCTTTCTCCTTATTGCTCGTTCATTGGTTACGCCTCTCGGTTTACCTCTTATGTGTAAATCTTCTAGGTAGGAGGATGCCTGCGAGTTGTGATTCGGCGTACCGCTGGACCAGTTTACTCGGCTGGAGAACCTCCGAGGAATAAGAAAGGCCTCAGACCTTTCAGACGGATAGCAACTCAACGCTATCAAAAGGATTCCCATCAACAGTCTGCAAAGTTGTTAGCCGCAGGGAATTTCAGAATATCTGGGGACTTTACACTGCGAGCCCTGATTCAACTATGGCGACTACCTGCAAGTTGCAGTCTCGATTCCCCTTCAAGCATAAAGATGGCTTTGAAATAACCACGCAAGAGGCAATCAATGTCACAACCCAAAAGATCATTGCCAGGCAAGCGATCTTAAAACAAAGAGCGCGTATCTTGCGCAGAAACTCTCCCGAATGATTGCTCTGTAGTGTCGTGAGGAGGTACACGACGGTGTACAGGATCGAGATTATGGACTGCGATAGGTATATCAGCTAAGAATGCCACTAAGTCACCCATCAGAACTTACCGAGATCAGAAGGAAGGTTTGAGTTGCGCTCACACCAGATGTATGCACATTCTCTGATGAGAAGATCGATGCCGCGAGTCCAATACCAATGATGGAAACAAGTGCCAAGAAGCCTGTCGTGACCGACATAACCCAAGTCGTAAGTCGTGTCGACGTCCTGGGTGGTCTCACAGAGACTGGATTTCTCTCCATCTTTTTCTTTTCTGTAGTTACCAGAAAGCTCTGGGTTGCCTTACTCAGTCGTTCTGTTCTGTATACGCCGGGCGAGTCTTCGCAGGCACTACACACGCACAGTTCATGAAAAGTCAGTAAAAGTCGGACACGAGGTGTAAGTATATTCCAATAAGACTAGTATTATTGCAATAGATAAGGGAGAGAGAAGTAGGAAGGAAACCTACTCTTAAAATTATTGAAAAGGGGCTTCTGACGACGACTATCAGAACAAGCGAGAAAGGGGTCGGGAACTGGAATCAGAAAATCGCAAGGTTGGTACCGGGAGAAACTTAATGAGAAGGTCGGAGATTCTTCATGAGTTATGATTGTGCCATAAAGAGCTTGGTGCGCGGTACATTGCATTCCTAGAGGTGGTATCGAACTACATTCCTCAGTGTGGCAATCCATCCCGCCTCAGCCCGCCTTGTCAGGATGGATACGAGACTTATCGCATCCCCCAAACTTTGCAAGTATGAATCAATTGAGATACTAGAGATATTATCAAGTTAGTACGTCAATCCTCCTTAAGGCGAGTTGCGAAGAAACATCGTTAGACCCTCAGATAGAGCTTTGACACCGCATAGGTCTAGATCATCTTTAACTGATCTGTATTTGATTAGAGCCATTGGTAATTGTTCACGGATATATTTGCATTCTTTGCTTTAACTAGAGCCAATATAAGACAGGCAATACCTCAAGCAGAATAGCATTTGAGCACAATGTCTCCTCGTTGATATAGACAAACCACGACCTGAGCTACCTCCCTAAACCTCACGATCATCAACAATATCTTAAAATTGATCTCCGAGTTTGAAAGGTCGGGGTTTGTCATATTCGAAGTGGATTACTGGAGGATTTCGGAAGTTTGAGAATAATAGTCCACACTATTATTTCCTTATCTTCTTGCGGAACATTGCTGCAAATATACCATAAAGCATTCATTCCCCTTCGAGAGCATATTCTTTCTTCATATTATTCCCACTTCCTCTCATACGATCAAGATATCCCCTGCATCTGACATTTCCATTTCAGTATCCCTACCTACCTACCTACTAACAAGAAGTCCCCCATCGCCTACCTAGACATAAAAACCAGCGATAAGTTCTGACATGCATATCCAAACCGCGCGTCGAGTATATAAACCAATCTTGGAAACAGGACAGACAATGTGAAAGATAGCGAAGTAGCAGAGATAGAAAGAAAGACTAATATTGCATGAATGAAGTGTGAGCGCTAGCTGAGAGATCCTCAGTAGTTTTTGTGCTAGGTAGGTAGGATCTTGGGGAACTGTGGGATGGTTTTTGCTCATATACCTTATATAATGAAATATTAAGCGTTAGAGATCATGAAAAAGCGGCGGGAAAATGAAATGAAATTGGGCGATAATAACAGAAGGTTAGATAAGACCCATTCTTCACCGACCCCCTTCTGGAATTAAGTCCAATATGACTGACTGTAATTTCTGGGATGTAGGATGAAGAGGATCAGAACGCTACTAACGGGAAAGCGCAAGGAGATGATCAACCCTGACCACAAGCTGTACTTAAGTTGCACTTTGCTATTGAGGTAACGTTTGGCTGTGCACAACGGGGGAATCAGATCGCTCGATCCTTAAAATTCGAAGCTGAGGCACAGATACCTACTCCCGCTTTCCAGGACAAAAGGAAATGTATTATATCGAAATACAAGTAGGGTAATCATATGCACGTTATTTGTGACAAAGAGCAGAGTATCTCCATCCCCGAAACTCCTCGTGTCTCACATATCAAGACACGTTCCCAATCCCCATGCCAAAGTACGCCTTGCCTTTCCTTGCCTTTCGCTGAACGGAGATCGCAATTCATCTCCTGGTATTTTGTATCGTCAGAAGCTTCACCTCCCACATTTAGAATTCTCCACCAGTATTGCTAGAGCTCATAGCCTTGGCACTCCAGACACCAATCAGGCCCCACATGCCAACTCTCCAGCCTCTCCAGAGACCCTCGATACCTTGTCCTTTCCTGTCGGGCTTCTTGCCTCTCTTTACCATCTTCCCGGCTCCCGCACCAACCGCAATTTCCTGGCTCGAGGTACCCTCCTCCCGCACAATACTCCACATCGTCCCAAAGACCCCTCTGTACGGTCCTACCTCCACCATTGTCTGCATGTTCGGCCCTCCTGTAGCGGAGTACTCTTGCGAAGAGAGAACGGCCATCTGCCCCCTCCTTAATACGGTCTCAAACGGGAGTTTGATGAATAGTTCGACGACGCGGGAGAGAAATTTGCAGAGGCTGTAGGCGGTGGGGGTGAGGACCGGATCGATGGCCAGGTGGGAGCGGAGCAGTAGGGGTGTGGAGTGGGCTATGGTTGGGGTTATCAAGTTGTGGAGGGCGGTGGGTATAATTAAGGGTGTAGGGCAGAAGTAAGATGGAAGGGTGCGGAGGTTGTATGTGAGTGAGCGGTTGGGGTCGGAAACGGGCGATAAAATGAGCCTGGGACTGTTAGCATTGTATGGGTTATAGAGTGGACTCAAACTGACTTGGTTCGGACGAGATCCAACGGTGCCAGAAGAAGGCCAGTTACAACTGAAGCTGCCACTGCTACTCCAAGGGATGCCCAGGGGTAGGGAGTATCGATCACATCAGTTACAGCTCCCAGCCCTACTATTGCCCCTGGATCAGGCACGTTAAATATAGCAGAAAAAACGCCCCTTGACCAATTCTCTAGGGTAGTAAGCAGGAGGGAATGGATAAATGTAGCATTCGTTGCTTTCCAAACCCCCCATGCTCCTTCTTTTGTCCATTCCTGAGAGATCACCTCTAGTAAGGAGTCGGCTCGCTTTAGTGAAAGCTGGTGTGAAGGCGGAATGGTTTTGGGCGATCGAGGTGGAGGTGAGAGAGATCGGTCACTATTCCGCCGTCGAGATCGAGAAGGGGTATATGAGTGTGCGGATGGAGCTGAGGAGGTGAAGTATGCAGGTTCATCTGCGTCGGAGTCTGAACCGTATTGATCCTTGCATGGCGGATTAGCACATGTACTCAAAGAGGCCTCAGTCTCCATACATCACTATACACTGAACCCCGATAACTTGACGCCCTTGATCGCACATCTTCTGCCACGGAAACTGGTGTTGTCCCTGCTGCTCCCTGACTCCTGACCTGCAGGACGGTCTTCCCGACATCGAAAGGCTGGCTTAGCAATACGCTAAAGTACCTGTATAAATTGTCGTTGAACATCTTCTGGACCGATTCCATACCCGATGGTGCGGAGTCTGAGGAGAAGTAATCACTGTAGTCGACATCAGAGAAGATGTCGCGTGCAGATGATGCGTAGGATGCTGCACTGCCATTTTTTGGGCCAAGTCCATGAGTTCCAGAGCTGGTCGCGCCTGGTGTGTCTTGCGGGAGGCCAATAGATGGAGGCCTGTAGTATGGCCGCAAGGGATTTGGGCCCTCTCGTGAGGTCGACATTATGGATTATGGTTGTTGGTTCTGGAAGAAGGTTGGTGGTTTGCAAAACCAAGGATTTATCAAAAATCATGGAAGATCCATCAATCAGACAAGGATGTCGTCGGAAGTGTCAAAAGTACGCGCCTATCACGAAGCTCGCGTATAGTATTACCGTATTACTGTATTATCACCACGTTATTCAGATATTAAAGTGTGTTTATTCACTGCATTACAGTATTTACTCCGGCAATCTTATCTCCGACAACATTTTTGCTGCTCGGCCTCTTAAAATTATTAAATAGCAACAACACCAAGAGAACAATACTTGGTTGGAACATAATATACACCGCCATTTAAGGTGCCCCTTACGTTGCAGTTGTGCTTTACATTCTACTCTTTGAACTGGCTTTCCTGGCTTTCTTTCCATACCCATATCAACATCGTCTGGCCAATTCGCCTTCTCTCTTTCAAATCGCAGGCACACGCTCATAGTCAAGATGGTTACCACGAGAACAGCAAGTCGAAGTTTGCTGGCGCTTCGGAGGGTGAAGTGCCAATGTCTGCAGACCCCATTCAGAGCGGCGCCAGCAGCTCAAAGTCGATCCATGTCTTGCGCAACAATTCCATCACATCCATCAACATATCACTTTACCGTACGCAGCACCGCAAACCCTCGAAGCAACATCCGGAAGCAATTCGAAGTAGGACAAATTGCAAGATCCTCACCGACAAGGAGAGCATTCTCGGTAACCCCAGCTGCTGCGCATGGTGACTGGTCGCCGCCAAAGCCGGGAGAAGAGTATGTCAAGCTTCGGACACGTAGGGATAGGATGGTGCTGATCCACAAGCAGGCTCTATGTAACGTTTATCGACAAAGAGGGCGATGAGCACAAGATTGCAGTGTCGAAGGGGGACAATCTCTTAGATGTTGCTCAGGCAAATGATATCGAGATGGAAGGTATGGCCCCAGCTCTATACACGCAGCGGCACAAGCTCAAAATAGGATCTAGGCGCCTGTGGAGGCTCCTGTGCATGCTCTACGTGCCATGTGATAGTCGAGGACGAGGAAATGTACGATAAGATGCCCGAGCCTGACGACGACGAGAACGATATGCTGGATCTAGCGTTCGGTTTGACCGAAACATCGAGACTGGGTTGCCAGGTTATCATGGACGAGTCACTGGATGGATTACGAGTGAAGCTTCCCTCGATGACGAGAAATATGCAGGCGAGCGATTTCGGCCAGAAAAACTAAAGATCTGATTAAGGATGTACTCCATAGGTGGCATGGAGAGGATAGACTGGGCCGGGAGGGGTTTAGACACACGGCATGTACAAGTGCGTCTATTGGGAAAATAATCTTGGATCAAGAATAGGATCCTATTGGGAGGGTATCATAGATCCTCGTGTATATGTAGTATCTTGCCGCCGTCGATTTGTTCATAGAGCCCCTTGGAGTGTTGAGCATCTCCAACGATGCTTCGAAAAAAGAACGCCACACATTCAACCGCAACACCAAGCCATTCCTATGCACAAATAACTTTTTCCTCCTCAAGCTTCCTCAATCCCTCCAGTCTTCAACCCTCCTCCACCACCAGCAATTAGCTCCAAAAAGCCCTTCTTGCTCATCTCATTGATCTTCTCTTCTCTCCTTCCCTGCCCGACGATGCCCTTGTTCCTCGCCTCCCTCGCTGCCTCCTCGCCTTTAACCTGTGCAGCTCTTACTGCGTTGAACAGCTTCACCACACCCCTCTGAGCCGTCTTCCTCAATCTCTTCTCCAACTCCATCGTCTCCTGCACGCTCTGGCCCCCCTCCCCTTTCCCATTCGCAGCATCAAATGCCGTGCTGGCTCCGAGGACGTCCTTGACCCGCCCCTTATCCAGCGCGGCTCTCTTCTCCTCCCTCAGCTTACTCTTCGCCTTCTTCTCTAACGCCAAATCTGTGATTTCCTTGCTGGCTTGAAGAGCTGTCACGCTTCTCGAAAGGACTGGATCACTCCGTTTTGAGCTTGATAGCTTCGAGCTCAAGATCTTGGACATGGATGTCGCAAATGCATCCGGGTCGTTGCGTTTGCGCTTTCGTATTAAATTGGGATTCGTCTCTTCTGAGCCCGAGTCCGAGCCTGATTCTGAGTCTGAGTCCGAATTCGACGCATCTGTGACCTCGGACTCTTCTCCTGCTGCTTCCAGTGCAGGCTCATCATCTTCGTCTGACGCTGCTGCTGTGACGAGATCTGTGGTGTCAAGTCCTTCTTCATCAGAGTCTTGTAGGTTCACGGCTTGGAAGTCTGTTTCTGCCTCGGATTCGGAGTCGCTGCTGTGGTATTCGGTTTGCTTCTTGAATTTCTTAACAGGTCGAGACACCTTCCCTTTCATCCCCTCTTCCACCTTGCGTTTTTTAGAGTGTGGTCCTGCCATCTGGTCGAATTGTCGTGGATGTTATGTTCCTGATCCTCCCATGGGAGGGACCAAAAACTTCCAAAATAATATGTTCTGAAATTCTTTGGGATTTTCCGAAAGCGCGGAACAACTTCTCATTGGCCAAGTCTGAACCATTATGAACACCCCGCCTCTTTATCCCACATTTGTTAGTTTAGACCTCCTAAACCCCATCTCTGCGACGGCGACAGCAAGATCGTCGCATAACTCATACTCAGCATGGTTCTTCAAGATTTGGGGCGGCGTATCAATGCCGCCGTCAGTGACCTCACGCGGTCCAGCAATCTCGATGAAAAGGTAGATAACACCTTATTCTAGCGGCGAGTCGAGCTCACTGACAGACCTAGGCATTCGATGGAATGATCAAGGAAATCTGCTCCGCGCTCCTGCAAGCCGATGTGAATGTGCGCCTGGTCAGCAAACTACAAAAGTCCATCAAAGCCGCTGTGAACTTCAAGGAGCTGGCGCCCGGTGTCAACAAGAAACGGCTTATCCAAAAAGCTGTCTTCGACGAACTGGTCCAACTCGTGGATCCGCATGCCGAACCTTTCAAGCCAAAGAAAGGGAAGCCTAATGTTATAATGTTTGTGGGATTACAGGGCGCGGGGAAGACGACCACTTGCACGAAATTGGCGAGGCATTATCAATCACGAGGATTCAAGGCCTGTCTGGTTTGCGCAGACACGTTCCGTGCCGGTGCTTTCGACCAGTTGAAGCAGAATGCCACGAAGGCGAAGATTCCATATTACGGGTCACTCACACAAACGGATCCGGCCGTAGTCGCGAAGGAAGGTGTAGAGAAATTCAAGAAGGAGAGGTTTGAGATTATCATTGTGGATACCAGTGGAAGGCATCGACAAGAAGATGCTCTGTTCCAAGAAATGGTTGATATTCAGTCGGCCGTCAAGCCTGACCAGACGATCATGGTTCTAGATGCCAGTATCGGACAACAGGCAGAGGCTCAAAGTAAAGCTTTCAAGGAGACTGCGGATTTTGGTGCTATTATCATCACCAAGACCGATGGACATGCCAGCGGAGGTGGTGCCATCTCGGCAGTTGCAGCTACACATACCCCTATCGTCTTCATCGGAACTGGAGAACACATGTTAGACTTGGAAAGATTTGCTCCTCAGCAATTCGTATCGAAACTTCTCGGAATGGGCGACATGCAAGGGCTCGTGGAGCACGTGCAATCCCTGAAACTGGACCAGAAAGACACCATGAAGCATATTGCCGAGGGTGTATTTACTGTCCGCGATCTCCGAGATCAATTATCGAATATCATGAAGATGGGCCCCCTCTCCAAAATGGCAGGCATGATTCCTGGCATGAGCGGAATGATGCAAGGCATGGACGACGAAGAAGGCTCACTGAAACTCAAGCGAATGATCTACATCTGCGATTCGATGACCGCGAAGGAATTGGATAGCGATGGCAAGATGTTCGTCGACCAGCCTACGCGGATGACGAGAATAGCCTGCGGAAGCGGGACAAGCGTAAGAGAAGTAGAAGATCTCTTAACGCAGCACAAGATGATGGCAGGCATGGCAAAGAAGATGGGTGGCAATATGAAAAATATGCAAAGAGCTCAAGGGGCCATGGGAGGGGGCAACAAACAACAGCAGATGGCAGCGATGCAGAAGCGGTTGGCAAGCATGGGCGGTGCTGGTGGCGGTGGCATGCCAGATATGGCATCATTGATGAAAATGTTTGGGGGAGGAGGTGGAGGTATGCCCGGTGGCATGGATATGCAAGCTATGTTGAAGCAAATGGGAGGGATGATGGGCGGGATGCCTGGCATGGGAGGCCCAGCTGGAAGAGGACGGCGATAAACATCATCGCTCGCAGACACGGCCAAAGGGACAAAAGAGGTTGCATAAAGCGCGGCGTTTGGAGCCCGGATTTGAATTTCAGGGATTGGATTGGACGAGATATGTAATTCTCACCTCGGCCACTCGATGGCCATTGTATCGATCGATCATTTCTGCAACAGCTAGTTTAACACCAGTCCTCTATTCCCCTTCCAAACGAGTCGAGCCCGCTTCCCTCACCTGCCCGCCTAACTATTCATCTCACAGCCAAACCTCAGTCTCTATGTCCCCATTCGCCCACGCATCCCTCCGCTTCAGCTTCCATCCCCTCCTCCTCTGCCCATTCCCACACTCACAACTCGGCGTCCCATTGATAGAGATATCCTCTGCCAGCAAAGTGCCAAACTCCCCCGCTAGAATCTTCTGTTCCCTAACCAGCTCCGCCATCATCTCATACAGTTTCCTGAACTCTGCGTCTGGGCCGCTGGGGGCGGAAGCTGGGGCACATGTAGGTTGCGACAGGAACGTACGCTCGAACAAGGACGTTAGGCTGCAGGAGGCGGTCCAGAGTAAGACCCAGCCTAGGAGGAGATAGAGGATGGTGCGCGGGGTGAGGAGATTGCTGTCGGGCATGTTTTGGGGTGGTTGTTGTATTATTATTATTGATTGGGGATTTTGGGTGTAGTGGTGAAGGCGTTGTGCGTGTAGAGGAAGAGAGCGCTGCGCAAGCCTGAGGGGACGGGGGCTACAGGGCCGCGCACCGCTGAAGGGCGACGGGTCCAGAGGAGAGGTGGGGGGTGTATATGTTAGTGATTTTGGATTCGTGATATTGCGTATGGGATCAACGGTCAATGGGGCAAATACAGTCAGCTTCTCATGGATCTTTCCTTATCTACCCCGGACGCCATTGTGGGACGGTGCGATCTTCACGCGGGATGAACTAGGGTCTCGTTATTCAGCTTCTGCTTTACGTTACTGTAGGCAGGCCTTGAAGATCATAAGTGCTGGGCGCAGAATGAGATACATACCTTGATAACATTGTGTACATCTACCATTCTATGTCAGCTATATAGCATCTTGCCTATGTATATAGAAGAGTTCAATAAGCACTTCTTATACAACCATTTTGTTTTAAAGTCATTTGTCTCAATAGAAGTCCGAATTCAAAGAGAGGAAGGATTCTCGATGAACAAAAGCTTAGCACTCATTGAAAACCTGCCTCAAGTATAACGCGAGAGGAATGGGTCTCACGAGTATAAAACTACCTGGGGCAATTGATTATGAAATGAATACTCAATTTCACTGCGGAAAGAAAACATTGTATGTAAATCAAGACAAGTCCCCCGTATTTAGTTCGTCAATCATTCAACAGCTCCACAGCTCCACAGCTCCATCGTAAACCGCCACAAGAAGGGTCTCCGCTTAACGAAAGGAGCGAGACCTTGAATCGGCAGAGGGGGGTGTTTGTAAAAGCGTAATCAGGTTTGGAAGTGAGAGAAGATGCTGAGGCAGATTTAAGAATCGAATAAACCTAAAACAAGTTTGAAATTCCTTTCAAAGGTGGTGATGATGCTCAAGGTATCACGGCGAAGTGATAGGCGATGGGATAACTGGATGCCAAGTGTTCTCTCCTTCATTTAATGAGTCCGTTCGGAAACCTTTCAAGTTCTCGTAATCTTTCCTCCGTAGAACCATGATTGTCGGGGTCAAGATAGATCCTGGCGACAACACCTCTCTCAGGACGTCCTGCCGGATAGTTAGCAATCTGTGGAGCGTATATAATCTGATTCGCGTGACTAACGCCCATGGTGATGGCTGTGGCCTCTCCAACGATAATCATGCCATGCTCTTTCCTCTAACAGAGCGCGGTCCAGGTTGTTAAATGAGCAACTGAATGATATCAGGGCTATCAAGATGGAGAGGTCTCCACCAAGGCCCCGAGCCCTAGGTGCACCAGGATATGGCTCATATGGGCATCTGTACGAATCTAGCCCCAATCTATGGATCCAGCCAGGTTCTGCACCAGCTCCTGTACTAGCGAGGTATTCTTGATCGGCAACGAACTGGACTAGAGACAAGTTTCCCTCATGCTCAAATGCTAGAGGGTACCAACGATCACAGGGGGACTGAGCGGTGGCCATATCGAACGTACTGACATCTTCTATTGCAGTAAAGAACTGATTAAATGGATTACACCAGAATACCGTCGTAGTTTCATAAGGAGTGAGCTGGATGTTCGGTTGACCTATTGCGCTGACCACGCCATTTCTCCACCTGTATAGATGTCCTGGATGTGGAGGAGAGAACCCGTCCCTGTAAATCGGTGGACACCAGCGCCCATTTTCATCCAGTCTAGGTGGAATTTCGCTAGAGTCGTTTATAGGTAGCTCATCGACGACAAAGAGAAAACTATAAGGGGGAGAGATTGATGGTCCTTGTTCTTGTTGTGCCGACTTGGAGGAAAAGCCGCGTGAAGACTTTCCCGTTGGTTTCTGTAGTATTTCTTTAGACATACACAACATGCAGAGCAAATACCGAGCGAACGACCTACAGATCTGCCCATATCGTATTCGTAAGGTAGGAAATGATGATACGACAGTGTACGACTAGCTTACGCATTCGTATGTTCTGAACAGATGAGTTGACCGAGATTTAATCGAAACGACAAGTGTAGACGATGGCAAGGAAAAGGTAAGGGAGGTAGTGATGAGACACGGTCTCTACCCGTTCTAAAGTGACAACAGGCGGCATCCTTGATCCTGGACACCCAGTACTTACATTAGTGCGCGTGACGATATTGATTGAATCTGGTTGACTGCGATAGTTTTGTTTGATAGTATTCCCCAGAGATTGGCTGCAGTATGGCCCCCATATGCAGGCTTGCTTGGCATTGCAGGATGTACCATAATCCAAAGAAGAGAGTAACCATCGAGCTAATGATCGTCATAATGCTAGCAGGAATTGGCTGAAAGGATAACACTTTGCTAAAGATGACACAAGAACATGATCCTTGCGAATAAGGAGCAAATACCTTCCTCAGGGTGTCTCGAGACCAGTGACTATCAGTAGATGCGTTTCCTGAATAGTAGACTGCTGGTAATTGTGTGGTCGCACATCAGCCTGGAAACTATGGCACCTGTTCGACGAGGGAGAGTTGACTGTACCCCTGCAAAAGCCAGAGGAGCCAACATGTGATTTTGGGCAGGAGTACACGTATCACTGAGATGCTGGATGGTTAATGGTTCCGGTGCTGTCCATTCCCCTAGGCCAAGAGCAATCACTCTGTGATGTCCTAGACCAATATTATTGGGATCCTCGGTCTGACACCTATGAATGCAGGGAAGGCGCTGTGCGCCGTGAGTGATGAATCAGCCGCGAAAATTGAGAGGAGTGTAAGTGCCCGGAGGGCAAGAGTCGAATCGACAAGCCCGAAAGGAGGGGGATAGTCCAAGGCCCTCCAAGGGAACTTCTCGGCAAGTTCAGTGCGGCTCTGCGCAGTGAGGAGTCCTCACGGCTATAACTTGAGCGGCTACCGTCGCCAGAAGGCAAAACGGTTAGCCAATTCGTGTGGTAGAGATAAGGTGTGATTCGGCTGTCCCTCAAGTGTGAGGCCTCTTTCCACACAAGGTGTGGGTGAAGTTTGACGAATCATACGTCTCAGATATCTGCAAAGATTTTAGCGACCGGTCAAAAGTTTAGAGTAGAGAACAGCATGAAATGCGAGGAGGACAGACCAAGAAAGAAGGCATTGTTTCTCGAAGACATGATTTTCTATGAGACTCGAATAAAGACCGCTTCCGAATAGGCGGGTTCTGCCATCTTATATTTTGTCCTCCTGCAGTCGTGGTCAAGGGTCAGCTGGACTTGCATGGAGTGTCCTTCGACTCTCATAGTAGTCGGGCGTACTCTCTCGTTAGCTTGGTTGCCTCGTTCCTTAAATCAATGTTGCCTCGCCCATGGCGAGGTATTTCAAGCTCATGTAGCAGCCCTCGACCAATGACATATCAAATACTGAAAGGTGCAGACTCTGCATCCTCCGCCTGCAAGTGACAGCGTATAAATGAGGAGGATAAGGATCTCCCATACTACATGCACCAAAAAACAAACTACTGGATGTTTGACTTGTCAATTTTCGGATTGACAGAAGGGATTGACCATAATTTTCGACCACAGACTTCGTATCGGCACAAGAGTGGAGTTGACTGCATCGAAACAGGTTAGGTCTTATGAGAAACACCTGGCAGTATTTCTAAAGTGTCCTATGACAAGAGAACTTAGGAGTGGCAAGGCTGCAGCTCATATCCGCTTCATGCTCGATGTGAAAACATGGGGAACATTAAGTGATAGATGGATAACATCAGCTGGGTCGAATCAGATTTATCCAATAGCAAACTTGACGAGTGTCCGGGTGTTGCTTTGATTCTTGTTCTTCTGAGAAAGGCAAATATCGCCAAAGCCGACATCACTTGAAGCCAAATGTAATGATTGGTCATGCGTGGATAATAAGTAATTGATGGAATAGCACTGTGCGGAGAGGTTCAACAGCGGAGTAGGACTTGCCACTATCCCAAGAAGTCGTCAATGTTTCTGAAGGAGCTTTTATTAAGCTCAACTTGGCACCCTATCAGAAAGGGGTATAAGGAATGTAAGGGTGTGCAGGCGTGTACCGCGCAACATCGAGGTCGAAGAGCAGGAGTGCAGATGCCGCAACTTAGTCCACCCCAAGATGGGATTATCTGAGCTGCGAGCGGAGAGGAATGAAGTCGGTCTGAAATTCACGAGGTCACTTTGCTCGCATCGCATTTGTATCAAAGAATGAAGAGCTTGTGGCCCGTGAAATATATCAACAAATAAGCGAACTCGGAAGGGGCAAGACAACTGCACGTGATCGGGCGCATATTCTCATTCCAGTCTGGTAATTTGGGGTGTGATGAGCAGAGAGGCAACTAGTCGAAATACTCTAGGTCTGTATCTGAGGGGTGGAAATCAGGTCAGTTTATGGGCTACATGTGGACGCTTGACGAGGAGCGAGCCAGGGGCATTCTCCCGAGCCGGGATAGACTGAAGAGAGCTAATATTGCTACGGAAGCCAAGCATTCAAGGGATCCATATTCCGTAGGAATTTATACTCTACGGCTAGAGTATGAGGATAGCAGAACGTCTTGATTTACTAGTCATCTAGAGTCATGTATTCTGGTTTTTTGCATGCTTCTCGCCGATCGAAAGAAGGCCGAGTTCGTAATAATCTGATGCCTCGTGAAGTACGCAGGACCCATGTTCGTGGAACCATTATTATCACGGCCCCTCTTGCTCCAGCGCAGCCTTACTATCGCTCTGGCTGTTCGTCTTTCGACGAGTCTTGGCCGTCTTCCTCCACGCCGCCTTCCCCCACACGCTCACTCGATCTCGAACTGCATGTAACTTTTGTCTGTGTCGTCCATGCTGACGAGCGGGCGAGGTGGGTTCTATTACTGAGTCTTGGGCTGGTATATTTTCAGAATCAGCACACGCCTGAATTTCCAATTTCTCCTCCTCCATCAAAACACTGCTCTCTGTCTGATCATGTGTGACTGACATCGAGGAAGGCATATATATCCCAGCCGCAGGATTCAAAGTGCTCGGTAGTTTGGGTAAAGAGGCCCGGACTTCGCACTCTTCTCCGATAACAGGAGCGCTGACGGGGTTTGCTTCTTGGTCTTTTTTGACACTTATATCCGCATGGTCTTTCGATAAGTTCCTGGTCGGAGTTTTCTGCTGAACATAGCGGTGGAGCTCCTCCCAAGCATCTCCAAAAAGAGTCCCCATGAGTGTGTCACGGAACGTTGCATCGTGCGTGCAACCACAGTATTGTTCCGTACATATTCCGAGCATAAAGTAGCGGCAGGCCTTGTTTGATGCCATAAAATGAACAATTTGATCTAAAGGGTCCGCATTTGTAGCGTACAGAAATTGGGAGCCGTTCTGAGGAAGGCTGTACTGCTGGGGTATAACACCCGCGTATGTTGGATAACCTTGTACGTCCACTCCGTGGGGCCGATTGCCATAGAGAAAATTATTCTGTACGGGGAATCCGTGTGGAATGTAACGGGGAGCCGTCCCATTCACCACATCAGCATAAGGAGGGTTCATTCGTCGTTCTGCTCCGTAGGTAGCACTGTCATTCATAAGACCATTGGCATATTGCGGCGGTGGAGACGGATCTAAGTGCCCGCTAGAGCTCATATTGAGGATCTGGAGGATATGCTTGAGTGTTCTTTTGGTCTCCGAAAATATTGTAATGTAATGCTCGTAATGATGGTGCAGGACCGAACGATGAACGAAGAGGAGACCAGGCGGTACCGAAGAATTCCTTGAGAAACATAACACAAGAGACGAAGAAGGGATTATAGACTGAATCTAAAATCGCAATCGCACTTACCTTGGCCAAGAAGAGGAAATAAACTCAGTAGAGTTAGACTGCTGAACTCTGAAGGAGTCTGTCTGTAAAGTAGCCGGGAACTACCCTCCTCAACATTTCCATGCACCGACGAAGCTTTAGAGGCAAGGACAAACAGATTTTTATTAAGACCAGACTGCTTCAATCATGAATACAAGACGAACTTAGGGAGTCTAGAGGTGACAGAAACAGTCGAGCTGGAAAAACAGGTCCCCGAAGATTAGGTAATCAGATGTTTGAAGGCCAAATCACGTGCCAGAAAACCATTCACCGCCCGCACATTCTGCCTGGCAGATAGATTTCGGGAAAGTATTTTCTGAAATTCTGAAATCGATACCCCGCCAAATCTCAACCTCAGTCGCTACCCACGCAGCAAAAATGGCCTCAAACGCACCGAAACCGATACACAGTCTAGTTATTGATGCAGGTCCGATAATCAAAAATGAGCCATCTGTTTCAACCCTCCTAGGACAGGCCGAAACGCTTTTCACGATCCCGGCCGTTATCGATGAAATCCGCGACGCAGTGACAAGAGCTCGAGTAGAATCGACTCTACTGCCATTTCTAACGTTGAGATCACCGAGAGCAGCAAGCATAAAGGTCATCACGGACTTTGCGAGGAGGACTGGGGATCTGGAGGTGCTCAGTCGTCCGGATATACACCTGATGGCATTGGCATACGAGCTAGAGTGCGAAAGGAACCATGGAGATTGGCGGTTAAGAAGCTTGCCGGGGCAAAAAAGACTTAATGGAGCGCCACCTGCTTCTCTGAAGAGTGAGAGCTCCTCGGAGACGCCTGCAGAACAGGCTGAGACGCCGACACAATCTGAGCCGACGACTACACCTGAGACGAGTGCCACAGTCCCCGAGCAGGTTAATGAACCTGTCACAACCACTATCGAAGAATCCCTTGAATCCACTCATATTTCTTCGCCGGATGACCAAAACAAGGAATCAAACCCGGCGGAGTCTAGCCTTACACCTTCTTCAGAACAGCCAACCACAGAATCCGATCATACGGTTGAAGAAGTAGAAGTCTCAGGATCGGAAGACTCCGATGAGGAGGGCTGGATCACACCCTCGAACCTCAAGAAACACCAAGAAAAGGACGCAAACTCTTCAGCCGAACCTCAAGATGAACCCAAGGTAATGCAAGTCGCAATCATCACTTCCGATTTTGCCATGCAAAATGTTCTTCTACGCATGAACATCAACCTTCTCTCTCCGTCTCTACAGCGAATACGGCAGCTTAAGACTTGGGTCTTACGGTGCCATGCGTGTTTTGATATCACAAAGGATATGAGCAAGCAATTCTGTCCTCGCTGCGGGAAACCAACGTTACTTCGAACATCGTGTTCAACAGATCAAAATGGTACTTTCAAGGTACATCTCAAGAAGAACATGCAATGGAACACCCGAGGGAATGTTTATAGCATCCCGAAGCCAGTGGCAGGTTCGTCGAATGGGAAGCTTGTTGCAGGAGGAGGAAAGGGAGGATGGGGCCAGAGTTTGATCTTGGCAGAGGATCAAAAGGAATACATCCAAGCCATGACAGGGGCGAGGAGAAAGAAGGAGAGGGATTTGATGGATGAGGACTACTTGCCTAGTATCCTGTCAGGTGATCGAGCCAGAGCGGGTGGGAGGCCGAAAGTGGGAGCTGGGAGGAACGTGAACTCGAAGAAGAGACGTTGATTTCGTCTGTTCGAATTATGACATTGCCGGCGTCGAAGAAAATGGGACGAAAGGGTCATATACGGAACACAGGATAGATAGAACTTGGGAATCTTTTATGACCTTTTTGACGTAATATCCATGCAGCAATCGCAACAATATCTCAAACACCACCTAACTCCCATACTCCACGATATGCCCCTCCCTCCTAGAAGCAAACACCCCTCCTGCATTCCCCTTATTGGCCCAAAACCTTCAGATCCTCTACAGCACACACAGATACCAATTAGCAATCATCTCCTCGCCGTTTCTCAAGCCAAAAAAACATTAAAAGCAAAAGCCCTCAACCGGAAAAACAAAAAGACTCACTCTGCTGCGTAATGAGCAACCCATATCTCTTCTTCAACGTAACCCGATGTCTCGAGTATTTATCATCCGGTGAGAACCGAGCAGGATGCGCAGACTTGGTCACTTCACCATTAACTACTTTCTTCAGCGTGTAGATGCGCTTGCCGGAGGCGTCGAGCGTGTACATGAGATGCATGGCTGGGCGATTTCTGCGTGAGGAACAACGGGTGCTGGTTTTCTTTTTTTTTTGTGCGAGGATGCTGATGGTGTGTTAGCGTGCGAAAAAATACGGTCGAGGAATATTGAGAAACGTACGCGTTCCGTGCAGTTGTGCTGGGAAAGAGTTGCGTTTGCGGCTTTTGATCGAGCTTGAGCCTCAAGATATTTTTTTGGAGTTTTCAGACTTCGACTGGGGTCAAGGAAGCTAGTACCAGGAGAGGTTAGCGCCGAAGGTTGGAAGAAAGGTGCGATCACGTGAACACATTCCCGAAAAGTCTCTGTATTCAGGTACCTATGGTAAGGTAGGTAGAGCAGAAGATTTCTAGTGAGCTTGGGGTGATGAATGAGTTGCAACCTCATCACTCTAACCTTGAATATAGTGGATTTGGTGAAAAGAAGATACAGGAACACTGTTTTTATCCTATGCCACGGAAACACACCAGGCGAATTCCTTTTAGTAGAAGAGTATTTTGGATCATATAATGAGTGCGGGATATTCTCAATAGTCGTTTTCATACCAGCACCTTTATCCTGGGTATTTTATAATATCAAACGCTCAACTCCATAATATGCCCGCCCCTCCCCTGTCGAAGGACCCCCTAACGCCGAATAACAGCAAACATGTACAAAGCCAGTTCATACTTTAGCCTTCTTCCGAACCGTCATACCAGCCGAAAGGACATTGACCTGCGGAGCAGTGCCATTGCTCGATACCGCAGAAGGTGCTTCTTTTTGCTCTTCCGCGCCGGTCTTCCTCTTCTTCTTGACGAGTCCCGTGCTAAGTGTAGTAACACCAACAGCCTCACCTGCATTCCGGCTCTCCACGACCTTCGTGCCAGTCACGGTCTGACCCCAAGCATCGCCCATGCTGCCCCAGGCCCCAGATCGCACTTCGTTGATCCACCTGCTCGAGCTGGAGCTTGCCAGTTCCAGGTTTGCAAAATCCAGACGGAGGAGGAGCTCCGTGATGCGTTTGTAATCTGATTCATCGACGATGACTTGACCTCTGCTTTCAGGATACCATACATAGTAAGCGGTGCGTTCAGGCCTTTCCAAGAGGTAATTCCTATTTTCGGTTTTGATTCGTGGTTGACGTGGGATGATGGGCCCAGTTAGCTTTTTCCGTTTTGGGGTACGAGGCTTCGAGGAACGGTCTGATTGTTGGGAGACTTGGAAGAAACCATTCTCTTCTCTTTTAAGGGATGATTTTTTTGAGGGAATCTGGCTTGAGGGAGCTGTTAATGGGGTGGATGAAAGATCTGGATGATCGGGAACTGGCGACACAGATGAATTACCGTCCTGGGTCATCTGGCTATCACCATCTGACTCTCTAGCTTGCCGTTGAATAGAAGGCGTAAAGACAATCCATATAAAGCCTACTAGTCGTCCTGCAGAACACTCCTGTCGAAACGCCATCATGTCCCAAAATTGGTCTATGGATTTGACGCTTTTCCACTGTCCACTTGCACTGTTTTGACCCCTTGTAATCTCATCGTCAAGTTCATCCAAGTATCGGGCCTTTGGATCGTCTGGAAAGTGTGGGATCAGGCATCTTGGAGGGACGTCGCTAGGATGTCTCGAAATCTGCTTTAAAGGATGGCCCATTGTCCACAGTGACCTTGTTGCTCTCGGAATGTATGAACTTGTTTCGTGAGCATCGAGACCCGGCACGATCAAGTAGCCCTTCACTCCCTCCCATTGGGATTTATCTGACTCTGCTGATGTTTTCGTCTCTTCAATCAGGGGATTGAGAACCCGACACCACCATCGTACTAGCCCTCGGTCATCAAGAACATGCTTGCCATTATATTCGATGCTCCCGGGAAACAGGTATTGATCTTGGGCTCGTGCGAAGAGAGATACAACGCTTTGAATGTTTGGTCTTTGATGTTGTTCGACGAGGTGCCGTAAAAAGGTGCCGCTAATTTCTCGTATGGGAGAGGGTATTCCTTTTGGCAGGTTCAGAAGATGTAGATATCCAGTCGAATCTGCCTTGGAAACGAAAAATGTCGTGTCGTAGGCGGTGGAGTAGATCAACACCTCAATCGCAAAGACCAACACTTCCACTTTCTCAGAGGGATTCTCTCTCGATTGTGTCTGAATGGAGGCAGACAAAAAATGACTCTCACAGTACGTTCGATCAGGGCGGCCTCCTGGGGGAGCTGAGTATATTGCGGACGTCCGTGTAGGAGGGGTTGAGAGGTGATATATCCTAAAACTGACGTCTTTTGGAAGAACCGCGGCTAGTTGTTGGAGCAATGTTGGTGAAGAAATAGCTGTTTTACTCAGCCTTTCGTGTGCAGCCATGATCAGACAAATTACCAAAAATCAAGGGTCATGGTTACGCAAATGTGAATCTCGATATCAATTTGTCCTTGTCGCGATGGTAGGGGGGCGCGATGCAGGGTCGCTCAAAGAAGCTTAGCGTCTCGCGCCAAAATAATTTATGTACCTTTACCTTGGGGACATGGAAGACGACCTTCAGACTCTCCACCACCGAGCTTGGGACAGGAGAAGGACAATGGCATCGAAAACAACGAGTCGATCACTCCAAGCGATCGCAAAACGGGGACGGACAAGCTGCCCATGCTCCGGTTCCAGCTTCTCCCGGAGCCCCTCCGTACGACAATTTTCAGTATCCTCACCGAGACCCGATGTCCCATATGAGAACGACAAGGCAGAGCGGCCAAGATGGTCATATACGCCTGAAAGGATGAAGGCACCCTTTCCTGCAAAGCCGAAGAATCCTGAGATGGCTTGGGAATGCAATAACGACCCGCAATTACTAGATCAATTCTATATCAGATTTTTGGGCCGAGGGGGGGATACCGTTCTCACAGACGAGATCAAATGGCTTGCCATCACACACAAGAGTTTTGACCAAGGGCGAAGAGGGTTCAATGACCGATTGGCGTTTTTCGGTATGTTTTGAAGAGCGGATCATGGCCATCGCATACTGAGCAATACAGGTCGACGGATTCTGAATCTCCAGATGAGTCTAGCATTGCTACACTCGCCAGTAGCCACGAAGACACAGTCATTGCCAAATCCAGAAGACGACCGCGTTCCATTCAAACACCCTGCGTTGGAAGGATTAGCAAACCTGACTGATGTACCGGTCGGAGAAGTCTTGACGAAGAAGCGTCTTGCGGGTTTGGCGACCCAGATGGGCATGCAGGAGATTATCAGATGGAAGCCGCGGATGGTAAGATGGTTTTTAGACCCTCGAGATCTGAGACTGACGATAAGTAGCCGGCCAATTTGGACGCATCCGGTATCGATGCTGTTCTTACGACGACACTATATGCTATAATCGGAGCGATAGCGCTCCAGAAGGGAGGAGACGTTGCGAATCGAGTTACGAGGGAGAGAATTCTGAAGCCACTTGGGATATCATAGCGACATGTATAGCATGGACGGAGTAGGTGTAGAATATTGTACATTACATGGCAGATCTCAACGACGTTTAAACATGTAGCGTCTGACCTGGTTATCTAGTCTTGGTGCTAGGCATAATGGCAAACTTGGGAAACACTGCTGTCTTCTATTTCTTCTCTGCTTAGTTGAGCGTGTGGTCTTCAGCGGTCACGATCGGGATCATTCATGCTCGAGGGTTGCAAGTCCGAATCATGTCCAAGTGGTACTTGACGAGGATAAATCTTGAAAAGTATTTAGCGCAAACCAAGAGTCCGGTATCGTGGGGCTTGAAGCTTGCGGACATATCACCAGGCCCTGAACGACCTCTCGGGGTTTCGAGACACAGGCATCCGCATTACGCGTCTCAAGACCTTCAGAGATGAAAGTCAACCCCGCATTACAGAGCTGAGAGGCTTTCAACTCACAGCCGACAAGCGTCTGGCATCCTCTAGAAGTTCCGGAATCGAATCACAAGCCATGTCCAACACATCCCAGAGAACACTGGGACCGGTCTTATAGTCCCCGAGAGCTTTCAGAATAATGCCGGCGGTTGAGTCGTAGGCATCGAGACCTTGAAGCGGACGAGTTCGCCCCTTGGCAGGCAAGCATAGATACATGGATCGATGATCTGATCTGAAACAAAGTAGCTCTCCAAGACTACACCAACGAGCACGCAAAAACCAAATCATGCCTGCAGAACGTTGGAAGAGGAACTAACACAGTTGTCAGTACGCTGAACACAATACTTCCAGAATATAAATAGCGTCTGGATAAATTAGAGCGGAAGACACAAGAGCTGGATGGTAAGCATTCCGGCTTGGACAAGAGAATCCAACGGCGATGTCTCCATATTTCTGATGGAACTTGCGGGTAGGAACCAGGAGATCAACGAGCAGCTCGGCGGCATCCAGAGGAAATGCGACGAGCCAACAAAAAGGCCTGAAGAGGGTGGGTGATCGAGAGCCTTGATCTCTTGCTTTACCCCTAGAGACGATCCATTTCTGAGGATTTAACTCCGGGTTCCCGTACCAGACGGCTGGCTCTCTCTGAATTAGATATATCGCAACGGTATTCCTCTAAACACTGATTCTGGGCTCTCGTTCCCCTATTTGCCGAATTGCGGCTTCGTAGGGAAGGATAGTCTGGGCGGCGGACTACCTATGTCCCTGCCAATGCATCGTCATCGCCTCTTCAATTCCATATATACTATATCCTCCATCTCCAGCTCACGTCCCTCGACCTTCAGGTTCTCCTTTTTCTCCTTCTCCCTCTCTCCTCTATACTCACCTTACCCGCCTTGCCCTACTATTCCTACCGCTCTACCCTTCCCCGGCCTCTTCGCCACTCTCTCACCAACTACCTCAAAGCATTCGTCCTCCTCCCACCCCCCCGCAACATAAAACTCGACCTCCAGCGCCACGCCACCACCCGCTACGGCCTATTCTCCAAACCCAAGACTGCTGACAGTCTTTAGATCTCAGGCCGTGGGCGGCGAGTAGTGCTAGGAAGCAGGGTAAATAGAGTGCGGATTAATGATTGATTTATCAATGACTTCCGCGCGTTGTTGTTGTTGGTTTTGCTTAACTCTCTTATAAGTTATAACAGGCTGAGAATTACAATGCTTGATTCTATCTTATTATCTCTTTTAGATCAGGAAGATATTGCCTCGTTGCATATTTGGAGTGATATTATGTGGTTAACCCCCGTTTTGAAACCCAAAATGGCTCTACTTAAGGTACCTTGCCTTAGGTAAGATAAGTAGAGGTCGGTAGGTAGGTAAGTAATAAGTGGGAACCTGATATTCCTTATAAGATTTCCTACTTCCCTCTAGTAACAAAGTAACAGAGCACGAGTTGCTGGCTGCATGAGTCAATTCCTCCTCAAATCTCCCCCCAAAATCTCCCCCCAAAATCTCCCCCCAAAATCAAAACTCAGCGTACACGCAACCTTTATCAACAAGCTACATACAATCTAATCAATCAACCATCAAGATCCGCCCGCCATACCTACCTACCTACCAGACTTGAACCCATAAATCAATTTCCTTTAATTCCAGATATATCTATCTATTCATTACCATCATCCATTTTTTTCTCATCATCATCATCATCATCAATAGTCTTAGGTACCTTAAGGTACACATTCTGCTTCAAAAGCCCGCCTCGCTGTCTACCTTATCTGTCTGTCTGCCTACCTACCGACAACTGCATGCAAGTAGATTTAGCAGCACATTGCGACATGCAACAAAAAATCCTCTTATTCCGCTAAGACACCTGGTATCGGCTCGTCCCGAGCTACGTTGCTATACTACTTAAAGCCTAGCTTTTATCGCTAAAAGAAGAGATTATGTAAGGTAAGGTACCTCGGAATGCGGGGTCCAATGATTAACGACTTGGTTGGTGGTTTCCGGGGGGGGAAGAGCTTTCTTTTGTTCGAAGGCTCGATTAATTATTAAGGTACCTACTCGGGGCTTTTTTTGAATGAATAGATTGGCTTCTAGTAGTGGTAGTGGTAAGATAATACGACAGTGAAGAACAAAATAGGACGTAGAAGTAGGTAGGTAGTTTTCACACAATCAGAACTAGGTAATTTAGAAAGTCGCCAAATAAATGTGAGGTTGTTTCTTGATTATTAAAGTGATCGATCGATCGTATTCCTTTCAAACTGGGGAACCACAAAGTGAGTGGTCTGGTCAGTCAAAGAGCAATCCCATCCACCCTGATAATATATATAACACCTTTTAAGCCAGCCACATGCAAGCTTCCATTTCGGTCCACCATACTGCTTTAAAAAAAACAGTACCTAGAGATTTGCGAGCTCTAGAAATCAATGGACGGCTAGTGAACTTTCATTGCAGATAGGTCAATATCGAGTAAACTAAGGTAAGGTAAGGTATGTTGATATCGTACGGCTAATCGGTCGGTATACAAATAGAAATCTACCTAGTGATATTATGTTGATCTATCCTGGGCATGTATATATATATCTTGAGGGTCATCTAGATTATAAGGTACTACTTCTGAGATCATTCTCGTGATGAGTCGAGGCCAGGGCCTATCTATCTTGATTCTAGCTTGCGTCCTTTCTACTCGTCAAGCTGATGGCCTCGAACAAACACTAGGTCAGCTTGAGACGGCTTGGTCCACAGAGAGTTCTTTGATTTTTCGATCTTAGCATGCATGCGCATAAGTAATTGATGCAGTAACTCTATCGCGGAGTTCTTCCCGCTTCACCCACAGAAAGATTCATGAGGTAGGAGGAAGTCGTGTTCAATTAGGTAGGCGTAGAATAGCAATAACAGAGCACCTCCGGCAAGCTATAAAGATACAAAGCCAAAACGCCGAGGTATACCGACCGAACCAAACAGACAGATCCACAAGACGCCCAACCCTCACTCATTACTCGTCACTACTCGTCACCCTTCGCACTCTCACTCTCCCAGACCTGGAATCCCACCTCGGCCTTCTCGATCGGCTGCAGCAGCGCCGCCTTTGGCCCAGCGTTAAAGACATCTCTCTGCATCAACTGGTCGACGTCCAGCTCAATTTCTTTGCCCTTGCCCTTAGCCTCCGCAGAGAAGCCGACTGTGGTGGGCACAGGCGGCTGTTCCCGCTCCCCGGATTCCTCTTCCTCGGAGGGATCGGCAGGGATAATGACCACCGAATCGCCATCACATCCCTCGCCATAGAAGTCCTCGGCGGCCATCTCACTGAGCGGGCGACGGTCAATCTCAATCGCGCCCTCTTCCAGTTGGCGCTGGTGTCGCGCGGCGTGGACGTTTGCTTTAACGTCTGCTATTGAGAACTCGGATTGAGTGGGCCCAGAGAGGTTCGTACGCGTTTGAGAGATGTCGTCTAGAGGAGGCACATTCTCTTTGCCACGCTCGTCATTCATGCGTGCCAGGCGACTTTCTTCATCGCTGCTGATATCCAGGGTGCAGGTAGAGTGCTCCATGAGATTTGTGGCCAATTCCTCATCTGTATCTTCGTGGATGTCGAAGAACCAGGAGCGCTTGCTCTCGGGCTGGTGGAGGGAGACTGGCAGCTTCTTTTCTCTGGCTGAGGCGGCGGAGGTTTGGCGTCGACGGGCCCCGTATCCGGGGATGGTGCCAGATAGGGCAGCATCAATGCTGAACCTTAGACCATTAGATGCACCGAACTTGGGAGGGTCGATGTGGGCGAAGGGCGAGCCTGTTCGTCGGCGATTAAGAATGCCAATGCGTTTACGAGTTGGAGAACGACCAGCAGGCGCGGAGAGGGGAGATGGCTTCGAGATTTCCGTGTTAATTCTGGGCGCTGGGTAGCGGGCGGTGGAAGCTGGTCGACGTGCAGAGGCAGTGGGTGTCAGGGAAGAGAAGCCGCTGGATAATGGTGTTGTGGCTTTGGTAAGAAGGTAGTTGACGGGTTTTACGGCAGAATCTTTGCTACTGCTGCTGTCGGGACACTTGGAGCGTTTGGGAGAGAGGAAGATGACGGGATCGACATTCTCAGCATCGTCTTCGAATATCGCTGCTTTACGTTTGACTGGCGTGTTGAGGGAGGGCAATGCTATAGGAGACGTAAGACTCATGCTAGGAGAACGAGGCGTGAGCTGATGGGTCAATTGAGCATACCATTCTGACGATTCTTGAGACTCGTGAGGTTCTGCAAGCGTGATCCCTCCAGTGGAGCAAAGGGTTGCCTCGCAGCTGCCATGGTAGTCATCGTGAGGGTGCAAAAGAGAACAGACTCGTGCCGGACGTTCAATTCTTTTGGAAGTCAAATGCTCTCTCTACAGATGGCAATGGTAGTACCGAGGGTAAAGGACAGACAGATGTCCGGTGCGCGTCGGGGACAATGTTGTTGTTGTTGTTGTTTGATTGTTGTCGACGAGCACAACACAACAAGAGGAGAGGGGGATTTCGAGATGGGAGGAAGGGAGGGATGCTGGATATATTAATTAACCAGCGGGCGCGCCCTGCTTCTGCCTCTGCGACCCTCCAAGCCAAACCTGAGCTCCTGGACAATATCACAAGTCTCACTGCTACCTCGCACAGCGCCCTTAACTGCAGTAGTGTTCTGCGACCGACGCGTTTTGCAGCGTGTTCTTGCGCGACAGGAGCCAATCACACGGAGGGAGAGGAGGGGAGGGATTCCTAAGAGCGGGATCGACAGGGAGGAGAGTTCAGAGAGAAGAGCGGCGTGAAGACCGAGGATGTGCGAGTCGTGAAGAGCGTCTGCGTTAAACTTTATGCGGTGGGAAGGGCGCGCGATGAATGGACGGACGCCGCGGGTTGAATCACGGGGTAACCGCTTTTGGCCACGGGCGGGAGGGGGCATCGCGGCCGACGCGACCATTTAAGGAGAGGGCGCGTCCCCGCGATGAAGAGACGCGATTTTTCTGCTGCTCGAGACGGGTTGGCCAGAGATTTAGAGCTGCATCTTCAAGAGCCAGACACTCCTCCACACCGTCTTGACTCTTGAGCCGCAAGAGGCGTCTGCCGTACGGGTTCATCTACTACATATTCCTCGTCACCTATCAATCAAGACCATCCATTCGCTTTCCGGGTTCCTACGGACGTGTTTCTGCGGCCTTGTTGCACATGTACAGTCATTGGATTTGAAGACTTTTTCCACAGCCCTCGGGGCTATGCTTAATTCATGCGATGCCCGTCATGATCGCCTTGCTGTCGGCCTACTGCTCTTACAATCCCGTCGCCTCTCTTGAAGTGCATTGTGTGTCAGTGAACTCTTTTGCCAGTCATAATTCATATATTATTGAAAGGAACGAAGGCTGCCCTCGAGCACCATGGGGACTATCGTCTAAGGGTAAATTAAGCGCTAGTGAAGGACGCCGGGGCGGACTCGACCGTCCAAGAGAGTGGAGCCAATAAGAACACAAAGCAGAGCAGAGTTAGGTAAGGGATGTTGCATAGGAAAGAAACCCCCCTTCGATTCAGCCATCCATCTCTCCCAGTCGCGGTCCAGCACTGCTATCCCAGTCATTACGCTCGTAGTAACGGAACACCAACTCGTATCCGTCGAAATCATGCACGATCCTGTCCACCCGTCTGTACCCTTTGATCTTGTCCATTCTCGCACTCCTGATCCTGCCCCTCTCGACCGCCTCGGCATTTGCTGCGGAATCGCCCAGTAAGCCCAGTTCGCGGACTTCAGTTGGATCAGCCTTGGCTTCGAAGAGCGTAACGCTGAACCGACCTGGCTTGAAGATATCCACGACACGCTCGATCACCTCAGCTGTTTCACCCCCGCTTCGGCGTGCTGGAACGTTGGTCTCAAAGGACGCATAGGAGTACAGAGGCTCTGGAGTGACATGAACCGTGAAGTAGTGCGTGGCAGTACCTGCTTGATCCGGAGCTGGAATGACACCATTGGCAGAGAATCCACATGGTGTGAACAGGTAGGCATCAACACGTGCATCGGGATATATAGTAGTCGGATAAACCTCCGAAAGACCGCAAGCCTCGGAGACAACCGTACCAAGAGAGTGACCTTCTGTGCCGACCTGGCTACTGAGCTCTTCGGGGAAGTCAACATCATAATCAGGAGTATAAGCGCTGTGATCCGAAGAGGTGTTGCTGAAGACGTCGAAGGTATCATCATGAACCGATGCGCTGGTTCCGCTCAGACTGACATTGGACTTCGTCATGCTTTCCCCATTCAAATCTCCTAAGCTCTCCGACCCCTCCTTGGCGACCTCCCTAACCCTCTTTGAATACTTCTCTTCCGCGACCGCACTCGCGTGTTCAAGATAGAATTGCTTGGCATTCTCTGGGTCAAGATCAGTCATGAGGACCTCAAGAGTCTCGTCATCAGTGCGCCAGGCACTCTGCCCAACTGCAAAGGCCGTACTGGCTGGAACCTGCAGGACCTTTGTCTCGGTGACCGTTCTCTGGTGTTCCGGGGTACGTGATGGAGCAAGCGTAGTGTTTGGCGCGGTCAGATAGAGGTACCAGTGATCCCCATTCATCTTGCCGACCATATACGCACTACCTCCTGTGAACATGTGATCAAGATATTTCACCTCTTCTTTCCAACTACGGTGTGGTCCATGCTGCTTGTCTGGGAACAGGAAGTTCTTTCGGCTGTAGAAAACTCGGTATGGCGTAGCTGCTACCTGGGTCTTGTCTATGGAACCAGTGCTTTGAGATGGAAACCCGGCATCCACAGCCGCAATACTCAGCATACGATGAAGTCCGAAGAGGAGCGTAGTAGTACCGCAGGTCTTCAAGATGAGTTTGTGAGGGAAGACAAACATGCTCGACTCAGAAAGGAGGTAGGCATCGACATGCTCAGATTCAACCACCGAAAGGATTTTGCAATTGACTTGATCCAACATTTCCTTCCATTTATCGACTGTCACGGCTTTCAAGCCATTCTTTTGAGATCCGGGGGGGAGGGCTTCGGGTGCTGGAGCGAACCAGACCTCCAACAGCTTCTCAGGTCCTAATCAAGTCAGAAGTGACCATGCCAGAGTGACCTTGCATTCTTACCTTCAAAGGCATTGCTAGAATCGAGATCAATAGTAGCCTCTCGATTGATAGTCAAATGTGGTGTACCTTCAGAAGGTGAGAGCGTATATGAGGATGGAATCTCAAGGTTGACCATATCTACACAAGTAGGCGGGTATCGATTGCTGTCTAATGCGGCCCGGTAATTATTTATGAGGTTGAGGCAATTTGCTGGCTAGTACTGCGAAGCACTATCTGCCACCCAGACGAACCTTGCGGTGTCCGCCTGAGAAGAGAAGGCCCACAGGACCGTGGAGTTAATAGTGTGCTGGCGGCGCCAGCTAAATGGGAGATAAATCGAACGTCTCGTAGGGACGTTATGGAGGGCGGGTGCACAAGGGAATAAAGAAGTCCTTTGCTGGAGGAATATTGACTCCTTTGTCGGTATCCTCGCTCTGGTAGAAGCCGATACCGTAGAGGGATATCGGGTCTAGCAGACGAGGGTTATCTGCAATAAGGGATATTCGGTGAGGGTTATGAGTTGAAGGTGGGGCGTGGCTGATGCTATCGAGGCCTGAAAAGAGTAGAGGTCAGCATTTTGGGGTGGCAGAAGAAATTGAGGAAGGATAATCCAATAAGCTGTCATAAATTCCGCAGAGCAAACTTACTTTGCTGGCTTGGATAGGAATCGTAGAAGGGCTCTGGTGCTCATAGGGGATTTTGGAAAGGCTCTCTGAAAGTTTTGCGGTGCCGCAGTCCAGGGTCTAAGACACTGCCTGTGACAGAGTGCAAAATAGTTGCAGGTTCAATTGTGTATGGAATTCATCGAGATTGCGGAGGTTTTCGTTTTGGGTTGTCGTTGGCAAGTCGTGGAGTCGTGGATTCGTTGATAGAAACCTGGTTCAACTTCGTCATTGTCAGCGCAGGCACACGACTCATATGACAGCAAGCCTACCCACGTTTGAGTTTCTGATCAAGCTTCTATGGCCTCAGGAGAAGAAGAGCTCTAGAATGTCTGGAATGTCGACGAGAAGAAACAGAGAGGCAGTAAACGCAACTGTCGTGATGATGGTGACGGTCAGTGTGAAGGATTTTTTCCGCCAGTCTCGCCCGTACGTAATAGGATTAGCCCTGCCGCTGACATCTGGCGGCTTCGATACCCCACCATGGCACGTGATCGCTTTCCTTTTCCTGCCACGAGAGCTTCAGCGGTGATGATGCTTCCAGCCCAGATGCTATTTTTCAGACTGAACTCATAGATATTTTGACGAACTGGGTATAGATTTGAAGCTCGATAGAATCCATCATCACTCTACTATGAACCAATATGTAGCTGGCCACCAGCCTGCCATGAAAATGCCCAATGATTCCCTAAACGCCTTCGCTATGCACCAGGTCTTTTCTCAGGCCAGGCAGTCTATACCCGGCCTTCTACCACCTCCGTGACGGCCTTGGTAATATCCCCAAAGAGTGGACACAACGAACAACTCTGGTACTTTCGCACCAACTGCTCCGGATCCTTCACATCGGCCGCCGGGTTTCCATGCGTCTGGCCCCCAATGTCAAGGCCATTCACCTCCGTGCCCACCGGATATACCGGTCGTCTGCCTGTCTCCACCAACATCACAAACTGCGGATCAATCGGGACGCTACCAAGGAACTTAACCCCAAACTCCTGTGCCATGACCTCGCCTCCGCCTTTACTGAAAACGTTGGTGCACTCTGAGCAATTTGGGCATACAAATCCACTCATATTCTCGACCACCCCAATGACATTTATCCCCGTCTTCGCACAAAAGTTGAGCTCCTTTCTGACATCTGCAGTAGCAACCGCTTGCGGCGTAGTGACGACCACGGCGCCCGCGACTTGCCCAGGAAGGGCAGTCTTCAGAAGCGTCTCCGCGAGCGAGATATGCTCGTCCGACGTCCCAGGCGGGGTGTCAATAAGCAAATAATCCAGGTCCCCCCAGTAGACATCACTCAGAAACTGCCTCACCATAGCGGTCTTCTTTGGGCCCCTCCAAACCACTGCATCGCCTCTCTCCCTCAGCAGGAATCCTAAACTCATACATGACAAAGCCCCAGTATTTGTAGCGGGGTCGGCAGCGTGGACGGGGACGGGAACCCACCCGCCGGGCGCCTGGGTCACTTTTGCGGATTCTATGCCAAAGAGACGTGGTATTGAAGGGCCAGTGAGGTCGATATCGAGGACTCCGACGGATTTTCCAGCCAGGGAGAGGGAGAGGGCGAGTTGGGTTGTGGTGGAGGATTTTCCGACGCCACCTTTGCCCGAGAGGATCTTGTTGCTATTAGCGCTATTTCCCACAATTTTCGGGGGTGTACTTACAAGGACAATATGCTTGATTCTGTCGAGTGACATCTTGAATATCCAAAAATCATTCAATGTCCTGTGCCGTGTAGTTGTCGCATTGTAGAAGCTGGCTGGCGATGATTTGGAAGAAATTCTTATCGATTATCAATCTATTAGCGGGTCGGCTTTTGGCCCGCTTTCGGCCCTTTGCTTTTCCGCCCCGCGCTTATCCCGGACCCTGAGTCCTGGACAGGCAACTTATTATTTCCATGAATAACCCAGTTGGCGCAGCTTCTACCAACAACAGCATGGCAATGCGCTACAGCACAACAATATGAGAGGCCTCTCTCACCTCTATGGATATGGACGATCCTTGGGGCTCTCCGTGGGCAGAAGAATTTCAACACCCAATCCCAATCCCGAATGCGAAGGGAGGAGTTGATGGACTGAACTTGGCGCCGCTCACTACGGGGAAGGATGGGGTCCCGAGGGAAACAACGGATAGTCCTTGGGATGTTCCTGCCGATGAGTTTGGTGATTGGGCGGAGTTGCCGGGGGAGCAGGATATAAGGGGGAGCGGAGAGGGCCTTGATGGCGTGGGTGGTGGATGGGAGGTTCGGGAGGACAAGGACCTGACAAAGAATGAGAAAAGAGGTCTATCGCCACGCTGGGGTGAACCACAGGCAATATCTGATGATGGCATACCGAAACTGTCACCGGGTCTCTTACCAAAACCCGAAGAAATTCTTCGACAACCCTCCCCAGATCCTTGGGCTACGGTTACAGCATTAAGTGACGGGGATCACAAGGAGAAAGGAGAGGAGAAGCAGAGCCAGGATACTGACATTGGGTCTGAAAGCACACTTCATGTGGAACCTCCAAATGCTTCGGGCGTGGACAAAGACGGGGAGCCATTACCCGAAACCAATGATTCAATGCCCGAGAAGGATGGAGGAGACGGTGCAATTGTGCAGGACAGTCTTGTGGATGGTTCCAATGATGCCAAACTCCCAACGGAGGTAGCAGAACAAAGCCCAACCGGAAAAGAAGTCGACGAATCCTCGAGGCCGTCCACTTCTCCATCAGACCACAGTCAACATGACGAGGTCCCATCGGAGTCGCCCAGGACATCTTTGGATGAGGAACCTAAACAATCCCAGGCTACAAGGCATGTCTCTTCGAAGATACAGGAATTAGTTGAGCATTTTGATGGGCTTGCGAAGGCACAGATTGAGGAGCCTGTTGGCGTCCGGAGGAGCGAGAGTTCTGGACGTGAAGATGGTGTAGAGGAACCACTCAATCCAGAGGGTATCCGCCTTGACGTTGGCATTGAGGTTGCCGAGAAGGATAAGGGGGATTCAAATGAAGAGGAAGATGACGATGATGACTTCGGGGATTTTGAGGATGGGCAATCCGAGATCAGCGAGCACATTGCTGAAGTCAAAGACCAGGCTGTTGCGATTGCTCCAGCCAATGATGAATTGGAAAATATACCGCTCGAAGGTCCCAAAGATTTGGGCGCTCCAGCGGCATACGCTCGGCCAATACGGGCTCCGGAGAAAAAGTTCGGTCGGGTTGAATTCGATATTGACATGTCAGCAGTGGACAAACTCTATCCAGATCTGAAATTCGAAGGCCCTGCTGAGAAGCTGTTCATACCGGATACGATCCCCCACGACTCATTCTCGTCTTTGGAGCAACGTAAGACGTGGTACAGGTTATCGCGGTATGGTAGTATGCGGAAGCACAATAGTGGAGATGAGGATAACTACGTTAGCATCAGCTGGGCCCAGTCACAAATTCGTCTAGAAACACTGAAGATTGTTCAAAGATGGATGGAAGAAGATCGTATAAGTGGGCGGGTAGTGCTTGGTGGTGGCGGCAAAGATGGTTCTCTATTTGGTTGGAATGATCCGAAGGCAGCACCCGTGCCACTTGCCTCTGTATTTGCCGCGAAGCGTGCGAAGAAGAAGCTACAAGCTCCGGAAGCTACTGTGCCCGTTCCTGAGGTTCCTAGGGAGTGGCCCAAAGACCTCGTAAAGACGCGCTCGACGTCTCAAGCTCGCTCTCCATCTAAACAGAGACGACGAAGCTCTGCAAGGTCTACCAAGGAGTCGGATGATACCAAGCCGAATGTCCAATTCCCAGTAGCAAGTTTCGGTTGGGGTGCTGGATCCCAATCCGAACCTCCTCTTCCGGGGCCGGCTTCAAAGCCCATCCCAAGTCCGCCGAGTTGGTCAACACCTCGACAGTCAACATCATCTATTCCACCACGGCCTTTGTCGACTAGCTTTACCCATACTCCTACGATGCCGGCTGAGCAGAAGCCTGTTGACACAGATGGACCAAATACTCTTCCTCCCATAACCAAGACTTCAGCTCCATCCTTGCCACCTAACCCTGCTATAACAAGTCTATCCGGGGATTCCGACGATGATTGGGGTGAGATGGTATCCTCTCCAGTTGTTACTGCCCCTCCAGCGCCGCCGCCCTGGCGGGGATTGACCCACAAGAAATCACAAAGTCTCATCGGAGGCCCTGTACCGCCATCAAAAGCGACCCTCATTGATACGCGACCTCCAACATTTCCGTCAGTTCCAAGTCACAGACCCACTGCGAGTCTTGATCAGATCCTCGTTCCCAAGACACGTAGCAATATGAGGTCAACCCCCGGCATATCATCAATGAACACATCTACTTCGAACACCGCCATACCAACCACAACCAAATTTTCCCCAGCTGCTACACCGGCAGTCACTACCGTTGCTAATGGCAATTACGACCCATGGGCATCAGCAGACTTCTCCTTTTTTGAACGCGCCCCGCCACAGCCCAAGCCTGCATCACCTCCAAAACATAAGCCGGCATCCAAATCTGTCAGTTTTGGCAGCCCCTTTCCTGAGCCTTTACGACGAAATGGGGGAAAATCAAGACAAGAGATTGAGCAAGATCGCATCGTGGCGGACATCATTAAAGGTCTACCCGATCTCTCCTACATGCTACGGCGATAACCCCCCCCCCCCCACCACATTTACATTTCTTCAGCATGCATTTCTTTGGTGTCTATTTCAGGGACCCTTGATGAGAGAGAAAAGAAAAAAAGAGACAGAGAGGTATATATGATGACCGAAAGACGAAGCTTGTATATACAATATGCATTTAGCGTGGAGTCTTTCCAGTAAGCGGGTTTGGGACCTTTTGTATAGAAGGTAGCATGCGTAGCGCGGGCGTTTTCTTGTTGTACTGTTGACTTCTATAGAATCTTTTAACGTACACTGTTTTATTTTTTATGCCTACATTGTTTGTACACATGTACATAAGGAGATAGGAATGGATACTGTATATTGATTGAACCGGCATCGCGTCTCGCTTATTTTCAGGGGTAAACAGATCGCAGATATCCCTCCTACTCGTGCAATTCAAGAACTGGTGTTTGCTATAACGACACATTTCATGACGCGGGCAGTCTGGGAACTTTGAGACTTTTAGGATTGGATGGGAGTTGGAGACCGGTATTAATTTAAAAATGCTGCGCTTGGTGGTAATCTTAGAATTTCTATGTTACAGACATGATCTACATATATATAATGGAGTCATATATACCCTTCCCAATGAATCCCATACTCAAAAGAATGACTACCTTATCCTACAGGACCAACCAGAACCTTCCGTTTCAAAGACCTGCTCTTGACCTTACTAGGGCCATCTTCCATCTCCGTCCACGAGCCATCCGCGTTCCAGACACCCGCTTTTGTGTAGTCCCAACTCTGCGAGCCCTGCATATAAGCAAAACGGAAATATTCCGGCTCGTTAATCGCGAGGTCTTTCTTCCACTCAAATTTACTATCGCTTGTGAATCCTTCGTCTGTGTAGCCTCTGAACCTCTCGACGTCGTTCACCAGCACGCTGATGCCGTCGAAAGGCTCGGGCGGAGGAAGCCACGAGAAGGAGATCGTGGATACGTTTTGCCCCAGTGTTATGGTTGGGGGGAGTATCTTGGGTAGTTTTGAACCGTGCTGGGCGTCTCCTTGCAGTGCTGCTGGTGTTTGGAGCACGGAGTCGAACCCCCAGCGTGCAATCCCGTTAATGAAGAGACCAACCAAAATGCCTTGGTACAGGAGTACCGGCCGAGTTTGCATGCTCGTCCCTGGAAGTAGGAGTAGGGCTAGAATGTAATGATGGATGCGGAGACTGAGCCCTGGTAGGGTAAGGGACAGCAGAATTCCACCCAGGAATATTCCATAGATGCCGAGATATCGTATTAAGCGTCCCTCGCGGCGAAAGAAGAAAACCTGTTTGATTACGATGAGGGTCAGGAGTATGATTATGATGGCCAATGCCAATTTTGCGCCTGGCTGCTGCTCCAGATCATGCTTGTTCAAACGCTGAATTGGAAGCCACTCGAAGGTATAATTAGAAAGGGCACCAACCCAGCATGCGCCGAGCCATAGGATGGTCTTCTCGATTTGTGCGGTCAGCCCACTCAGAGCCCGACGAACGCCCATATATTCGTACATGACGAAAGCGCAAAATGCTGCGGGTAAGAACTTTCCTAAAATATTCGATATGAGTCCAGCCATAGAATCGTGGTTGGGTGGATCGGACGCAAGTCCAACATGGGCGAAAAGCCCAGTAAAAATGCTGAAGAAGAATACTCCAGGTGATGTGGTAAACAGTGATAACAAGATAGTAAATGTTAGCGAGACAAAGAGCAGTGGCCAGCGCGCATCCTTGGCTTTGCAAGTAGTCCCGGAGTGGAATGTAAAAGATGACGGGAAATTGGAGTCAAACCCAATGCTTTCAATGCCGTGCCTCTTGGAACTCTCGTAATTATGGTGTGCACCGACTAGAGAAACGACACCGCATCCTCCTTTGGTATTATCAATGATTCCGGCATGAATAGCAGATCCGCAGATAAAGGAGTCACTGCGATAGACTGGGGTCACATCATCGTCAGATGATGGGCCTCCAATTACCAATGGTCTATAATTGACTTCTTGTGTACCAACGGCATGTGGGTTCAGAACCTGGTGGCTGCGACAGTTCGCAGGACAGCGAAAGGCAAATCCACCTCCGTTGAAAGGCCGGCAATCGTTTCCATTCAACCCACATCTGTTTCCCGGAACCCAATAAGTATTTCCGCACCCAATATTTACTGGAACTCCCCATCCTTCAATCTCAGTGGCGATTGTACCCTGACGCATGACCATGGCGAAGGTGAATATCCAGCAAGAGTAGAACGCGATCAACAGTGTGATCCTATGCCTCCTCTTCGGGGCATATTTATCCAAAAGTCGAATAGGTGTTTCCTGAATGTGCGGAAACAGCGGCTTGATAGTATGGATATGAGGAGGATTTGGTCCCTTTGCCCACCTCACAGCTGCCTGACTAACCCGTCGGATTGGAATAGGTACCCATTTCATGAACGCGGGGGAGCGTTGGTCTTGTATGAACCGTGGGGTTGGAGGAGAAGTATCATCTGAGAGCGCATCCAAGGGAATTAGATGTGACGTCTGAGTGTACTCATCAATCGGATTGTCTGGGTGCTCATCTTCCCGGAGCTCGTACTCCCCAGCTTCTTCATTGCCACTGTCCATTGTGACTTGTTTGCGCGTCAGTATTATCCGGAGCTGCCGGCTGTTTGCACTCACCTCGAGTCGAACAACTCTATCTGTCTTGAAGTTTGGGTGAAAGAGAGGACCCCAAGCTAATCTGGGAAAAGGACCATTTCCACAGGCGTCGAAAGAGTGAAATAGAGAGAGTGTTGACTCGAGGTGTGGCGTGGAGAAGGTTTACTTGCAGTACTGATTACTGAAACGATTTGCTCCGGATAAGCGATAGTCGGATAGGCACATTTGCCCGGCGTCAAAGGGCCGATCCGGCCTAACCAAAATAAGATTAGCGTCTATGACAACCGTACCTAGACCTTACCTTTTCCGATCCGTGAACACCATCGCCATCGAGAATTTATATCCAGTTCCACGTGACAATATCAACCTCCACGCAGGACGAGACAGCGAAAGAGATGCGGATGATCAGCTTAATAACGAGTCTGTTTATATTGGCTATCCACGATAGCTTCTGAGGGTTGCTGGCCTGCAGATAAATCAGCACCTTTTATCGATTCCCCGTTACTTTCACCCAGTCCAGCCAGAACAGCCCAGTCGGCTGAGAAGTGCTTCTCCCCTGCTCCAGGATGGAGAAACCGGGGATTTTTGAGATTATTAGACCTGAAGATCCCAGCGTTCTTGGGCCAAGACTTGGCCAACTGACAGTCCAGGGAAGAAGCAAACTTGAGACTCCCAATTTCCTTGCTATCAGTTCCAGGGGGGTAGTCCCACATATGACACCAGATGTCATTGCTGCAAGCTCGCAGATTGGAGGGGTTCACATGGCATTGGAAGATTGTAAGCCGAGATCAAGGTTATGTGCCTATGTTCCTTTTCTAAACTGATCAAAATCCAGTTATAGAAAAATCTCCAAGCGGCACGCCGCCTATCATGAAAATTCCAGGAAATCCACTTCATACCTTCACTGCGATTCCTAACTCTATCATCACTCTCCTCGCGCCACGTCGCACTCCTGCCGTCACAGCTCCAAATGGTAATAGTGACACCGCCATTTCTGTCTTTACATCGACCGGATTCCAGGCTCTCTCAAACAAGTCTTATATCAGCTCCATTCAGACGCTTCGCCCTGATATCTCTATTGCACTCGCCGACTTGACTTATGGCCCTCTACCGGGGACCAAGAGAACCGTAAAAATGAGCGACAGGACCCAAGAATGGCTCTCTGATCTTCTCAGCGAGAATGGTCATGGAGGGGCAGTCTTCGCACCCATCCTTCCGATTGACTCTTTGAGTCAGTCAGAATATTTGGATTACCTAGCGGATGATCAGGCAGGTGAAATTTCTGGTCTGGCGTTTTACGATTCAAATCTCCTGCCTGATATTCCAGCCACAACTTCCCTTTCACGGCTACCTCATCTCTCGTTGGATGAACCTGCGTCCCCCCACCACATCCTACGCCAGATATCCTTGGGAATGGATATTTTTACTATCCCCTTCATTGGTCATGCAACAGATGCTGGAATTGCATTGACGTTTCGCTTCCCTCGTCCCTTACCCGACGATGCTGTCGCATCCAACGATACCGGAAGCAGTGTTGTCCCTCTGGGGATTGATATGTGGATACCCACCCATGCCACTTCGCTCCTACCGCTCAGCAATTCATGTACCTGTTATACCTGCACCTCGCACCATAGAGCATACATCCAGCACTTGCTCTCAGCCAAGGAAATGCTCGGTTGGGTACTGCTTCAGATTCATAATCATCATATCCTCTCCGAATTCTTCTCCTCCATCCGTGCAAGTATCAAAATGGGCACATTTGAGGCCGATGCGGAAGAGTTCGGGAGAATTTACGAGAGCGAGCTGCCCGAGAAGAGCGGAAAGGGCCCGAGGGTTAGAGGGTATCACTTCAAGAGTGAGGGGCCAGGAGAAGCGAAGAAGAACAAGGCTCCTTGGGGCAACCTGGGGAGTGATGACCAGAGTGCTGGAAGAGGCCTAGTTCCGGATGAAAATTCGACGGAGTTGCAGGAAAAGGGCTTTGCGGAGAAGGTGGAGGAGTAAGCCGCCAGGAGCATTTCTAGAATGAGCGTGATCACAATGCAGAACTACAGGAGTTGCTAGTCGGGTCATGATATCTCGAGTGCGGGTAAACATAGCGTCAGTCCATAGCGGAATACTTTCCCACCCACATTGACTATTTCGCCAGGTCTGGAAGTCTAGCCCTTTATCAGCTCAAGTTTCCCCGCTACACTTGATTTATCCAGCAGAGCAATTAACACAACAGTGATCCAGCAGTGAAAGTTTCTACTGGTGCATTAGCAACCCAACTATTCGTTTTCTCCTCTCCGTCTCTTCCTTTCTTTCTTCCACTTCCGCTCTGCTGATATTTCACCTCCATCAACTGAACGATTTCCATTCCCTCCCACAGCCCGTCTTCGTACTCGCAGCTGTAAAGCGGCTGTACTCACGTAACAGAGTTCTATTGGGAAAATCACGTGAGTAGTCAAGCAGGCTGAATGGGGGGACTTTCATTCAAGATTTTCATTGGGAAAACACTGAGCTGAAGGACAGTAGTGTATATCAAATAGGTGGGGTAAGGATAGATATAATGTCAGTGCCGGCCTTTAGCATTTGCAGTGAACCCGTTTGTGATATCAGCCCTATTGACTCGGACCAGCGCAGAGATGGACGAAACGAAGAAAAATTCTGCAAGATCCACCGTGCAAGTTGGATCTTGCTGTGCTTATTCTTGACAGCTGTGAAAAGGCAGAGATGGGATCAAGCACTTCTTGACATCAGCTTTGACAGCTCCCCCTGACTATAGAAGTTGGTTGCCTTGCGAGTTCAGGATAGATGGAAACTACATTGGGCTCCGGATAGAAGTACTATCAGAAATTCAAAGTTTAGAGATGTCTGGCCCAGGACCAGTGGATGATGGTGCCCGCTTGACTAGACTGCTGAGGGATTACCTTTCCGGTACATAAGGTAGGTACCGGTACTTGTGTGGAGACAGAGCACCGTAACAGTTTGGCTTGGAAGTACTCGATCGAATCAATTCATGCACTGGAATATACCCACTATAAAAAGACTACCCTCCTCGTTCCCAAAGGGCTGGGATCGTTGTAACTCAAATGCAAGCAGGCCGATCTCGAGCTTCTGTGCCGGATCTTACGGAGGCCTTTGATGCGGCCGCTTGCAGTTGTCATTAAACCTCAATGGCTGTAGGAGTTGAAAGAAAAAAACAAAACTCTCGGCGAGCTCTTCATGGACTTCGGCGAGCTGTTATTGGAGCGGGCATGTTTATATTACCATCTTCTCGGGAGGTTGATTACCCCTTTCGGTTACGGCTTACGACGGGTAGAGCCCTGGCCCAGTGTATATAACGACGACCGCCCAGACGACGCTTTTCTGATTCTTGCAACGTCTCTCTGTGTGCTATTATTCTTGCTTCCTCGTTGTATATGTATAGCGCTCCAACCGGGACCTCGACCTTCTCCGCATTCTTTGACTTGGCATCTATGGTACGGTGCTTGGCAACGTCGGCTGTGGCGCTCTCGCAGCGCCGGAAAAGTAAGGCGGCCTGAGAAGCCCATCCATATGCCAAGTCCAGTCCTTTTCCACTGTCAGTCAATCTGCACTTCCGCACAGCATCGCCGTCGTGAATGCGACTGGCTCTTTGATATCAAGGGAAAATGATGGCGACGCAAAGCGCGGGTTGGTTGCTCTGCTCTCAAATCACCTTCCTGCTTGGGACTGGTCTTGAGGTCTCCCAGCAACTGACACCGTAGGGAGAGTGTACAGATAGACGCTTATCGCCCCCATGCACCGCTCGACATACTCTGTGATAGTTCTGTACGTACAGACTACAGTACGACGCAGGGAGCAGGGAGCTTACTTTCCCCAAGTCCACCAACCATCGTCGAATGCTGCGACCCTGGAGCTGCCCACGAGCCAGTCTATCCCACTCCCCCGGGGGGATCAGCAATCCCGGACTGCCCCACCGTCAGCCGAGAGGAATTATCATCTCGCTCGCAGAGCAAAGCAAATCGACTGACTGCGATGCGGCCAGAGCGACGAGGCGGGGTCCTAAATCCTGACTACGGAGTGCTGCTGTTGAATCTGGACCGTCGAGACGCTCGAGACTCGAGATGTCTCCCTGGCGAATCTGTCAAAGAGCCTCCGAGCGGCGTGCCCTCAGCGGTGGGGGGCCAGGGGGGTTATCACTGCGGGCATCTCTCCAGATCCAGCATTCAACAGGCGCATTTCGAGGCATTCATGGACCCTCGTCTGGCTTAGGACCTGCTTACCCCGTACTACACTACTGTGCTATCCTTCTGGAAGAATGGAATCGTCGACGTTGGCCCCGGAAACGGCCGTCTAGACTCTCTTCGATTTATTGCCTTATCCAACGCGATAGTGGGCTTATCCAACGCGATATCTAAACACCTTCCTACTCCAGGTAAGAAAAGAAGAATGTGGTCTTTTGCCGACAGAGCAGACCTGCACCACGCTCCGAGACAAAGGAACCTGGCAGCCTTCGATATCCTCTGCTTTCCGCTGCTTCCTCAGCTCTTCCCAAGAACTGATTCATGTCGCCACCAGATCGCTGTATGATGCCAAGCACTCGACCCCCCCGCCCCCCGCAAGGGCGAACAACCACAGGCTAACGGTAATCCCGGCCCTCCTACTGAAACCTGAAAGGAAGCCGGGATTTTTGAAAGCTTGTCCCAGCCACGGATCAAGTACCAGGTACCTACACTGCACTTAACTAGTCTCACGGTCCAGCCCTTCATTTGCTCGACGTTCACTACCAATAGACTACGCGGCAATAATACTACTAGGCCTGCTGTAGCACTACCATAGTAAGAATGTGCCGCCACCTTCTTCTTGTATGGTGCAACTGTTGGATTTAAGCAATTCGCTTTGGAGCTGGGTGCTTCAAGCTGCCTCTTCCAGCTACTTCGGCCGCTCCGTCCCGCCTCCTCCTTGATTTCTCTTTCCTGGTCACACATCTCGAGTCCTGTGTTGTACCATACCATGATACGAACTGCTACTCCTGTACATGGTACTACATACAATCCTGCAGTGGTCGGCTAGTGGCCCTTATCTTACCACCCCCCCTTCCTAATCTTTCCTTTCCCAACGCATGGGTTGGCCGATAAGCGTCGGCTGAGCTCCAGGGGTACGGCATCACCAATCGGGCTCAGATCCCGCGAAAGCAGGACAGGTGCCCGCCGATGCATTTCCTTATATGTTCTTATATAAAACTCTGGGTTCCCGTTGGAACTCCTTTTTCCTCTACTGACCTTCTCCGCCCGTTCTCTTCCTGCGTAGAACATCGGCGCCATGGCAGAAATAGTTCAGGTGGACTCGGAGGCAAACTCACGGGATGAGAAAATCAGCACCTTCAGAGAGAAAGACCCTGAGGCCTACGCGGAGAAGGTTTCAACCGAATCGGGGGTAAACGAGGATGACAGCATCGATGAAGCGATTGGAGACATCACCGACGATATCGTCCTCGATAGCGCCTTGCAGCTGGTCACCAAAACGCTCGATGTCACCGATGACCCAAACTTGAGCCCCTACACCTTCCGTGCCTTCTTTCTGGGTATGGGACTCGCCTGCTTCGGAGCAGTCATTGCTGAGATCTTTTACTTCAAGCCGCAGACTATCCTGGTGAACGCCATCTTCTTGGAAATCATCGCCTTCGTCCTTGGTGAAGCAACGACTTATATACCTCGATGGGGCCCGATCGGCCGGTTCCTTAACCCGGGCGACTTCAACGTCAAGGAGCATGTCTTCATTACGATCATGGCCTCTTCCGCCGCGGTTTGCGCTCTTGGTACGGAGCAATTGGCTGTCCAGTCATTGTACTACAATGAAACGCCAAACGCTGGGTCTGCAATCTTCATGCTCTTGTCTTCCCAGATGCTTGGGTACGGTTTCCTCGGCGTGATGAGAAAGCTCTTTGTCTACCCGACGAAGATGTTGTGGCCCCTCCAGCTGCCCCTGGCGTCTCTCTTCCAATCCCTCCACCTCAACAAGGCGCTAGCAAAGAAGCGCCTTAGGGTCTTCTGGTGGGTTTGCTTGTTCGTCATCTGCTGGGAGATGATCCCCCAGTACATCTTCCCGTTGACCGCTGGAATCTCGATCTTCTGCCTTGCAGGCCAACACAACGAGGCATTCACCTATCTCTTCGGAGGAGCAAACGGTGATGAGGGACTTGGATTTCTGAGTTGGTGCATGGACTGGCAGTATGTGGGCACAGATTCTCTCGTTCTGCCGCTCAACACCCTGTTCAACCAGTTCATTGGATATATCATTTGCATTGGCCTTACTACTGGGATCTACTGGGGAAATCTCTGGGTGAGTTACCATCTCGCACCCCTCTCTCAAACTGAACTGTGAAGCTAACAAGCCAGAACGCGAAAACCTTCCCCTTCATGGGTCAGGTCCTGTTCAGAGCGAACGGCTCTGAGTACAACCAAACTGAAATTCTTGGCCCGGATAACCGAGTTGATGAGGAGCTACTTGATGCCTACGGACTACCATGGTTCTCAACCTCGAATGCCATGTCTCTTCTTGTCTTGAATATTGGCATTACTGCAGCTATTGTCCATATCATCTGCTGGCACTGGAAGGACATCCGATCTATTTTTGTCTGGATCAAGCCATCTGCATTGAAGGCTCACTACTATGAAGCGAAAGCTGATGGAAGATACAAGTTCTGGGCAAAGAGCACCTACGTCGAGAAATTCCCCGGTACTGAAGGCGACCCTCATTTTGCCGGCATGAGACGTTACAAGGAGGCTCCAACCTGGTGGTACTTCTTCGTCCTCGTTGCTTCCCTCGTAATTGGTCTCATTTGTACTTATCAACAGAAGACCGGTCTCCCATGGTGTAAGTATCCGCCATTATTGAAGTAAGGCCAAGGCTAACATACACAGGGGCGTTCCTGATCGCCTGTCTTATTTCCTTCTTGCTTCTTGCATTCTACGCTCCTCTCTACGCTATCACTGGCTTTTTCTACCAGCCCGTTTCAGCCGTGCAGATGATTGGCGGCTTCATGGTTCAGGGCCGTCCAGTTGCGAACATGATGTTTACATTATACGCATCCAACTCCTGTACGTACATCGTCAAACCATCCTCTCTGAAACGGTTATGAGTGAAAGAATACTGACCCCCTTGCTTAGTGGTTCAGGCATTATATATGCTTGGGGATCTGAAACTCTCTCAATACACCAAACTTGCACCACGAGCCTGCTTCACTGCCCAAATGATCGGCACCATCGTCGGAGCAATTCTCAACTGGGTCATGATGAACTCAATCGTCAAGAACCAGCGTGAAGTCCTCCTCAGTGTTGAGGGAACCAACATTTGGTCCGGCCAGAACGTGCAATCCTACAACGCTCAAGCCGTTGCCTGGGGTGGTGTCGGCAACAAGATCTTCGGCGCCGGCGGTACCTACGTCATGGTGCCCATCGGCCTGGCAATCGGGCTCGTCGCCCCTATTCCATTCTGGCTGGCGCACAAGTACTTCCCCAAGTTGCGCCTCAACGAGATCAACACGTCCATCATTGCGACTTGGTCTGGCTGGCTCTCCGTCGGAATCAACTCCTCCCTCCTCCCCTACTTCCTTTGGGGCCTCTTTTCCCAGGCCTACCTGCGTCGTAAGCGCGCAGTGCTGTTCGCCAAGTGGAACATGATCGTCACCGCCGCCATTGGTGGCGGGGTTCAAATCATCGTTTTCGTCCTTACCTTTGCCGTCTTTGGTGGGAGTGGTGAAGCTCACCAGTTCCCGCTCTGGTGGGGGAATAATATCGAGGGGAATGTGGATAGGTGCAAGTACATGAACGGTAGTTAGATCTCAGTTCCATATTGGCGGGATCGTGCGGCGCTCGGGTATGTAGACTGCTGCGTCTTTGTATTGCATAGTCAGGTCCTTTTGTCTTCTAGCTGGCTATGAACATATATTATGAATACATTTGGTCTTCCACCGTGTTCAGACTGCATGTTGCTCTTTACTGTGGATCATCCTGCAGTTCAAATACACCCCTCACATTCCCCTTCATCAACCACTGCCATCACATTTCTCGACAACAACACACAAATTAACAAAATGCCGCACGCATCATCCCTTCCACAAACATAGACAACATCTTCCATTTCTGATTCCTAGAAAGGTAGTAGGAAGGGTAGCTGTCCAGGCGTGACCCCCCATTTTTTCCCCCCCTTCCCCCCCCTTTCTTCTATTCATCATATAGTTATGTGTTCTCTTCATCAGATTAGGATTAGTTAATTGGGTATACACACCATTCTGATATCGGCATGACATATATATGTATTGTATTGTATGTACTCTATCTACCAGATTTACAGGTGTGAGTAGATATGGGGAGGATGAAGAGGATTGGGCTGGCTTCTTATCTAAGGGAGTAAGAGGATCGGGTAGGAAATAAGGTACGATATGATATACTTTGATTCTCAGCCTCTTATCAGATCTGTAGATTGAATGAGAGGTAAAGCAGGATGGTGCAGGTCAGGTGATGTTGATATTGATGTTGATGTTGATCAATCCTGAGAAGTAAACATTGTGGTGTGATGTGATGGCTTCAAGGACTAACTGACCTCCGGATAATACCTCCTGAAAAGTATTGTAGATAGGATATCTATATCAGATTTATTATATGCTACACCTAATATAATAATAGGATGAATAAAAGGAGAGGGCGTAGTCCTCAAAAATTTCCCAAAGCCCCCCCCCCCCAAAAAAAGTTCCCCAATTCACTATTTCACCCACCACACACACCGCCCTCCATCCATCCATCCCCAGCCTTATATGTCAAAATAAAGAAAATCCACCTTGAGCAGGCCCACCACCTGGTGTAGTGGGCCTGCTCCCGGCTGCAGGATCAACGGGTCCACGGTTTAATGAGGCTACTCAGACCGGAGAGGCCCGTGACTGCAAAACGACGACGACGAGCGACAAAGGATGTAGGCAATTGACAGCGGGCCGAACCTTTTTTTGCTGCTTTGGTTTTTTTATTTTTTTCTCCTTCTCTGTTTTTTGGATTTATTTGGGGGAGTTGGGGGTGGGGGGGGGGAGAGAGAGAGTGTGTTTTGGGAACTTTTCTTTGGGGGAGGGGAGCGATGGGAGGAGGGTTTTTGAGAACATGATGAGGAGGGAGTGAATTCAGAGCGTGAAGCTTTAATATTTCATGTCTGTTATTGTCCACGCGTTCCTCTGTTCTCGAGAGGGGAGATAAGGTAAGGCTAGAGAACTTCTTCTGCCTTGTTTAATATATATATCAGATATGCTGGAGCCTTGGCCTCGCTATTTGGAGAAGAATGCTAGATATCTAAACACTCTTATTAAGGAGGAGCCGCGAACTGGATCACTTCCAGGGCTCAATTGTCTTTGACTGATGCTATCTGGCAGGTAATATGGAGTGCATCAGCTTGATAGAGCATGTGTATTGGGGTATGTTGAGACAATATTGATCTTGTGAACTGACTGGACAGACTCCCGAGCCAAGGCCATCGAATAAACAATCAATGGAGTAATCAGAACAGGTATTTTGATCACTTTGGAGCAGCACTACTGAGATGGCAATCAGCCTACTATTGACACAGTACTGCAATTGTTACAACTGAATCGCAATTTCTATCTTCACACGAATTCCCCCACCCATTCCATTCGATCTCCCTTCACCCCGCGAACATCACCCTTTAGTAGAGGGCCAAAGCAAGCGCACTCGAAACACTCAGACCCACGACCGCCCATCCGGTCTTGATTACAGCATCGTTCTTGAAAGCCTTGCCCAAATCCCAAACCAAATGTCTCACTCCGTTAATGCTGTGAAATGTGAAAGGGAACGCCACAGCGAACTTCGTCAGCACCTTAAGAGCCACGGGCCAAGAGGCAAACGCAGCCGCCATGCTGGCAGAATCTAGGTGCCAGCCGAAGAGCGGAGACACAAGGTACGCAGATCCAAAGATGTAGAAGCCGCCAGACAGGACGGAGCCAGTGATACGGTTCAGGCCGGACAGAATCCAGGGGATCTGAGGCTTGTAGATGGCGAGATGGGGGGAGGTAGGACGGTGCTTGCGTTGCTCGACGAGAATCTGGTAGGAGGATTCGGGGGTCATCTTCTGGGTGGCCACAGGTCTGTTTTTTTTCCCGTCAGCTCGCACGCTCAACCCATTGGTGGTGCCAGAGGGGAGGGACCAACCGGGTCTGGATCGAGGCTCCAATTGCCGCGGGAGCAAAGCTCTTCTTCATGGCATATTGGGCGATCATGGAGGGCTGGCCGGCAGCAACTGCACACAGCGTTAGCTATAAGCGTTGACGCAACCGCAGCGGGCGGGGGTGTTTTCCCACTGCCACTGCAGAGGGAGGGAAGGGCACATACGCCGGCGCAGCGATTGTTGGGTGGCTCTTTGCGCAAGCATCTTGATTCTGGTGATGTTCCTTTGGAGCGTCGCCAAACACAATTGAAGATGTCGACGAGACGAGAATCGGATGCTGTCGTCGATAATACGGAATGTATCGGCTGGTAGCGTCTCCCTCGGCAATTACCCGCCGCCCAATCACATGGCTCCTGTTTCAAAGAGCTCGGGTTACGTAATCGTGCTGTATTTGGTGTGGCGCGCATGTGATCAAAGGCACGTGACCTTCACGCGACTGCTGGTATATCCGAAAATCCTCGCTCCAAACTTTTCTTCTCCTCAACATGAGCATCTACCCATCACGCTGCTGGATCTCCAAAGTGGCACGCGAAGGTGAAATGGCCCGCTGGTAGCGTTATGCTATCAACACGGCCGTATACATGTTCTGAGAAAGAAGGATCTGTCGTTAATCTCGACCTCGAGGATTCCATCTCGTGGTCGTTTCATTTTATGATCTACACCTCTACACCGGTTGCCATGCCTTTCTGGCTGCTGTATTTGTACAAAGGCTGTTGTGCCTCATAACATCGATTCAGAGCTGGATCCCTGTGCCTGGCCCCGGGGAACTATTCTAAAGCGCAGATACTGATCTGTTCTTTGATTCGTGATGCTGTAGATGTGATGTCCCAAGGATGACCAGCCCTTCTGTGGGGGACGAGGCACATCCTTCTGTGCGTTCAAGATAGTGCTGATATGCGGCACCCCTCTATTGTTATGTGGCAACCCCTCTGCCTAATGCGTCGGCGGTGAGCCGTAAGTCCAGGCGGTCGGTAGGAGATACCGGCAGAAAAGGGGTTTCTGCCGGCCATGGGGAGTTGCCGTATAAGAATGTGGGGTGTGCCGCGTATCACGACTCCTTAAGACTGTATTCCTGTGGGATATTGTCAAAATCGTTGATATGCACGATGTTTTTGTCTAGTACCAACTCTCGGTCAACGTTCTGCAGCAAAGATTGAGAAAAGAGCGGCGTCTCTGAAGCATAAAACTCGAGAATGTGTTCGACCCTCCGTGGACCAGGGAAACGATTTCTTGCAGGGAGAAGTCTCGGTGATGATAGCAGGAGTAGTTGATTGTTATCGACGACTTTTGGCCGAATGCTTACTTGCCTCTCTAGATCGAGACAAGTAGGCGAAGAGTTTGAGCATAGTTTCAGATTTTGCTTGAGACGGTGAGCTCACTTATCTGGATGATGGAAGGTAGGAGTAAAAGCAGAAAGACTAGAGCTCTATTGCGAAGAAGATCATGGACAATGAGAGTGCAAGATGACTATATGAAGTGGAATGGGTGTCGAATCCCAATCGGTCAAATGCCACAATGCTCTATGCTCTATGAAGCAGCATGTTTATGATGATGATATCCCTCCTCGTACCCTCCTCCCATCACCGGGCCTTGCTCTCCCCCTATCCAAACTTCTAACTGTGCTTTCCCCTGTCCCTGACCCGTCCTTAAGCCACCGGCAGGCGTGTATCCAAAACGCACAGCTTGCAATCCATGAAGGAGTCGTCCGAATCCACAGAGCCGAGACGATCCTAAGAATCCCGGCCCAAGCGCTCCTCATCGTCATCCACCAGCTCGTACGCTGGCCGGAACATCGTCGCGTTAGCGTCGAGTGCCAGCGCCGGATTTGGGTGCGTGTCGGTCATGCCACCGAGCGAGGTGAAGCCCTGGTTGTACAAATTACAAAAGGGGATGCCTAAATGGCGGATGAACTGTGTCCGCGTTAGCAAGATATCTCAACCCGTCTTGTTCCTATTCCCCTTCCTGCCCGGCATCACCCTGCCGCCTCCTCATCTCTCCTCCAGAACCCAAAAACGAAACGGAAGAGATAGAGAAAGAAGGTACTCACAGCCCAAATCTCCGCATAATGCCAATCGATAACTGGATGCACGCGCATGAACTGCGGCCAGTCTTTGTCTGTGGGATCGAAGTGCTTCAGGAACTTTCCGTGTGGATCTGTCCGTCTCGTTCCCACGAATATAGCCTTGACGGCCGGTTTCTCGCCTAGGTATGCCTCGAGTGCGGGGCGCATGGGCAAGGCGTACCGAGCCAGATCGAGGTGGTATTCTGTTGCTGAAGTTGCGACGAAAGCCTCGACTTCGGGAAATGGGTGGGGGGAGACGACGTAGACTGCTTGGAGGGGCTGAGGGGAAGACGGAGAGGTTGAGGGTTGAGGTTCGGAGGATGACAGCGGAGGGTTGGTTGTGTTTGTAGTCTTAAGGATGGAGGTGGAGGACGAAGCATATGCCGGCCAACAAGCCAAAATCAACACCAGCAATACAATGCAGTCCTTCCCGCCATTATACGAGAGGGATAGCTGTTCGGGCCTATGTGTTTTATCAGCCATGTTGTCTATCCCTGCTTAACGCCATCCATCCTCCGTGTACACAGAGGTAACGCAGCACCTACCTATATCGCTGCAGCGCCTCCTCAATAACCCCAATCGACACCCGAACCTGACTCTGCACATTCCGCAACACCTCGTCATCCGTCTTCTCCTCCAGGAACGCGATCACTTTGCGCCGCAGCCCGTCGCAAATCTCCGGTAATGTGAGGGGCGCATCAGATGCCGCGGCTGGCTTTGCGACGCCGTTGACCCTACTCACGAGTAGGTCATCTTGGTGGGAGGGCGCATCCTGTGCCATTTCGGTGTTTCGGATATAGTATATTACAGCAATCAGCCATGAGAGCTCTAGAAGATGTAGGGAATGCGAGGGACGAAGACGCTGCGCCTATTATGTAGCTGCCCGTCAGCATGGTAGGCGGGGAAGGGCGGCCGCTTAGTCATCCGCCGCATTCGCACCCCGCATTTGCGGCTCCCGATCGATTTCAATGCTCTTGAAATTCGAGTGTTGATTACTATTCAGTAGTCGCTTTGTCTCTCTCTTCACTGCCATTGCGGCAGCAGGAACAGGTTATAGCCGTCGTTGATTCGACCTTCACCAACTATCTCGGGTGCCTGTTTAGCTAGCGTTTCTAAGACTACCTAAATCTGGCTCGGATCCGTATCTGAAGCCGCCGACTCTGTTTTTGTTCTCACCACGGCTACTACATTCTATGACCTGTATTCCCCCCTTTGATTGTCTCATTTCTGAGCATATATCGGCTTCATTTGCTGCCATAGGACAGGAACAGAAGTCCTCGACTGATAGCATCGTAGCCCTAAAGGCTAAATACAGTGTCAAGTGACGCAGTTGAACAGATGTTTGACAATGTAATCTTTTCACATCGGAACTCGCTCCCTTGGATGTTCCCCTTGACAATGGACATTATCCGTTCTATCATTTTCCTATAGGTTATAGTTTTACGTTATCTCAAGCGAGATATTACCTTGCTCTTCATAAACAGAAATTCCCCGTCGTCCTGTCCCTGACTTCATACTCTGATTGTGAAATTCTCTGCTACCCATCACTCCAAATCCTGTTGTTATGTTCATCACTATGTACAACACATGTACGCCCACTCAATTATATTCCCATGGCACCATTACACTTGTTTCTTCCATGGCCAACAGCGGCCAGTTCAGCAGCTCCACCCACTCATTCTTCAATACTGACCTAATCGCACAAATCTCCCGTCGTCCACTATCCCCAATCCACCACGTATCCCTCAACCTGGCCAGAAACGCATAATAATGAGCGAGCACCACCAGTGCCCTTGGCTGCAGCTCTTCCACCAAGCCAATGAATCGTTTCGGAATGAACATTGGGAACGCTACCAGTCTCCTGCAAAGATTGCCTGGCGTTTCGCCCTTATTGAGTGCCATTTGCACACCGCCGATATAACTGAGCGTTAACTCATATGCTTTCTGGATCTCGGGGTTCCAAGGCTCTTGTTCCTCATCTACAGGGCTGCGGCGGAGGAGATGGATGAAAACCTGGAGATTACTCTCGCCAAACAGCGTTGACAGATCCGATAAATCGGGACCATGCTGTGCGACTCTTCTCGCTATTGATGAATCATCATCACCGATCCAATCCCATGCCGTCTTGAAGACGTCGCCTGAGCCGTTCATCATTTGGAGCCATTGCGTTGGCGGCGTGTACGGATGCAACGGACGATCTTGAAGGACGGCTTGCGTGCAGTTCCGAATTAGGCTTGAGGTCATGCAGACAGTATCCGCTTTGGCTTTGCCGAGGTTTTCAATGTCGAGACGGTGTTCTTGGAGAGCCAGGCCTAGATACCTGCGATGAACATCCATAAATTCTAGTCTTTGGTTGGGAAATGGGGAGGTTTTGGCTATATGAAGTGCAGAGAATGAGAACATCGAGTACAAGAGTGCACGGTGTTGTAGCGCCAACTCGGGGGCTCCGTGCGTCATTGCCTCTCTATAGGACTTCTCATGGGTCCCCGGAAATGATAAGGCTGTTTTCATCATCCATTGGCTGAGCAGCTTGAGTTCGAGAAGACGCCGTCCCTCAGACTCTAAATGCTCTGAGTTCGTGATGGCCGTACCACTTTCAAGGCTGCTGTTTGGTCCGGCAGTGACATCGCTGACGTTATTAGGTTCTTGATAGCCGGTGGGCGTCCTGGACCTGAGATGATCGTAAACGCATGGGACATTATGCCGGTGGCAGTTGCCACATATTGGGTGGACTTCATTACACTGTGTAATTGTCAGAACATTGTCCAGCGAAGCCAAATAACTCGACAACAATGCCATTTTTGAAAAAAAGGTTGTAGAGCAGATGGAAGAATGAGGGGCGACACCTTAACTCTCCGAGTCCTGCATCGTTGGCAGCCCGTCCTGCTTTTCTTGTGAGAGAGTCTCGGCGCCCCTCTCCTCTCGGCGCCTCTAGCTTCAGGCACGAACCCAACGAAGGTCGTGCTGGTCAGTTCGCTTCCTCCATTATCACCTGGCGACATTAGCCCGGGATCTTGTGGATGCACACTTCCGTAAAATCTCTCGATCGTTGCACGATCGTCAAGCTGGCAAGTTGCTGTACTGTATCTACTACCGTTTCGTATCGGTATCGTTCTCGCTCTCGCTCTCGCTCTCGCTTTCGTTCTCGCTCTCGTTCTCTTTCTCGAAGCGGTATGGTGGTCTCTTCACGTAAGCGCTAGTGTACGACGAAGTCCAATCCACCGCTCCTCGATCCTCAACCACCAGCATGAACATGGTACTCTGTATGATAACCCATGGAAATGTTAGGCCTCAAGGTATATCCATAGATCTCAGCCCCATTTTCACTGCTTTGGCCTTGCGCTTTACTACAGTCAGTATGCTGTTGTCAAGGGGCCTGGCTTTTATCGATCATCCTCGGATCCATTCGTTTCAAGAGCACAATGAACCTGGCTATGTATGGTTTATGTGTTGCCATGGCATGGCAGTATCCTTCAAAAGAGATATATAAGGTGCGTCTCCCAAGTGGGATATTTGTCGCCAGAAAATAATTCAGAAACATTTCAAACAAAGAGTCCCATTGGAGTCCTTTGCATATATTTTCTCTCCTTGTCTTTATTCTTGTTGGTTATCGATCTTTTGGTTTCCATGGCCAATATACTTGTTGCAAAAGTCGTCGGCGGGGTGGCCTCCGGAATTGGCCTCGTATCTGAAGGTATCTCGGCCAAGAAGAGACGTTCCGCAATGAAGAAAGATAACGCCGAGTACAACGACGACATTGCCGGTCCATCGCAACCCCCAAGTTATGACGAGGTACTGGATGAGGGCGATGAGGAGAAATGGGATCTCGATGACGCTCAGGACGAACTTGAACGTGCAGCTGGGCCAGGGCCACAATCTCCGGCCGGAAAGCCCATTCGAAATGTCCACAAACTTACAGATGCATTCATGGCGAGACACCCTGTTCCCGAGTATATAGATGAGGCACCAAAATTACAACTACCGGTTGTCCTTCCACAGCGTAGACCAAAAGATCGACGTCGAGGGTTCATTCGAGCATATGCACCCGCGCTCGAAACGAAGGGTATCGATCAAGCCACGTTTTTGGAATTTATCGAGACTTTTGACAAGGCCAGCCAAGCCTCTCCATGGATTCAGGCCATAAACCTCGCGGGATTCGCAACTATTGCACTAGCCCCGCCATTCTCTATCTTGGTTTCAATTGCGATTCAAACGACCGTCAATGTTGCAACGGAGGTACACTCTCGAACAAGGTCTAAATACCTTTCTCCTAACACATTCTCAGTCTACTAATTGGAGCCTCTAGAACAAATACTTTCCTAGACCGAGCCAACAACGAATTCTTCCGTCCCAGGGGCCTCTACTGCCTGGTAATGACCTGGAATCCAGAGTCTGACCAACGCACTGATACGATCGACATCACATCGAGCATATTGTCGAAGACAACCTCTAGCTCGAGCACGACACAAAAGCTCAAGTCTAAACTAAAGTCCTCCGATGGGAATACTTACGGCGACCTCGAATTTCCGGAGGTAGCCCCACTCATCTTCCCGGCTCTTGACGAGCTGGCGGATCAGACGGGTGAAGAGGCCGCTACGAAGAGGGAGAAGCTTAAGAGGGCCAAAAATTTTACATCGGAGTATTTTGATAGAAGGGCCGTCGCTAAATATGTAAGTCATTGATCCCTTTAGTTATTTGCTCTCCCCATTTCACGTGTCCTTTTCCTAACAACAAGTTTTGGACAGGCTGGAGAGAATCCAAATAGCGTATTGGCCTCGCAGGCAGGACCCAAGCCAACCTTTAGTTCGAGATATGCGGACCCGAACCATCCTGCGGCGAGCGGGAACTTGATCTCGCTTGTGACGGGCGGGTATATCAACCCCCCATCGCTGGGGAGTGGCGGTTCTGGGCGGGGTTTCGGCGGTGGTCGAGGGGGTATGGGTGGACAAACAGATATGCATGGAAGACAAGGCTTCGGAGGTGGCTTGGGAGGACGAGGGATCGAAAATACCGGAATGGGAATGCTAATTGGGAGTTTGGTCGATCGAGGTCGAACCGCAAATGGGGACTTTGGAAATCGACAGCGATACCATGCGAATGACAGACATGACTTGCAGCAAGAAAGAAAGCCAATGACGGAACAAGGAAGAGGCACGATGATCCAGCAACCCACTGCTGGGTTTGGCCAAGGGAGAGGAGGTGGATTTGGGGGAATAGACAATCCGATCGCAGCGCTGAATCCGATTATGGGAATCAAGAGGATGCTGAAGGAGGTAAGCTGCCAATGTCTTCTAGTTAGAAGTGTATCTGCTAATACTTCAATAGCGAGTCTTGTATCTGATGATTGTCAATATGCCGTCTGATGAAGAGCTCGCTGCTGCGGCTCGGGAGATTGAGCGGGCTAGATGAAAGGAGACGATGGGTTGATAGAGATTACAGCTGTGCTCTACATCAGGGGTCACTAGTAACTGTAACGAGTTCACCAGTACGCAGGATAGAACATAATTCTCAGAACTAATTTACTCACATCTATCCTCCTTGATGATCCCGCAGAAGTCAAGAGAAAGGATTAATTAACCAAGGTACGTACTTTACCTTCCCAGAACGATTTACTGCATAATCATTGACGGATATGCAGATATATAGATATACCCACCTAAGGTATCTTCGGGCACCCACATATGCATTATATAGTATATATCAAGGGACACATACCCAGACATTCATACGTATATGTGTTAAAGGAGCTAAAAAGTGTCACAGGCTGAAATAAAGTTTAGGCCTGCAGGGATATGCATTCAGATTGTTTCCGCCGATAGGAACACGTCTAGTGCGGGTCGACAATATCATCACCACTGATGTCTCTCCTAGAACATCGTGATATACTTGCAACCTTTCGCAACACATGAATTCGAAAGACTTCGCTCAGATTACGTTCCGTATATTGCGGCCTGGGTCATCCGCTATTGCATTAGCTTCGTAACATACTCTGTCTCGAGAGCATGGCACTTGTTTATCCTTGGCGCCGAGAAGATCTAAGTATCCCGGAGCTTTCTATACAGGACACACAAAAGGTGTTTCTTTTGATGTCTCCTACCGTCGTCAACAAACAAACCACCCACTGAGGAGAAAGACAGGGAACAGAGTGAAAGAAGAGAAATGGTATGTCACCTAAGCCCTAAGTTTGAGTGAGAAGCATCTCTAATATCAGCTCAGGCTCGTCATCTCTACTCTCGAAGACCCGTTCGGAGGACCAGGCGCACCATTGTGAAGATCTTGCTTATGATCATCTTCATCTATCTCGTCCGCCTGGCCTTCCAGTTCAAGCCTTATCAGGTCGAGTTCAACTATGATCCGGGACCCGTTCGACCAGAGCTATACCCCGTCTCTAAGACTCTCACTCTGCCGCGAGGTTGGCCTGCAAAGATCCCCAAGATCCAGTCTGAGCTGGTGGTCGAGACGCCCCAGATGGCGCACGCCAGGGAGGGGCGACTCCAAGAACTGCGCGCTACGTTCCAGGTCACCTGGCGCGGATACAGGCAAGAAGCATGGGGCAAGGATGAGTTGAGACCCATCTCCGGTGGCTTCAAGACACCATTCTGCGGATGGGGTGCAACGCTTGTTGACAGCCTCGATACTCTCTGGATCATGGAACTGTACGACGAGTTCATCGAGGCGGTCCGAGAAGTGCAAAAGATCGATTTCACGGGCACGGAAGGCTGTCAAATCAACTTATTTGAGACTACGATCAGACACTTGGGAGGCTTGCTGTCAGCATTCGATCTGAGCGGAGGAGAGTACTATATTTTGATAGAGAAGGCTGTGGAACTTGCAGAGGTACTGTTTACAGCTTTTGATACTCCGAATCGGATGCCTACCCCGTTCCTTGTGTGGTCCGCAACAAACCCGGACGCGAACAACCACGAGCCGAGTCAGAGCAGTGTCCTGGCTATGCTTGGCACGCTCTCTCTTGAGTTCACCCGCTTGTCTCAGATCACTGGGAACGATAAGTACTTCGATGGCATACAGCGTGTGATGAACGAGCTAGAAAAATGGCAATCTCAAACTTCCCTGCCTGGAATGTGGCCCGCAATAGTCGACTCTGCTATATTCAATCAGAGCTTTGCTCTCGGTTCTCCGCCCGGGGGATCAGAGGAGTTATTCACACTGGGCGCATTAGCAGACTCAGCTTACGAGTACCTGCCAAAGGTATGCAATCTCCACGGTTCCTTATCTGTTTTCTTTGCTGATTTCTGTAGCAATATATGATGCTAGGTGGCCAGTCCAAGCAATATCGCAACATGTACGAACGCTTCGTCGAAGTCGCAAAAGAGCATCTCTTCTTCCGTCCCATGACAATCGGAAATAAAGACATTCTACTCTCCGGCACCGTGAAGAAGACAGCCAACGGCGTAGCAAGATTCAGCCCTGACGTGGAGCATCTAAGCTGCTTTACAGGAGGCATGCTCGCCATCGCAGGTAAGATCTTCAACCGGCCCGACGACGTCACCCAAGGCCGCAAACTCGCAGATGGCTGTGTCTGGGCGTACCAGAATACCATCTCGGGGATCATGCCCGAAGCTTTCACCGCCGTGCCTTGTGAGAACAAGAGTTATTGCTGCTGGAATGAGAAAGCCTGGTACGATGCCGTTGATCCTGTCTCTGACCCTGGCACCGTTCGCTGGGGGATCAATTCCGAGCGCCTCTCTCCTGGTTTTGCAAAGGTTAAGGATAAACGATATTTGCTACGGTTCGTTCCCCTCCTACTTATCCCCGTCTTTCCTTTTCGCGGCTTATGGATTTTAGCCCCGAAGCCATCGAATCCGTCTTCATCCTCTACCGAATCACAGGCGATGAGTACTGGCGTGAGAGAGGTTGGGATATGTTCACGGCCATCAGCGCACATACCAAGACGCAGCTCGCCCATTCAGCTATCGACAACGTGCTGGTTCCTTCTCCAGGAAAGCTGGATGAGATGGAATCGTTCTGGCTTGCGGAGACGCTGAAGTACTTCTTCCTTCTGTACAGCGACCCCTGTGTCGTTAGTCTGGATGAATACGTATTGTAAGTTGCCCTCCTGCGACACGTTGCTAACCAGATAGGCTAATGGAGTACAGCAATACGGAAGCGCATCCTTTGAAACGACCAAGCTAAATATGAAATCAGCAGAGTGCAAGCTCATGAGAGAAAGGTGGTATTTGGGAGAGAGAAAGATAGCAGACTCTGATATCTGATCTGTCAACTCTCTGCATCACGAGGTCTCTTCCTTTCTATCAGAATCCCCACTCTGTACTGCGGTCAACTCGTCGGTTACCTAGTTAGTTAGTTGCTCACCATCCCTTCTCTCTGCCGCAATAGCGATCAGACACAACACTAGCTGCTAGATAGAGCCGACCTTGCCCATAACATAAAATCAAGCCCCCCCTTGGAAAAAAAAAAAAAAAAACCCACGCTTCTTGCTTTCCCTACCGTGAAAATCGAGCACGCACGTAAGTTTGCTTTGCTTCAACAAAGTCTTCCCGTTGTCATTCATGCCTCTCTGCTTCTTCTCTGTGTATACAGACCCAGCAGCAGCAGCAGCAGCGGGAGTGGATTAAGCTCCGATATAAATACAAAGTCAAATAAATAACTAGTTCCGTAGCTATGATTTGATTGATTGATAGCCTCTGATCCCCGTATGGATAAATAAATCAATCCCCTTCTCTCTCTATTATTCCCTAACAGCGCGTGAAGGACGTACAGATAGAACACAGAGGAAGGGGGGAAGGGGGTGTGGAAAATTAGAATCTGAAGTTTGAGAGGGCATTTACGCATGATTTCTATCATTGAAAGACCTGTGGCTCTAGACTTGGGTAGTAAACAGGTGGTAGGTCGTCGAGTTGGTTGGGGGTCAGGCGAGAATCACTAATGTAGGGTTCTGTACTGGTATAGAAAATGGAGCATATACATATGCAACACAATTTATTCTGTGATATCATTCATGACTTATGCTTCAAGTAAAGAAAGAGAGCATCATTTCCCGCCATCCCTATAAAATAACAGGTTGAAGATCCGCCACGGCGCCGATAACACCCCCAAACGCCCGCACGTGAATCCACTCGGAAAGATTCATGATTTTTCCCGCGACTCCAAGATGACTTTATTCAGCTTGCGATTCCCGTAGCTGGCGATCCGCGATCCGATAATCGTCCCGAGGAACTCCTCTAGAGCCGGCCCGTCATCCGTATCCACGTCCATGTTATCTGCCGCTTTTGACATCAGCTCGGAGTCTTCTGTAATGCTGGTGATCGCCTTGACGATCGCTGCTATGATCATGGCAACGCCCTCGTCGTTGGGGCCGCGCTCGTTTCGCGCTTTCGTGATCACGTATTCGTAAGGTTTGATGTTGGGGAGCATAAGTGTTCGTACTCCTTCCGGACCAGCGACGGCGGCAAGGCCCAGGATGGCTCCGTAATGCTCCCCGGGACTTCGAACGGGGTCAAGGAAAGCTTTGAGGAAAGTTCGTGCTAATCGGGGTTGTAGCGATAAGCTTGACGAAGTAAATTTCCTCGCCATCTGGCCCATGATCGATGCTGCAAGATCTCGAAGTTGGTATTGCTCTTTCAAGCTATCGACCCCATCAGGGCCTAAATTGCGTCCAATGATGCATGTGAGGACGGGCGGGGCGAGTGCTGCAACGTAAGGGTCGATGAAAAGAGACTTGTTAGCCATCATGGCTGCCGTCAGTTCCATCATTTGACGGAGGACGAATGTGTCTTTTAGAGAATGGGTGACCTTCTCTGCCACAAAATTCACAAAGTATGGCACTAATTGGTGAAGACCTGGATCTGAGCGCACACTCTCCAAAGCCGATTCTCTTAGTATAACGACCTCGGGATCTGTGTCTGGATCCAGAATAGCGCTACGGATTTTATCAAAGAAGAGGATGAGCTCTTTGGAGACAACGTGTTTAACCAGAGGTTTGAACGAGACGTTGTCGTTCCCTGCCAGAGCTGCTAGACTTGGATTTGCGCTTGGTCCTTTGGGTACCAACTCTGTTGCTCGAGCTTCAGCTGTAGTCGGGTTCTGAGGTATTGAGGGTTGGACGCCTTCGACGGCAAGCCAGTGTGCTAGATATTGTAAGCCTGAGTCCCCGCGTACGCTGTAAACATCTTACCTGTAAATGACATATCACGGGGAACTTTGGGTAATGGCGCATTGATGAGCTTCTCAAAATCCACCTCCTCATCCTCGATGTAGAAAAGTGGCTGTCCAGGACCTAAAGAAGCCTCTCCAAACCTAAGAGGTCTTGTCGATTCGTAACCATAAAGCGGCTCAACATCGAGTACTCTCAAGGCTTGTGATATGTCTTGTGTTCCCAGCACAGTCCTCTTTCCTTGATGCATGAATCGCATAGCTTCCACAATAACTTGTCCAACGCGATATTCCACCTCCTGTGATAGTGCCCTGACTGCTTCCTCGTTCAAGGATGAGATGCCAACAGACTCTGCGACATCCCGCACATTGTCTGGATTCCAGACGAGCTTTGGGTCGGTGGCCATGTTGGCATATGATGGCGAAGAGGAGGGAGGTCGATCTTGATGGTTTGCGCCAGGGACGTTGAAAGGTGATCCGACTCCAATTGATCCGAGAACTGGGCCTATGTAGGCTCTGCGACCAGAGTAAAAGCTCGAGATCCGCAGGAATCTGTAGTCGATATACCGTAATAGGTTCTGTCGTGCCGCTCGGCGTTGAATGAGGATGGCGGGAACAAAGTTGCATAGAGCTGTAAGGCTGAGATGGCCCGGATCAATGGTTTCCCCGAAAGACACTACGGGCCCGGATCAACAGTTTTCGCGGATGACACGGAATAATGGTTTTCCCGAGGAACAGTCGGTGCACGATCGAAGGGATGCCTCGCAAGTCGGGCACCTAAACACGGCTTTCTACTAGAACCTATGGATGCGTACAATGTCGTGACTCAATTCACTTTGAGAGGGCGAAGTAGCAAACAGAAGTGATTCAGGCATGGCGTATCTCTTGGATTTGATGAATGTTCGCCTCGGCGTCTATTGAATATGATTACAGGACTTACGACGGACATATTTGGCGAAACGCGTCTCCCAGGTCGTATTTAACGCGAGCTACCCCACATTCGCTTTCCAACTTCCCATCTACAAACCCCTCTGCAATAGAAACAACAATCCATTGGAACAGCGGTTGATTCTGGAAGCCGTAACAATGGCGACCCCAGCAGGAACCGACTATCCTTGGAGAGAACCCTCCAAACTCGTCGCACGAGGAGCGTTTATCGTCATCGAAGGGCTGGATCGCGCGGGGAAGACGACGCAAGTCAAGAAGCTATGCGACGCCTTGTATGATGCTGGGCACAATATCCAAACAATCCGCTTTCCAGGTTCGACTCCTTTCCATCCCGCACAGCTCTGGTCTTGCCGGGGCCTATTCTCTACGGCTCATGCTGATTCCAGATTCCAGACCGGACAACTCCAATCGGAAAGATGATTGACAGCTACCTGCAAAGCAAAACTGAGATGGACGACCATGCAATCCACCTCCTCTTCTCTGCAAATCGCTGGGAGAAATCGTGCGGCTTTCTCCCCTATTGAACCGGGCACACAACTGACCTCGCGGATAGTAAATGGATCAAGGAAACCATCGCCAAAGGATACACCATCGTCTGCGACCGTTACTACTACTCGGGCATGATATACAGCGCCGCGAAGCAGAACCCCGAACTCTCCCTGAAATGGGCCAAGTCTCCCGACATTGGGCTCCCTCGGCCCGACGCCGTCATCTTTCTCAACCTGGACCCGGAGGAGGCAGAGAAGAGGGGCGGATACGGGACGGAGAAATACGAGAGGAAGGAGATGCAGCAGAGGGTCCGACAGTTGTTTTTAGATATGGAATACGTACGGCACGATGAAGCTATCGATATGATCGTTATCGATGCTGGGAAGTCGGTGCAGCAGGTGGCCGATTCCATTTATTCGGAAGCTGCCATTACCGTCGATGCTGCTGAAGGCGGCAAGGCACGGGGCCCATTGGGAGTTGTGAGGGATTGGCCCGAAGGGACGGTGGACCGGGTTCCAGAGGTCCGAAGGAAGACTGAGAATGGTGAATTGATCGTTGAGAGGCACCTTCGAGAGTCGATTCGGAAAGGCCATACGGAGTACAACCCGGGTACAGGAGAGTGGCTGGTAAAGCCGTGGCTTTGCGATTAGATGAATTAACGAATAACGAATTGGGTTCATGACACTAGATAGATGCCTTATTTTAAAAACCAAAAACAATCCACTGTCATGCATGGTTCATGATATGGCGTTAAGACCAGTTAGAACGCCACCCCTGCTGGTGTTGAAGACCAGAATGCCCCCCTTTCTCTTGAAACGCCTGAAAATGCCAAAAAAATAAACCGCCCCCCATCTAATCACCGTCGGTTCAATCCTACGAGACTGAAGAACTCGTTTCTGGTCTTCTCCCGTTTTTCTATGCATCCCAATACACAACTCGTGATTGTTGTGGCACTTGTCTTTTCGACCCCTCGCATAACCATACACAGATGGCTTGATTCCATGACTACGGCGACTCCTTGTGGCTTTAAGACATCCATGATCGCGTGTGCGACATCTTTGGTAAGACGCTCTTGAATTTGTAACCGTCGGGAGAACATATCGGCTATACGCGGCAATTTCGAAATCCCAATAACATCCCTATCCGGAATATATCCGATGTGCATCTTGCCCTGATCAGCTTTGTGTTCATGTTCCGCAGAATGAAGGAGACCTACCTTCCCAGTAAAAGGCACCATATGATGCTCGCATAGACTAAAGACCTCAATATCCTTCACGATGACCAATTCGTTATGACCCTCGTGGAAAATAGCATCATTAACGATATCCCGCACATTCTGCTGATATCCCTTTGTAAAAAAGAGCATAGCTTTGGCGTATCGCTCTGGTGTCCCCAGGAGACCTTCGCGAGATGGGTCTTCGCCGATACACTCGAGGATTGTACGAACTGCGCCCGTCATCTTCTCGAGTCGGGCGGCAGCTTGTTCCGGGGTCTCTTCAAGCCGTTCACGGGTTCCTCTGCCTGAAGAAAATTTAGCAGCGGAATAGTGGGAGGGGTTGGAGGGACCTACTCGGACGACTCAGTCCATCAAAGTCAATGACTGGACTTGGTGACCTCGTATCAGAAACTTCTTCCTCTGCAAGACCTGGGGGAGATGGATCATCGCGCGGATCTCGTGCGGGCTTGCTAACGCTGTTCCTCCTGTGGTGCCCCTTCACTCCTCTCCTCCGCCTTCTCTTCCTGCTGCCCTCGCCATCTTCGGACCGTCTCTTCAAGGTGCCATTGGGAGTGGCTTGCCCGGACGCAGCGCTCTCTCTCTGGTCGGGATTTGGCTCCCCCTTGTCCTTGTCCGTCGAATTTGCGAATTGGGCCATTTTGTGGCGGATGTTGTTGTCAAGATTGGGGATGACTCTCAAAAATTTCCCCAGGAAGGCCGATGCGCTAAGATGGCGCTTGCAGCTCGCCAAAGGATCGGCCTTCCAGGGGACTTCAGCCTTGTGTTCGATCGGCAACCTCACCTTGTTCAACAACAAGATTCCAACGACACTCACAATTCATACAGCCACCAAGCAACGGGCGGTAGGATATTCTTATATTCTCACCTTTGACGCAAACGACAGTTGCTTCGCTATTTGAATACCGTCTCCAACCCGCCATGGCGTCGCCACCGTACAACTACCAGTCCGCGATCTCACCACCCTATCCCTCTCACGCACCACTCCCACAACCATCAAAGCGCCGCCAATCCGATATGCCCTCGTCTGCGCCCTCAGTCAAGCGCCGCAAGGCATCTATGCTCTCCGCCAGCTCTGCATCCTCCCATCCTCTCCGTCAAACCTCCTTCCCGCCTGAGAGCGCCTCAAACCAGACAGCACGCTATTCGCGCTCACCCAGCGTGGACACCACTAGTCTCGTCTCTGGCGTGTCCAGCACGAAGAAGAAACGCGGGCGCAAAGCAAAAGGCAAGGCAGATGACGATACCAGCGTTGTTGGGGAAAAGGCCAAGTCGGCGGTTTCGGGAACAAGCGGAAGAGGGCGAAGGCGCGCAAGTCGCGAAGCAAGCGCCGAGGATGAGGATGAAGAAGGTGGAGAGACGGCGGTCGCTATGGTGGCTAGGACAGATGAAGAGAAGAGAAAGGAGAACGAGCATAAGGCCATGCTGCTTAACGCTCTGGACCCTGATCAGTTCTTGAGGTATGAAGCATGGAGAGCAAGTAAGCTGCCGGATTCGACTGTTAGACGGGTATGTCTTCTCTTCTCGTCACCTTTGATATGTTTGGATACAAGATGTAGACTGATGATTGGAACAGATCGTCAACCAAACACTCTCGCAGTCCGCGCCGCAAAGCGTGATTCTAGCTGTGAAATCCGTAGCGAAAGTTTTCATCGGTGAGATGATCGAGGGTGCCAGACGAGTACAGACTCAGTGGATGGAATCAGACGAGGAGGCACGAAATGTGCTTCCCAGTCCACCAGCAGACGGAGAAGAAGAGAAGAGGAGAGGGCCGCTGCTACCGGATCATTTAAGGGAGGCGTACAGGAGACATAAGCTGGCGGGCGAGGGCGCCCTAGTTGGTCAGCTGGGTTTATGGCAGCTGCAGCAGAGTAGCGGGGTGGAGCGATTTGGAGTTAAGGCGCATGGCAAGAGGCTTTTGAAGTAATGGATCTGGATCTGGATTATGCGGCATGTTTCTCGAATTCGTTTTGCAATTGCGAGAGCGCAACATTGTCAGAGGGGCTAGGGGATGGCTTTGAGCAATCAATGATCTCTTCCCGGAGTCAGTGGTTAGACTTAACGGGCCTGCTGCACATTCGGCGCTTTAATCCGCCACCCCTTTCGGCCGTCTCGTGCTCCTCGAGGGGCGCGCGCAGGCCGCGGGTCGAGTTGTCCTGCAAGGCTTGAGATACCTTGAAATACTTGTATATCTATCTAATAAGGGTCAAGAAATTTGACATAAGTGTTGATGTTAACCTTGCAAAGGAACTCTCTGGTGGATTTCCCCTACCCCATCTTCATTATTTAATTGGGACTCTGTAGCTGAGAAGACATGCCTATAGATCGCCCTGTAGTAGTCTCAACCCAACTAACCGTGATGCAAGATTGATGCCCCTTCATCTTATACTGCCAGAGTAAAAGCGTCTCAACATCAGCCAAACGTCTTCCTAAACCTGCCCTTGATATGCTCCTCCACCGTTTCCGCATCCCCATCAGCAAGACTTCCATCCAAGGGGCTCAACCTCGTGCTCAGATTGCCATGATAAAAGAAAGGCACGCTATACCTATCCGTAGTACTGACATTCACCACTCTATGGACCGCACTCTTATACTCTCCCTTGGTCCACTTCTGTAGCAGATCGCCAATGTTGACGATGAACACGTCTTCCTTGGCCGGCACCGGGATCCAGGTCTGGGTCGGCGGATACAGGACCTGTAAGCCGTGCTGATCAGGCTGCTGTAGCAGGATCGTCGTGCACCCGAAATCCGTGTGCGCGCCCGCTTGCTCAACACTCAGCTACGTGACCAGCAACGCAAAAGAAGGGAAATTTTGGGGGGAGGGGGGATGACGTGCCTCCAATACTCTGCTCCTCTGCCCCCTCTTTGGCATTCGGCGGGTAGTGCAGCAGTTTAATATTGGCTACCGCATCCTGCATGAATCCCTCCATCAGTTCCTTGCCTTGCTCTGAGAGCCCCGCGGCGAGGATCCGCAACAGCAGTTCGTGTAGGCCTAGCACGCGCCTATGATACTCCATGACTGGCGTGCGGAAGTCCTCAGCGCGCAGGCTTCCCGGCCACAGGTTCGGGCCCTTCAGGAACGTGCCGGCCGCGGGATCGTCGGCGGGCACCTCGACCCCGATGTAGAAGCCTTCCTTGGTGTCCGGTTTCACATCGAGCGTCTGCCCGCCAACGGCTTCGTAGCCTCGCTTGCTCATCCCCATGCTCTTGCTCATGGCCATGGCTTGCTTTTCGGCGAGTGGTAAGGCAAAGAGAAGTTCGGCGCAGTGCAGGATCGAACGTTGCAGGGAGAGTGGGATCCCGTGCCCCGTCAGCTGGAAGAAGCCGTAGGATTGGCAGGCTGAACGGACGGCTGTGATGACTGCATCACGGGAGGATTGGGGGGAGGACGGGGAGAGGAAGGGGGAGAGGTCGATGGTGGGGATCGTAGGCTGATCTTCTATGAACACCATTGTTTCTCGACGAGGCCCGTGGATGAGAAAGAGAGGGAGATGCTGGTTAGGAAGTTTTGGGGGGTTATGAGAAATGAAAATGGGGAGGACATGTTATCATGGCATCCCCTCCACGGGGCAGATCTAGTAGTTCCTGCAGCGCGGATCTCCGAATGCAGGGACTGTCGAAAGATGGGGAAGATGCATACGTAGATAGGTAGACAAGACTTCCGTCTCCATACCCTATTGTATCTGCATGTCGGTATATATATGTATACTCATATATATAGGTATGTACCTAGGTTCTAGGTAGGTAGACGTCGACAAAAGCTTTCTCGTCTTTTAGCCGCAATGGAAAAGGGAAAGGTATGAATGATAAAGCAGCTCGTATTCCTGTCGATAAAGAGCGATAAAACAGACGCGCGGCTACACTAGGCAGCCATTGCTCTATTGTCCGGGTCAAAAGATAGAATCGTCGATTTTCTTTCTTGTTTTTGCTGGGACTCCTTTTTTGAACGTATATTTATTTCATCCCACCAACTCGTTGTATACAATAACCCGTCGCCATGGCCGTCGCCTCAGAAGAAAAGACCTTCCGCTCCTACACTCACGAACAAGGCGCAACCTACGCCCAGAACCGCCGCGGCTACCATCCTAACCTGTACAAGACCATCCTCAACCACCACACGTCCACCGGCGGCCAGCTCACCACCGTCCTCGATGTCGGCTGCGGTCCAGGCACCGCCATCCGCGAGCTCGCATCGCACTTCACTCATGCCGTCGGTCTTGACCCCTCTGAAGGGATGATCAGCACCGCCCGGTCCCTTGGCGGTGTCTCGTCCACTTCCGAACCCGTCCGCTTCGAGGTCTCCACGGCCGAAGATCTCGGCTCCCAGCTCTCGTCGCCCATCCCGGACTCTAGCGTCGACCTCATCACCGCCGCCACGGCCGCCCACTGGTTCGACATGTCGCGCTTCTGGCCGCGCGCCGCCCAGCTCCTCAAGCCCGGCGGCACCGTCGCCCTGTGGACCGGCAGCCCCAGGTACGCCCACTCGTCCATGCCCAACCACGCCGCCATCCAGGCCGCCCTGAACGAGTTCGAAGACCAGCATCTGAAGCCCTACATGGAGCCGGGCAACCTGCTCGGCCGGAATCTGTACATCGATCTCCCCCTCCCCTGGACCCTAGCACAGCCGGTCCCGGATTTCGACGAGACCACTTTCTACCGGAAAGAGTGGAACAATGACGCTAGCGCCGAGGGCGACGAGTTCTTCGTAGGCAAGCAGACGGTCACGTTGGATCTGGACACGCTCGAGAAGATGCTGGGGACTGCGAGCCCCGTGACGCGGTGGCGGGAGGCGCATCCGGATGCGGTCGGTACTGAGCGGGATGTGGTAAGGATGATAAGGAGGGAGATTGAGCGGCTGTTGCATGAGGGGGGCGTGGAGAAGGGCAAGGAGATGGTGACGGGAGGTGTAGCGGGGGTGTTGTTGATGGTGAAAAAGAGGGCGTAGAGAAAGAGGAGCGCTAAAGGTCGAATGAACAAACCATAGATGATAGACTAATGCCCTAATTTATAACCTATATAGCTTCTTTGAGATTCTTATTAGCCTAGCCTATTGTTAGCTACTTACTACCTCAAAGGCAAAAGCTTGGCTATTTAGACTCTCATTTCAGGTGATGATCATTATTAATAAGGGAACATTCTGATATTTCTGAAATCTGACTATCACGGCCCCACGACCGGATAATCATTAATTATTTAGACGATCTCTTATACAGGATGACCAAATGCATTCTGATATCTAAGGTAGGTAAGATATGTTAGGAAGGTCAACTATAAAAGGGAGAGTCAACTGTGAAGCGGGCAGTTGATTCTCAATACCCTTAACTTCCGTCCTAGATACCCCTACTCGTCGGCTCGCGTGTAAGCGAAGTACCCGCAACCCGGAGGGGTCTCGGCAAGCTCGTACCGTACCTGACCTAGGGCGTCCTACAGTACCCTAAAATCTGATCTGTATACTAGCGTCCAGGCGGGGTATTTAAACTTTCTTTTCCAAACCCCCACCTCCCCACACTCTTCAAGCTCGAGATCTACTTCTCCCAAGCGTCAACATGGCAACACCCGCCCCCCCTCAGCCGCCGCTGCGAATTGGCACCCGCAGGTCCAATCTCGCCATGGTCCAGGCCGAGCAGATCCGCAACAGCCTACAGAAGATCGCGCCGGATCGCTCCTTTGAGATCGAGGCGCTGCGCACTCTCGGGGACAAGGACCAGACCAAGGCGCTCTACAACTTTGACGCCAAGAGCCTGTGGACGGCCGAACTGGAGGACATGCTCGTCTCGGGGCAATTGGATCTCATCGTACATTGTCTCAAAGGCGAGCCCCCCTTCTCTCTCCTCTTCCACCAGTTCCAGCACCTGACCAGGCTCATCATCGTCCCCAGACATGCCCACCACTCTGCCCGACTCGTGCGAATTAGGCGCTATTCCTATGCGTGATGATCCGCGCGATGCTCTGGTCGTCAAGGCTGGCTTGCCATATACCAGCTTACAGACGCTGCCCGAAGGCGCTGTCGTTGGTACCTCGTCGGTGCGGCGCTCTGCGCAGCTTCGCCGTCTGTACCCTCATCTTCGCTTTGCCAACCTGCGTGGCAACGTGGAGACACGTCTGGCCAAGGTGGACAGTGCCGAGGGCGAGTACGCCTGCATGGTCATGTCTGCGGCCGGCCTCCAGCGCATCGGGCTCACGCACCGCATCAGTCAGTACCTGGGTTCCAAGGACGGCGGTATCTTGCATGCAGTCGGCCAGGGAGCGCTCGGCCTGGAGATCCGCAAGGGCGACGTCAAGACGCGGGAGTTGCTGAACCAGCTCGTCGACCGGCCTTCGACTCTGGCTTGTCTTGCCGAACGGAGTCTTATGCGCACTCTGGAAGGCGGCTGCAGCGTCCCAATTGGCGTCGAGACGGAGTGGCTTGGCGATTCCAAGGACCGACTCAGGATGAGGGCAATAGTCGTCAGCCTTGATGGTTCCCGAAGCGTTGAAGATGTCATTGATGCAAAAGTGCAGACCGATAATGAAGCCGCAGAATTTGGCCAGGCACTCGCTGCAAAGTTGCTCGAGGCCGGGGCTGATGCAATTCTAAAGGATATCAATGCTAATAGGCCGGCCAAAAACTGAAGATAGACCTACCGCTTCTCAATACAACATGGACGGCAGAAAATAAGTCCATTGCTTGTATTGTCTGCTCCGTGCCCCACTAGTAAACTGTAAATGTGCTCATACGAATAACTATGAAGTCCAACCCTTTTGATCCAGCTACAGATAGAAGCGCCGGACTTCACATCACCATGTTGCTCCATGGGACCGTGGCCTACTTATAGTCAAATGTAGGAATTCAAGTTGTTCTACGTATTGACTGTCATGTTTTGTTACTGTTGTACACTACGGTAGGTAAGGTTGGTAGTCTTGTTAATCACTACGTACCTACTATCACTGTCTGTCTGTCTGTCTGTATTAATAGTAGAGTTATAACGGTTATATAAGGTTGTACGACAGTTCTTATACTCTAGAGTTGGCTGTAAGACGATTTCTAATTTTCTATGTTGGTTTTCACTGTTTTCACTGTTTTCCTTAAATACAAGATGGGCCCCTCCTTATAATTCCTTATGACTATTAAGTATAGTTCGATTCTATCTATACTGATAGTTAAATATAAATCAAGTCCTATTAGTTAGTTCTGTTAGTTCTGTTCTAAAGGTAAGAAAAAAATAATATGCTGATTATATCACTCTAAGGCTGGGTGCTCTGATACTACGAGGTACCTTACCTGAGGACCTGAGGTAAAGAATTTTACCTAAATAGCTAGCTATTCTAAGGATCTAACCCAGCCTCGTTAAGGGCGCATGTAGAATCCTGGAGCTGGACCCGTTATAGCCAGATCATCAGTCTTAATTTGCAGTAGATTTTGGGCAGAAAAGAACATAAATTTTATCTGGGTAGGGTAGACAGTTGTGAATATGATAGAGATATTGATATGAGAATTCTAGCTCTCATACTGCGAATAAATATGATGAAGGGTTTGGTTATATATACCTAAAGGCCTCTATACAACCCTTCTCTACTGTCTACTTGAGAAACAGCAAATACCGAATCTGTAACATATATCCTCATAGGGTGTGCTTTACCGGAGTCACCAACAAATGTTTATTGACGGGCGTCAAAGGCTCTCTCCCTTTCAAAACCGCATCTATATTTCTCATCGACAGCTCTTCAAACCCTATATGCCTGCAAAAGATCAGTCAGTAACAAGATACGGCATGGACTATGATAGGTGATGTAGCCTACGTTTGAAGAGTCCCGCCAGCATTGTGTGACGTAAGTGTCACTTCCCTGAGCCGCTTCAACCGCTCATTAACATTCGGCTCAAGATCATGCACATCGAGTCCGACACCGACGAGTCTCCCCTCCTCAACCGCATCAGCGACAGCCTCATCGTCGACCAAGCTTCCGCGAGCAATATTCACAAACCGACTACCCCATTTTATATTCCGCAGTCGCTCTTTGACGATGAGCTTCTTCCCATCTGGGGATGCGGGCGTGGCGAGGACTACGCAATCGCTGATAGCAAGCATGGCATCGAGACTGGAGAAGAACTCGGCTTCGACTTCGGCTTCTTGCGCCGCGGGTTTGCGTACCACATCGTAGTACTTGATCTTCATGCCGAAGGCTCGGTAGGCTTTCTGCGCGATTCTGAACCCGATGTTCCCAAAGCCTATTATTCCAAGTGTGTGCCCCCTCGGGTTGTGGGAGACGGCAGCCGCGTTAGTATGGCAATCTTTGAATTCTGCTGCGGAGGAGCGGGCCGCTGTTGTGCACCTATGAACGTGTCAGGAATTGACAGTCCTCCGTTTTAGGGGTGGAAGTGGTACCAGGTCAGGTTTCTGAAGGTCGCCAATATGAGGAAGAGGGCAAAATCTGCCACGGATTCAGCGGAAGCTGCTGCGCTGGTTGTTGTTAGAGGCCATGTGATTTTGTCATCCTGGAAAGCATTCAACGCACCTGTTGCAGTATACAATTCCTAATCGAGCTACTGTCAGTGATTTATTCCTACAAAACTCGGGAGTTTTGGAAGGTACAAACCTCGCGCAGCCAAAAGATCTACATCAGCCCAATCAAAGCCAGCACCAGCAGATGCAAAAATCTTACAGGACGTAGGAATTAGAGGTATAAGCTCCTTATCCCAGCGACCCATTTCACCACCCGTATTCCAAAAGGGTCTAAAGATTGCCGCAAAGTTCCCCCACCTCTTCTCTCTCAATCCTTTCATAAACTCATCTCTCTGGCGTTCTTCTGTCGATGGACGAACGACAGTGAAATCTTCAGAGAATTTGGCATAAAGGTCTGTATTCCATTTCACGGGATCTCCAATGTGGAGGACGATTGGCTTTCGAGATGCTTCTTGGGAGGATGTATATGCCATGGTTTTCAACTGTGAATAGCGGTCAGGTGCTTTTGAGATGTGAAAGTGTTATTGTTCCTGAAAGAATAATCGGAAAACGAAAGGTTTATGAGACAAACTTTGGAAGGCCAGCTCACTTATTATGCTCTTCTCTCCAAGACGGAGTAGGCGTTGAGCGGCGTTTGACGGCTGAGATGAGATGTGGTGTTGCCGACCCCAGAACCACGGAGTATAGGCGGCAATTGACCCAATCCGTGGCCCTGCAGCGCGGGGTTGCAGGCTTGTAGTACCCTTGCCAATTCGTGTCTGGTGAACAGCTGTCCATCCTCTTCTCTAAAGCTTTACCTTTGAAGTTTTCCTGTGGAACGCAATTCATTAACAGAATAATTGAACTAAGTAGTTCATGTCGGCAAACTTCGTTAACACAAAGAGCGGAGGCCGGCGATTCCAACTGTCCATTTGCGTGTGTCTAAATTGGCTAGAGTGTACCCACTACCCGGTGTGGGGACGGCTTTCCACACACGTCTTCCAGAAGACTCGGAACGCTTTTCCCGAGAACATTGTCTGTAGCTATTCCGTACCCGAGTCGTGATGCTGTTGCGCGGCCGCCATAAACCGGCTGTTGGTAGTGGAACTTGGTCTCGTCGTCTGGACTCGTCGGTCTCATGGCAGATGCTGGACATAGCAGAGTAAAAGAGGCAAAAGAGACAGTCTGCAGCGGCATTTGAGCACTTGCTTCCAAACCAGAACTGAAGATTGCACGCAGATAGATAGAGAGGAGAGAACTTCGCAGAAAGAGGGAGGACTACTTCCGCTACTCGAAGTACTTGACCCTATGTGTCTGCATGTGCGAGGGTCAATAATTGTTATCTCAGTCGATGTTGGTTCAACCTCAGCCTCATATTTATTAGCTGCAACCCATCACTGGAAGGTTTTGCATGCTTTGAGCATTGGGACAAAAAACTCGAGGTGTTGCTATAGGGAATGGCGGGCTGGGCCGAGATAATCCACCTACGGAGTAGCTACAGCGCTACGTAAAATGCGGGGAGCCGCCAATGTAAGATAAGGTCGCCCCATCAGCAACTACAACAATATCTGGAGTTGGTATATCTATGCATCCGCGCTTTTCAACCATTTGACTCCTAAGCCGCATTGAAAATCCCCACGCCCATCGAGATGAGCACAGCTGAATCCCAGCAGGCTGGTGGTGTGCCCACCCTCCACCACCTCGATGTACGCATGGCAGCTTCTTCCTAGAATCTCACATCAGCTAACCCGTCTCTCTCCCCAGCATTCCCAATCACAACGAATTATTTGGCTCCTTGAGGAGCTAGGTATTGAATACAAGCTTGTGCTGTATGCGCGGGTTCAAGGTCGTGCGCCCCCGGAGATGAAGAGCGTCCACCAACTCGGAAAGTCGCCCACGCTCCTCACCGCAGACGGGAAGGCCATTATAGAAAGCAGCGCTATCGTGGCATATCTCCTCAAAACATATGATACGGATGGAAAGTTTGCGAGCGAGGATTGGTTGCGCGACGAGGTGCTGACGAGCTTTGCGGGCGCGTCGCTGGGCCCGGTCAACGCCATTGAGCTGCTGTTTGATATTGCGTCGAGGAGGACACCGTGGCCATTGGTTTATATTGCGAGGAAGGTGAGGGGAGGAATTCAGAGGGCGTTCACGTCGGCGGAGTTTGAGAAAGATCTACAGTACTTGGAGGGAGAGTTGGGAGATAGGGAATGGTTCAATGGGAAGCAGTTGGGGAGGAGCGATGTCATGTTAAGTTTCCCAGTGGATACGATAGCTCAGAGAGGATGGGTTGACCTTGCGAAGGACTACCCGAAGATTGATGCTTGGAGGAAGAGGATATGGAGTAGAGAGGCTTGGAAGAGGGCCCTGGAGAAGGGCAATGGGTATGACTTGAATCTGTGGTAGCGGGAATTCGGGAGGGGTACTTATCCACATCTACATTGAGCAGCTTGCTTCACCATGCCGTCTATAAGGACCCGGACGAAGGAGATAGGATGGATGGCAGCTGGGAATTTGATAATCTCTTAATCAGCATGTGCTGATATGGGTACTGTAGAACTTTTGAGACGTCAAACAGAACCACGAGTTAGGGATGAGCTGCTTGGTCCGGGATGGATTCATGGGCTCTGCATACCCATCATTTTCAAGGTAGGAGTTTCCATCCTGAGAGCACAATATATTGGTTAAGTTGACACACCAGTCGACTAATTCAACTTTTAGGGTCGGGTATCACCCAAAGTTCCCAAACCCAGACCCCTTCTCCAGCCTTGACTTCTCGACCTGGTCCTTTGTACATTCCTTCCCCTTCGCGTCCACTACTCCTCCACTACCACCGAAAGACGCACGACGACTTTTTGACCTGTATTTCTCACTCAAGAGGTTCCATATCTCAAGATGCCTGCCGCCTGAACCCCTGAGTGCACTTAGATACGAGGAACGTTCCCTGTCACTTCCTGCGCTCACCAACTTCTAAGCCAATGAGCCCCTGAATATTACAAAATCACACAAGATACCACTTGGTTACACGATGTCTTAAACTATCTGGTCAGGTATTACCTAGGTATGTTCAGAGAATACCGAGCTAGTGGACGCCTTCAGGGAGAAAAGGATCATGAACTTGTACCTATTTAGCCGTGCTCGAAATCTATATAATCCCCTGCGCTTGTCTATCCCATGCGCTTTTCTGATAGCCGGCATCATGCATGTATCATACCTCTACTGCCGCAACGCCATCAAACCATCTTGTTCAGATGGTCCCAAAGCACCCTATGGCACGAAGGGTCCTAGAGAAATGGCGACCAGAGTTGGACTAGCAGCACTGTACTTTCTCAGAAAGTCTGGCCTGCTGCCTTGGCTATGTGCTGCATTCATGCAATTATGCAAGAGTCGTGCGTCTGTATGGCGACAGAGCTGGGCAGAGAGGTAAGTATCATTCGATCTCAAGCAGATGTTGCCATTCCGAAGCCTGCGAACTTTTGATTCACCAACGAGATCGCTTTGCAGATAGGCCCACGAGTGCAGAAATGTTTAAATAACTAGCATTTACTAGATTCAATTATATTCGAGTCTCGATATACTTTGCTCTCTAACCAAAGAACTATATGTGGTATATTAAACGCCCAACGCACCTGAAAAGCCAAAGTCAAGTAAGACCAAGGTGCTCTATTTCATCCATACCCAAACCCAATGCACGAAGATCCAAACGTTTTCCCTCGCACTCCCATTTTCCAAAAACACCAGCCTTCCTTTCCGCGTCTTGCTTGCGACTTGCACCGTATTACGCAGATCGTTGGATCGTTCTGGGCCCCAGTCCAAGATCCTAAAACCATGTTTGCGGATCTTGTAACCTAGGATAAGTATGATAAATACCGGCACCTATGCTGGTATTAGTTTTGAACAAAATTGTGTGAAGTGTATAGCTGGAACGGGACTCACACTGATGTACGAGGCAATGAATTGTCGAAGGCCGAAGGGCCGTTGCACAAAACATACTGCTCCGTTGAAAGTGACGAGTACGATGCTTGCAATGAGGCCATACGCGGCTTTCAGCCATTGCCCATGGGATTTGTAGGGATATCCTGGATGGTTACGATCGTAACTTGCAGCTTGAGCTTCGGAAGCATTTCCATATCGCTTGACTTGTTCCAATCTAAATGCGATATTTGCGTTAGCAGGAGTAGCGAAAAGGGGGCTTTGTACATACGTTTTAAAGAAGCGGAGGTAAGTGGCGCAGATGATAATGTACACGATCAGACAAGACACTGTGCAATTCGATGCGAGCTCACTCAGTCTCTGGGGTTTGAATTATCAGAAAACGTTATACTATAAGGCCTAGCCCACGTCTTGATTATACTTACCATACCAGGCGCCCCAGTACTACCCATGAACGCCATCATCATTAAGCAGCCGGTCATGAGCACCGATCTTGTCGGAACCCCCCAATGGCATTGGCGTAGTCTCCTCGTAATAAATTCGGGTCCGGTCTGGCCTTGCAATGCCAGGGTATACAGTACTCTCGAGCCCACGTACATAGAATTGATGGCACAGGTGAAGGACGAGAAGACGAAAATCGCGTTGAAAAAGTGCGCGGCGGAAGGAATCCCTGCCTCGACGACAGCGATGATAAATATTGAGGATTCGCCTACTGACTGTGCTCCTCCGTTGATAAAGGGGTGGTTCATAGGAACCATGAAGGAGGCTGTCAGCATTGCAATAGAATATAGAGAGACGATGCGAATGTTGATCTTTCGTGCAGCAAGCTTCATACTCTCCGCATCTGGCAGCGACTTGCTCTCCGCTGCCGTAGCGGCAACAATATCCATCCCGACGTAGGAGAATATAACATGGATAATAGTTGTCCTGTGCAATGCGACATGAGCCAAGGTACAACAGCACGTAACAGTATGGTCAAGCTTACCACATCCCAAGGAAAGTTCCAATTCCACCGGTAATAGTCCGCTCATACTTCCCGCTCTCATCCTTTACCTGAAAGACGTGATTGAAGAATGAGTACGGCGAGTCCCAGTCTTTCAAGATACCGGTTAATCATGTCAATATCAAGCCGTGCAGAGCAAAACTTACATTTGGATCCTATTGTCGTGTCGTAGTATGCATTGGCTCTTGCTACACATCGTTACTAAAATTTATTTATTGGGCTGGGGGTTGCTACTTACGCTTCATTGTGGTCAGAACGAGCATCATCATGATGAGCATAGTAATGAATATCAACTTGATGGAACCAAATACGTATTCGAGCTCTCCGAACCACTACCTTGCGTCAGTGTGTACTTTGCCAGTCGCTGAAACCAGTAGCATATTGGCTGATATACCTTCACGGGTGCCATGTTGATGATAGTCACTATGACAAGGAACAAAGCAATCCACACCAGGGGATTAACATCGTTGCCGACTGTCCATCTCAAGGATGTGCTGCCGTCATCATAGCGAAAATTAATTGCATTGGCAACCGCAACCAGCTCGTCGGAGGCAAGAACGACATATGCAAACCTTGGAGTTGTTAGAGACCGTCAATAGCTCGTCCAGACCTTTGGGATACGCATACCAGTACATCCAGCCCACAGCAAAACCAACGCCTCGATCGAGGAAGCGTCGAGGGAATTCCATCACGGGAGCATTGACAGGCATCAGGGCAGTCATTTCGACCAGGCAGGATATCACTGAGGATATCACCGTCCCCATGAGGACGTAGGCCAGGACCGCGCCGCCAGGCCCAGCACCAGCAAGCGATTTACCACTTCCGAGGAACAATCCTGCAACATTGTTATAAACCTGTCCTAAAGTTCCTTGGGAAGCACTCGATGATTTCTTGTACCATTTCCGATTGTGCTAGAGACGAATGCCGGTTATTGATTGATCCAAGTGTCGACAAGATGGTAAGATTGGAGACGTACCCTGAAAATGCGATCATCTTTGTCGCGCCATCAGTTGGTGTACATTTGGTCAACCCTCCTATCCGGTGGACTTACATTGATTTGTCTCTCCCCTAACACTCTCCTGGTGACAAAGTAAGCGTTATATCCAGTAACTGACTTTCGAATAGACCCCATACCACACACCATTGCCACGGCGCCCCTGGGCATCTTCAAGGAACTCAGGCTCGTCAACTGACGGTGTACGAGTACCTGTGAGAGTCTGAACATTTTGGAAGTCCGAGTCGAAACGCGAGCGACTCTGATCCGCCCCATATTCGAAGACCTGCGGCAGTACTGCTTCGGGTTTTTCGTGATCCATCAGAGTCTACAGAGGCAATGGAAAAGCAACAGAGGAAAGGTCCAGCCCAGAAAAAGGCAGGGACAGGGATTTATAAAAGACTACTGCTCCGTATGGAGACAGATAGCGGCAGAGCTCATCTGCACACATCCGCAAAGGGGAATAGTTCAGTGTTCAAGACTTGGTGGCACGCCTTGCGGCCCTTGCGGCCCTTGCCCCTACACCCGTAAGGCGCGGGGTAGCAGTATGGGCCAGTATCATGCGCATGGAGAGCTGCAAGAGGCTTTCGCCGTGGCTCACGAGAAGGCGGCTAAGGGCGTGGCACGAGCTGTGCTCTGTACAGACTCACACAGGAGGGCGCTGCAGTAGGGGAGTGCGGCATCAGGGCCTTGGTTCTCCTGCGAGGGACAACCACTACTACTCTACGGACTACCTATACTCGCTGGTAACTGTACTGACAGAGTGCCACCATCCATTGTTGCAACGGAGCTGATAATAGGTAGGGTAGAGTTGATCCGCAGAAGAAGAGTCTAGAGTCACACTTCCAACGGAGTATCGCCTTATCAACACTAGTCTTTGATTCTCGGCCAGGATGGGCACAATCTGGAGTCTAGATCCCGCTTTCGCGAAATAAGACTTTCTACGGAGTAGCGAGTACTACCTTATAGACGACACTCGGCCACGGCGACGGCACCTACTGTCCTTTGCTTCGTATGGGATCATGCGAACAGAACAAGCCTCGAGGACTATGTCTTTGACTCGTAGTCCGAGGAGGGCTTCGTCCCTACAGTGTATATCCCTTGGCACTTGAGGTTTCTCTTTGCTTTTTTCTTTTCAATATTGCCCCCGCAAAACTGCAGCTGTCAATGGAGTACGGAAGAGAAGCTGAGACTATCATCCCCCTGAGCCCTGACCAGTCAGTCAGCCCTGCTCCTCCCCCTGTCCCCGTCACTCGGTCGCTAGGCAAGGTTGCAGGGTTGTACGGAGCGCTGCGTACTGATTTGCCAGAGAGCCTAAAATCCTCCATAGAATCCAATGATGTCCCGTACCAGTGTACCGCACGAGAGAGTACGGACTGTACGAGCTGAGCTCGCTCTGAGAGGAGGGACAGCGAATGGGCCAATAGAATAACAGGCTGCTACCAACATCCAAACGGTGTTCTGGTTGGTTATGGCACATGCGGCTGAGGAATCCTGAAATCCACACATGATAAGGTGGATCGATAGGCGAAGCTTTCATGGAACCATAGGTAACAATAGGAGTGGTGCCCCGGGTTGAGGGCGGCACAAAAGCCTTCTTCCAACTGAGTTCTTTCATCCCGCAAATCATCACCCAAAGCGTCTCTTGCCATCGACTGCTGGTGGTATATCTTGGCTTGGTAGATACGGAGCCGTCCCGTGTGGCGGACAGACTAGAAGCCAACGCCCGCGTCACGCCTTGTTACTATGGCGGCTCCAGCCTCATCATCACTGTTTATGAGTCTGGGGAACGCATGGAGGCTCCTATCACTTCGAAGTGACGTCGACGACATCATCTTGGAGCTACTCGGTCATTTTTCGCTGGAGAAGATTTATGCCGAGAGCGACAAGGAGACGTATCAACACTTGTTGACTACTCTGCTTGCTCAACTAAACACGATATTTTACTTTCAACGTCTGACAGTACCCTCTGAGAACCTGCAAGTCGGCTCACTTGGGTGGTATTTGGGGTTTCTTGCCAGCTGGGAGGTAACTTTACGTTCAGTAGAATTTATCCTGCAGGTCGTCCAAGAGGGGCGCGAAAATCTGTGGGAGGCTGAATCGTTAAGAGACAAATATCTGCCCGAGTTCCTCTTATCAGCCCTCAGGCTCATCACGCTTCACCCCAAAGCCCCCTCAAACCAGCGTGCTAAAGATCGCCGAGAGCGGTTTGCACGCATTCACCGGTCTCTAGAGAGAATACACGACAGTTACCCCGGGTCCAAATCCTTTCTCTTCTTGATCTGCAGAGAAATCACTGGCGCTCTAAAAGCTGAGCCCAATGGTCTTGCTCTTCCTACAAAGATGAGATATGAGTTGCCAAATTTGGCCTCTGATTTGGTCAGAAAGCCCCTTTAAAACAAAAAGTTATACTTATTGAGGTAAAACTAACACTCTATAGTATCCCCTTCACGAATGCCTCTCATCACAGTATGTCTCTACGATAGCACCCAAAACTGGCTTTTCTACTTGTGATTGGCTCTCCCAGTTTCTGGCGCTTCGAGATGTGTCCCACTTCGTAGTGGCAGCCTCCATCCAGTATTCTGTGAATCGAGAGACTCGCGATGTGCGCCTTCAATCATCTTCTGCCAGGACACGGAATGCTGTGTTACATGCTCTTGAAAATCTTCAGATGCCAGAGCATCTATCCCAGGTAGATATGATTGCAACGTTCAGTGAAACGTTTCGAATCATCCTTCCAGACACACCTAGTCTCGAACGACGAGGTTCATCGGATTCCCACCAATACGAGACAAAAATGGATGCCACAGATGCCCTCTGCTTAAGACTAAGTGAACGTCAGGTGATACATCGTGTGAGTGATAGGGAAATGATGCATAGCCTGTCGAAAATTACCAGGAGTATTTCTTTACTGGATGATCCCACAGCTCAGGTAAGAGCTATACGTCCAAGGCTATACGCAGTGAACTGTCCCAGTTCTCATCTTGCAGGTGATTCCCAGCTAAGGTCATCGGAGGATCTGAAATTTCCAGTAAGTCTTGACCCATATGAAGACGCACTTATTGGAGACCATGTCATTTGCATGATTGAAATATACTAAGAGACCCTCTTCATGCAGGAAGATCCTTCTGAAGGCTCGGAAATAATGCTGCCATCAGATTCAAAATGTATCTATTGCGGAGAGCCCATAACCATGCTGCGAGAAGTATCCCTCGCACAAAATACCTGGGAAATTTTAAAGCCCCTTGAGCCTAACCCCGATACGATCAACGTGGAACGACATCTGCCTACGAGGTTCCGATTGGAGCCACCAAAATTTGAGAGTGGCTTGACGTTGAATCCAAATTATAACAACATCTTCAGTGGCAGCAGCCAGAAATCATTTGAGCCAGAACCATATTTGCCTCATCAGATTTCGTCTCCATTTTCGGCCTCTTTTCCCCAAGAACCATCACGCTCTATTTCTCAGGCTCTACGATCCCCACAATTGTCTAACTTTCGTCAGAATTTAGATACACAGCGGACCGACACGTTGCTGCCAGATGGTCAAACCCCTAATTCTAGTGAGGGAGGGAATCCCTTTGATATCCAGATATCAACCGAAACCCCGGCTATTAAAACTACCATAGTCGAAGCACCAATTTCACCAGACTCTCTAGTATCTCCAAGCACAATATTTCGTGGTCCAAGGCAGTCCCGGGGTGAACAATCCCCACGATCTGTCTGCTTTGAGAACGTCCCTAGTCTCAAAAGTCGACCTGTGCCATTAATTGCGACCCCTGAGAAACCAAAATCTGGGTGGAGATCGAAAATATCACGATCAAGAAGAGACAGCCCTGCAGTTTCTGGAGACACGAGCTCTTTGTCATCAACAACACTAGAATCTCAAAGACTTGAGGAAATTTGCCTAAAGAGCTCGACTACAACGTCAAAAGGTTCTGCGAGGAGCAAGTCAGCCAAGAAAATAAGGGATATAAAAGTGTATCTATCCCAAAATTCATCATACGCCCTCTTTTGGTCACAGTCGTCAATACATGTATTTGATGTCGGAAAGTCGCCTCCGACGATTATTCACGCAACATCAACCGACAGTACTTGTGTTCTGGCAGCTCTAACAAAGGTGCATCTGGCATATATTATTAAATCGCAAGAGCAGAAACTTACGGTAAGCCAATTTGCAATATCCGTCCCCAAATTTTTACTGATGCACGAGTCTAGCTTCGAATCATAAACCTCGTACAACCCCAAACTCCGGTAGTCGAGTACCGTATGGCCCAATCGCCGTATTGTACGAGCATATCCATTTGTCCCAAAGAGAACTATGTCGTTGTTGGGTTCGACAAGCCTATTGTTCGATTTTTCAGAACCTCTGGTTCAGAGGCCCCACGAGAAGACCGTCTTCATAGTCGCTATCATGAAGAATGCAAAGAGAAAGACTGTGCGCCTGTTGGAACATTATCGTTCTCAACCGATGGCCTAGCCCTCCTTGCCAGTACCAGAAGCCTCAAGAATGGCACAATCTCATTCTACTCTTGGCGTTATCCATTCGACACTTTCCAGGAGGAATCAAAATGCCGATACCACGTTGCCTTACATGAGTCTGAAGACAACGGAGTCTCGTCGGCAATTTTCCGCCCTGGGTCTGGAATGGAACCAAACTTAATATGCGTCACCACTTGGACACTTTCCGGTAGCCCTCTGTTGATCCAGCCGGAAAATGGCCAGAAAAGTGACATCAAGACTGATAGAGCAGGTCACCAAGGCCAATTGGGGAGTCGCATTCAGTGCGCCACTTTCTCGCCCTCTGGCAAGGAGCTTGCAATGGTTAACGCCAAAGGACATCTGTATCAGATCGTGAACCTCAATTCGAATCCGCTTGATGTACGAAGAATCGCAACTTCACTGGAACTCACTAAGAAAGAAGATTTCTTTGCCATGTCGTATATGGCACTACCTGATGAAGATGCAATTGTCCTTGCATGGGCAGATTCATCCAAAGACTTGGGGTACGTGAAAAAGATACCTGTAAGATCGCAAGTACGTATTACCTAGCTCACTACTTTCCCATATTGTAGTTTCTAACTATGCTCTCTATTCCAGGGAATCACGAGCACTGCCACAGCCCATGGTTCTATGCACATGTCTCATGATATGCAGACAGTTATTCGCTATGAACTTCCTGGTGAGGGTATATGCTCCCCAGGAACCCCAGCGGAGATGAGTGCCCCGGAAGACGATGGACCCCACAAGGGAAAAATGAAAGAAAATTATTAGCCGCCAGTTCCACATCTCAGAATGAAGGCCCTGTATCACTATTTATCCATCAATCTTCCCCTATTCATGGCTTGCCACCCCTCAACACAACTAGACACCGCTTGGGAAATTCAACTTTGTGATTAGGCAAGGTGTAGAAAACTTGAGATCTTCTCAGCACCGACATCCAATCACTCAGGGATACCTCCAACTTTCAGTAATTGATGTAGTGTTTTTTTAAGATGTGATTATACCATAACTGAATTTCCGATATTCAAACTACGGGAAGCGAGACGCTACCTCAGCTGGCGTCATGGAATGATGGAATGTGCTAAGGGAGCGGAAATCGAGATATTATTCGAGGATTGGAGGAAAGTGAAGGAGGGCTTTGTATGTAGCGCACTGCGGAGAAAACGAACGGTGACTGTGTTGAGCAGTTTCGGGATAGAAATCATGGGGGAAAGGAGCGGAACTTCATATTCAAGGAGAAGAGTAGCGTAAATGGGTTTACGCTGTAGGGGATCAGACAGTTATTTTAATTGCTGTGATTGAGGCTATAGTTATGGGGTAAAGGAAGTCAAGGAAGAGAATGGTTGAGGTGACGAAGTGCGCTCTAATCAGAGAGGTAGATAGGTACAGAAAGAACTCTTGTCCTCCAATGACCACCACAACCAGATCAATTGCTGGCACTTGATAAATCACAACAACCAATGCGAAATAATGAAAGGTAGTAGAGTAAACAATAAATTGGGGTTAGCCTAAGGAGGATGATTTCTCCGTCTTCTAGGATGAGTTAACTACCATATAACCTCTTATGGGATGCAATGAACCAATTGTTTCATTTCATTCTCAATGGCGAAATCTCATCTAACTTTTTAAACCCAATGCATAGCGCCCAACACCTGACCCGGAACATGGTATCTGTATCTGTATTCAAAATGGCCTCCCCGAAAAAAAGGACGCGCAAGATGGACCTTCACAACCCCAACCCATCCATCTCCTACTTTCCCTCCACCATCTGTTCGCAAGACTTCTTCGCTTTCTTCTCCTCCAGGCTCTGCTGCTGCGTCTGGACCGCGAGTTGATATTTGCTCAGCAGTGTTCGCATACGCCATTTCCTCGCTACATGAACCAGCTTCCGCCGCGAAGCCGCCAGTTCCGTGGGGCTCTGTGGTGGTGCGGAATGCCGCGGTCGGGGACTGGGGGAGACGGGGCTGCATCCGATGGGGCTTTTGGAGACTAGTCGTTCGCGCTCGGATTCGAAGCGCGGACAGTCGTGGATCTGATGTTTGGCCGATTTGGGTCCTTGGCCGCAGGCGCAAAGACCGGGCACGTTGCGAGGCCCTAGGAACTTTGCGAGACTGGAACTTCTCCTTCGCCGAGCTGGCATTATCGGTGTTTCGCTTGCTTTATATGGGGTCTCGGGGAAAGGTTGTGTGGCTCTTGGGACGATGGGTGACTGTGTGGCTCTTGCAAGGATGGGCGATTGCGCGGCGGGTCTTGGGAATTGTGTTGTGGGTGAGAATTGGAATGGTGAGGCTTGGAGGTTCTGGAATGAAGTGATGATTTGGTTTTGGGGAAAGGAGGTTTTCAGAGTGGATAGCTGGAGGGGGCTGCGTGGATCCGATGCAGTGATCGATCTTCGAACCGTTGTGGACGCCATGATGAAGAAACTCGTAACAGAACAACGAAAAGCCTGAGGCTGAATTTTTATCAAGCTTTTTGATTACACGAGGCAAAGGTTCAAGACAACAGCGGTGCTGACAGCAGTCTAAGTACCTCCGTAAGGTCTCAAGCAGAAGGTTGGACTAATTGGGGAATCAACACTCAAAGCCACACGACAGAAGGTGAGCCGGCAAACAATTTCCCAAAGCGGGAGATGGGAACATAAACAACAATCCTATGCGAAGCTACTCATTCCATCGAGCCTTCGATCAGATAATAATGGAAGCGAAAGTCATTGGACTTGAGGGGAAAGGGGAGAAGGATCAGGAGGCTGAGCCTCGTGCTCGCTTAATCTTGGCTATGCGATACCCCTGTCGCTAGTCAGGGGCCAATCTCAAAACAAGCGGCGTCAAAGGATTTGCCCATGAATTGGCGTCAGCCTCTTGCTGATCTTGCTATTTCTGGGGTTTGAGAGGAAACCCTGCACTTCGGGGGCACTGCTCCCTCAAACCACGAGGAATGGTTGTTTGGACAACAGAACCAACGTACTGACTGTACTTACTGTGTAGGCTATTCTAAGAAAAGAAGAGGACTAGCCCCGTAAGCAGCACTTGAGACGAGGCTGTATCGTCCCACTGTCATTAAGCCATGTAGTAGAAACCAAAGTGTGCAGTCAAGTTGGACGTTAAGATATGCCTCCCGCTTACCCATTGAAGACCTCGATAGGTGACTCTTGTCAAACGATTTGGAGGCGCTTTCTGGTACTATAACAGAGAAAGAAGGCCGTTTTGAAGAATCAATAGTTTCGTGGAAGCCCGTCTTTCGTCTTATCAACATGCCGGGATATTCAGACGCCGACCAGGAGCTGGCTCGTGAGATGGTGATAGAGATGCTGGCGTAAGTGATGGTGTCCTGGAAGGCACCACTAACAACTCGTACTGATGGACATACAGACATCAATTTGCATACCCAGTGAAATGGTAGGAATTAACTCAGAGGCACCCCACCATCAAGGTCTGACTTGAATCCAGGATCGATACGCAGGATGTTCTCCTCGAACAGGCAAAGGTAGAGCGGCTGATAGAGATTGGCCCTTCGGAAACCTTGACTGTAATGGCAAAGCGTACAATCAAATCGAAATACGAAGCTCAAGACGCAACGCTTTCGGGGAAACGGCAATTGCTCAGCGTAGACAGAGACCGCGCGGAAATCTATTATGAAGTAGATCCTTACAGTTCGCCCGCAGAATCTGCTTCTGATAGCAGCAATGAGACGAGCAACCCCCCTCCGCCATATACAGCCTCAGTGCCCGAAACCTCGGAGGCTTCTAGGCCATCTCCTCCTTCAGCGCCTGGGCGAACAAACGCCGGCGTACTGTCTTCAAAGAAGCCCGATGCACCCATATCCGCGCTGGAAATTATCGTAGGTATAATTGCGCAGAAGTTGAAGAAGTCGTCCGATGAGATTGCAGCCACAAGCACTATCAAGTCCTTGGTGAGCGGTGGGTTCCCCAGACTCCAGATATCCAGGCTTCCAATCCCCATTGTATGGCATACTGACGGCTCTGCATCTACCAGGTCGATCGACGTTAGAGAACGAGATAGTCGGCGACCTCGTAAATGAATTCGGAACGGTTCCTGATCGAGCAGAGGAGGTGGTCATTCAGGACTTAGGGAAGACGCTCCAGTCAAATTTCGGCGGGCGATTGGGAAAGCAGACATCTCGAATGGTCGAGCAATTGCTGGCGTCGAAAATGCCTGGCGGATTCTCTCTCAACTCTGCGCGAAAATACCTCGATCATCGATGGGGATTTGGAGAGGGTCGTCAGGATTCTTGTTTGCTGGCCGCTGTTGTTCTGCCGCCCGCTGTACGGCTGCCAACCGAGCAAGCTGCGCACCGCTTTTTTGACGACATCGCAGAGAAACACGCTGCGGCTGCAGGATTATCAATTCATGAGAGCGAGGGGATAAATGCAGATGCCCCTGCGGTGGCATTTGATCCTGAAGCCCTGCGCAGTCTGAAAGAGGAGCAAAATGCGCTGGCGCAGAAGAAGTTGGAGCTTTATGCCGAGCATCTGCAAATCGATCTTCAGGCTGGACTGAAAAGCTATGCGCTTGCGCAAAATACCATCAATGAGCTGGAAGCACAACTAGATCTTTGGAGTAATGAGCATGGGGATGTCTATGGAGAGGGCATCAAGCCTATAGTTGATATCCGGAAAGTTCGTGTGTACGACTCTTGGTGGAATTGGGCGTTGCAAGATGCTCTCACTCTCTTCCACGACCTCACCACAGGCACTTTGAAAGCTGCCGACCCTGATGTCAAATCTCAAACCTTGCGAATCGTCAATCGATGTACGCCGAAACTGCTTGAGGTTTTGCAGTATATGGTGGCCTTTTGTCGCAAGGAGAATGGAGAGACGTATAGGACTGCTGAGGAGGTCATCAAATCGCTAGTTGTTGACTGCACAGCTTCGATTGATAGGCCGCCAGTTTATCAGAATCTCACGCCATCATTGGCACCGAAGACCAATATCGATGGGAATGGAAACATTTCTGTCGTCGAGGTTCCGCGAGTTCAAAATGATGAGCCCTCACTCTTCTCAATCAAGCGGAAGGGCACAAGTGGATGGCTAGCGGACGAAGAATTGACGAACACATATTTAGAGTGTCTCGATGGATGTTCTGAGCCCGGCATAGGATTTCAAGACAGAGTCGTTCTCTTGACAGGTGCGGGAGCAGGGTCAATTGGATCTGAGATCCTGCGAGGTCTTCTAAGTGGAGGTGCCAAAGTCGTCGTAACCACGAGCAGTTTCTCTCTCGAGACAACAAGATTCTATCAAAATATCTACGTTAATTGTGGGACTCCAGGGTCACAACTAGTCGTTGTTCCCTTCAACCAAGGCAGTCAACAGGATATCGAATCCCTTCTCTCCTATATTTACGACACTTCTAAAGATGGATTGGGGTGGGATCTAGATGCCGTGATTCCTTTCGCGGCTATCAGTGAGAAGGGCCGTGAGATCGATACGATCGATTCGAAGAGCCAACTTGCGCATCGAATCATGATGACCAACACGATTCAACTCATAGGTGCGATCAAGCGATACAAGGAGAAATATGGCAGCGACACACGACCAGCTCATGTCATCCTTCCTCTTTCCCCTAATCATGGAAATTTTGGGGGCGACGGCTTTTACGCGGAATCCAAACTTGCCCTAGAGAGCCTCTTCAGCAAATGGAAATCAGAGAGTTGGTCAAACTACCTCTCGATTTGTGGAGCTTCAATTGGCTGGACCCGCGGCACCGGTCTCATGAACGGAAATGATATCGTGGCAGAAGAGATCGAGAAGCTGGGTGTGAGGACTTTTTCACAGCGGGAAATGGCTGTCAATATCCTCGCACTCATGGCATGTCCAATAGTCGACATCTGTCAATCCGTTCCGTTATACGCGGATTTGAATGGGGGACTCGAAAAGGTTCCAGATCTTCCTGATGTTCTCAGCCAGATTAGAAAATCCATCAACAAGACAGCTGACATCCGTCGAGCTCTCGCTCAAGAAGCGCTTTTGGAGGGCAGCCTTGCTCAAACACCGGTTGAACCTTTCAGTGATGATGAGGATATTGAGTCTCGTGCGAATATCGATCTAGGCTTCCCCGACCTTCCCACCTCGGCTGAACTTGAATCACTCAGCCACCTGAAAGGCATGGTGGATCACGAAAGGGTTGTAGTCATTGCCGGGTTTTCTGAGCTAGGGCCTTACGGTAATTCCAGAACCAGATGGGAAATGGAAGCTTACGGTACATTTTCGTTAGAGGGGTGCGTTGAGATGGCTTGGATAATGGGTCTGATCAAATACACCTCTACGGGAACCGCCCAAGGCAAGCCATATTCGGGCTGGCTGGATGCTAAATCGAACGATCCAGTAGAAGAGTGTGATATCAAGAGGATATACGAAAAACAAATTCTGGACCACAGTGGTATTCGTTTGATTGAACCTGAGCTTTGGGATGGATATAATCCACAAAAGAAGCAGATGTTCCAGGAGGTTGTCATCGAAGAGAACCTTAAACCTTTTGAAGCGTCTAAGGAAACTGCAGAGGCTTTTCGACGAGAACATGGGTCCAACGTGGATATCATGGAGATTCCCGGATCTTCTGGCAATTCTTTCACTGTCAAGTTCAAGAGAGGAGCGACATTACTGATTCCCAAGGCTCTGAATTTCGTCAATGATGTTACAGGTCAAATCCCTAGCGGTTGGGATGCTCGAACCTATGGGATTACGGATGATATAATTGCTTCGGTTGACAGAGTCACGCTCTATGTTCTTGTTTGTACGGTCGAGGCCCTACTCTCTGCTGGTATATCCGATCCTTATGAGATTTATCAATACGTCCACACCTCACAGGTCGGCAACTGTATTGGTACAGGCGCAGGAGGCGTCCTTTCGGTTGAGAAGGTCCACAAAGGCCGTTCTATGGAGAAGCCGATACCTCAAGATGTTCTTCAGGAGACGTTCAGCAATACTGTTGCTGCATGGGTCAACATGCTCATCATGTCGTCGAATGGTCCAATCCGAACACCCGTTGGAGCCTGTGCCACCGCGATTGAATCTCTTGATAACGCATATGACTTGATCACAAGTGGCAAGGCAAAGCTGTGTTTGGTTGGCGGCGTAGACGACATCCACGAAAATGTAAGCGTCCTGTCAATAGGATAGAAACGGAGACTGACTACAACAGACCTCATACGAGTTTGCAAACATGAAAGCCACCAGCAACAGTGAATTGGAGCACGCAGCTGGGCGCGACCCCAAGGAGATGTCTCGACCTACAGCTTCTAGTCGCAAAGGCTTTATGGAATCGCAGGGCTGTGGCATGCAAATTGTTTGCACTGCCAGGCTGGCCTTGGACATGGGCCTTCCGATTCATGGCATCCTGGCTTTCACAGGGACCGCCAGTGACAAAATCGGCCGATCGATTCCAGCCCCTGGAAAAGGGGTCATGGTCCACGCTACAGAAGCCACCTCCACATTCCCCTCGCCATTTCTAGACATCAAGTTCCGCCGGCGACAGCTCATGAGTCGGAAGGCACTAATTAAAGAATTCGAGGTATCTGAACTTAGGCTCCTAGAAGACGAGATCGAACACATGAAAGCTACAGACCCCGGATTTGATGCCGACGCATATAGACTTCATCGTACCACACATATCATGCACGAAGTCAACCGTCAAACTGCAGACGCACTTGATAGTCTCGGAAATAGCTTCTGGAAGAACCATCCGGAGATCTCGCCCCTTCGCGGCTCCCTCGCAACCTGGGGCCTAACGATCGACGATCTAAACGTGTGTTCCTTCCACGGGACCTCCACTATCATGAATGAGAAGAACGAATGCGACGTTCTACAACGGCAGCTTAGCCACCTCGGCCGCACAAAAGGGAACCGCATCCTCGGCGTATTCCAGAAATACCTGACCGGGCACCCAAAAGGCGCGGCCGGGGCGTGGATGCTGAATGGCGGGCTACAGATCCTACGAACGGGTCTCGTGCCCGGCAATCGTAACGCGGATAACGTCGACTCCTACCTGGAACAATTCGACCATATCGCGTTCCCGAACAAGAATATCCAAACAACCGGCGTAAAGGCCCTCTCACTATTCTCGTTTGGTTTCGGGCAGAAAGGAGCGCAGGCTATCGTGGTGCATCCTAAGTATCTGCTGGCTACGCTCGAGGATGACGAGTTCAAATGTTATCAGGGGAAGGTAGCGCGGCGGCAGCGCAGCGCGCTGAAGGCTTTCAATAAGGGGTTCCTGGGGAATTGCCTCTTTGTAGCGAAGGATAAGGCGCCCTTTGCGGAGACGGAATTGGACGCGATGCTGAACCCGAGTGCGAGGCTCGAGGCTGATGAGGATGGATATCTGCTTGGGTAGAGATACGGAGCAGAGGAGGGGGCGCTTGGGAGTCTTATTCTATCTTGGATTGGGTATTGCATTAGGCACAGGGGTTTGGGAGGGCGTTTTTGAGAGAGCTTTAAGGACTGTTGTATTATATTGCGTGTTATGTTATACCTATGTAAATTTTTATAAGCAAGATATGTATTTCTTCCTACATACATATCTGTCAAGACTTGGGGATTGTATTTTGTGCACATTGTTTGTCCTTGGAAGGCAAATAACTCGCAAGTCAGTCGATTGCCAAATTTCCTTTTATTTCATTTCTCACCCGCCTTTCATATTTGTTTTATCTTTATCTTTTTTAATACCCTTTATTTCCTCTTTTAATCCCCTCCATCTTCCTCCCCTTCTTCTATTTATTCATTCCTTTTTGGAATCAACACCCTCTTTCCTCGGAAAATCCTTCCCCCGGTCCCGACCGCGCAGAGGGGCCCAGGGCCAGAAGCGAAGTAGTGTACATGACTAAATAAGAAGTTCGATCGCAACAATCCGGACAGATGGCCGAGCTGGTTATGGCGCCAGGTTAAGGTTTCCTTAGCATACAGTTTCCTGGTCACGAAAGTGGCGTGGGTTCGAGTCCCACTCTGTTCATTTCTTTTTGCTTTTTTTTTTTCTGCTTTGTGGCCAGATGAATTTGTTTTCCGTTACTCTGAGTCTAAGAGGCTCGAGTTGCGAATTTTTGGACCCTTGCCTCGGCTGGTTTACTTATCGCTGATTCCAGGCTCCTAAAATCTTACGGCAAGGGAGCGGCGTATCATCGTCTCAAAAGAAGAAGTCCCCAGACTGCGCAATTGGGATCTGAAACCGAGTGGCTTGGGCTGATCCATCATTGCTATCGAGGCAAAACGATAATCCTCCAGCTATTATTATCCTTATTGAAGAAAACAGAAACTGATAGGGGAGAAGAGATCACAGCCTCGCTCTTAATTACAGTATATCCTCCATCTGTTAGCCAATCAACGGCCGTCCAGCGCAGGGGGGGGCACAATCCAACATCGACAGCGCCACCGCCTGACAACTATTCTCATTGTCAATCTTTTACCCTGCAGACATTGCCAGACAATGACTAGTATTTCCTCTGTCACATCAAGAAAATAGCATGAAGCTTAAGTAAGCTCCATCACTGTATCCATCCGAAAGTCTATAGTCTGTATTGGCGTTCTCACGTGCCGCATGGCATCTGACTTCCAGCCCCCATTCCTTCGTCGTTTCGGTTCGTGGGATTGCCTCAGCCTTGCTGACCACCGCCAACGATGTCCATGAGGCTCATCTATGCTCAAAGGATCATGATACGCAAAGCTGCTACGGTGCGCTCAGCAAGATGGCCCCAAAGAGCCAGATCACGCCGGGTCGAAACCTGGCATTCCTTTGTTTATCAACCTCCATCCCACTCCCTCCTTCGTCCAACATCGATGAACAAACAACAACGCGATCCATGATCCTCCTCCCTTCTGGTCCTGACCTTGCGAAGTCCATAGAGTTAGCCAGATCAGGATCATCAACACCCTCACCATGTCTTCTTCCTCAGGAGAAGACTCCGAGACATGGAGCGACACTCCCATGACCACGCCCTGTCCTTCTCCTCCTATGAACACATACCTAAGAAATTACCGACGACGGAGTTCATGCTCTAGCATCGCATCCATTGATTTCGGGGCCTTGGAGTTCTCTTTCAGGATACCCAACACAGTCTACTTCCGCACGTCACAACTCATCTTCCAGTACTCGGAGCATCTGAACCAACCTGGAAACGAGCCCAAGACACTACAAGCGCTGGTTGCTAAGTTTCTTGCTTTCGTTGCCGATGGCGGTCTTAAGAGAACGCGGAACCCGGCTGATATTGAGCTCCTCACCATCGTCCTGGTAGCTTTTGAGCAGAAATTCCTGGTCGAAGACAATATCCACTGCCTAGCCAACTCAGAGGACGGATCCTCCCAGGACGAGGAGGTCATTGGATGTTATTACAAAGCTTGCGCGCACTTAGATCGTAAGCCCGATTTTAAGAAGCCGGCTTTACTACGAGCAGCAGAGGACGGCACTGCTTCTATCTACACTGTTTTCGGCGGCCAGGGTAATACTACGTCGTATTTCGAAGATATCCGAAGTTTGCATGCGACTTACACGCCCTTGATTGCCGAGTTTCTCATATCTTCCGCGGAGCAGCTTGTATATTTATCACGGGATAAAAGATGCCGGAAGAATTTCTCTGGAGATCTCGATATCTTGAAGTGGCTCCGCGTTCCTAGTACGACTCCTAAACCCGAAGTTCTCATCAGCGCCCCGTACAGCTTCCCTTTGATTGGCTTGTTACAACTGTTAAACTATATTGTCACCTGCAAGGTTATGGGCGAGACGCCATGTACCTTCAGAAGACATCTGAGCGGGACAACTGGTCATTCCCAGGGCATTGTCGCTGCCGTGGTGACAGCTGCAGCAGATTCCTGGGAATCTTTCGATTCAATAGCTCGGTCCGCAATTACCCTCCTATTCTGGATCGGTGTCCGCAGTCAGCAGGCTTACCCCCAGACGGTGTTATCACCGGCCACGATCAAGGACTCGGTGGATCATGGCGAGGGGGTCCCTACTCCTATGCTGAGCGTTCGTGATCTGCCGCAGTCACAACTGATGAAATATATCGACAAGACGAACACCTACTTCCCAACAACCGAGAGGGTCGAGATCGCCCTTATTAACAACGCGCAGAATTTCGTTGTCACGGGCCCGCCGCTATCACTACATGGGCTCAATGTGCGACTTCGCCAGATCAAAGCCGCGCCTGACGCCGATCAAGCGCGGATCCCGTTTTCAAAACGGAAACCTACTTTCTCATATTCCTTCCTACCAATTACTGCTCCATTCCATAGTAGATACCTTTCCTCAGCCACTGCTGCGATTCTCAATGATGTCAAGGACCTAGAGATTATGGGTAGAAGTTTGCGGATATCAGTATACCACCCTGCCTCCGGTGAGGATTTGAGTCGATATGACAGCAACCTTGTCCCTGAAATGGTTCGCATGATCACGGAAGAGGTAATTGATTGGCCGGCTGCCACGAAGTTCAGAAATGCAACTCACATCATCGATTTTGGACCGGGTGGTGCGTCAGGAATAGGGATGTTAACGAATCGCAACAAAGAAGGCCGTGGAGCACGGGTTATCCTAGCTGACAGGCCTGATGGCGTGAGCAGAGCTGTAGGATATAGGCCTGAACTTTTCACCCAGAAAAAAGATGGGATCCGATATGGAAGCAACTGGGCCAAAGATTTTGGTCCGCGCCTTATCCGAACCCCCTCTGGAACTGTAGTAGAGACCAAGCTGAGCAGAGTCCTGGGCTTGCCTCCGCTCATTATTGGCGGAATGACGCCTACGACAGTTCCATGGGATGTTGTTGCGGCTGCTATGAATGCTGGCTACCATATTGAACTAGCAGCCGGTGGCTACCACTCTGCTGATGCTCTAGAGAATGCTATTCTACAGCTCGAGACTGCGATCCCAGTGGGTCGCGGGATCACGGTCAACGTTATCTACGCCAGCCCGCAGGCAATTGCCTGGCAGATTCCTCTCCTCGCGAGGCTGCGGTCAGAAGGTGTGCCCATCGATGGGCTAACTGTTGGCGCTGGAGTCCCCTCCCCAGAAATTGCGCAGAGCTATATCGAGACAATTGGTTTGAGACATATTTCGTTCAAGCCAGGATCTGCTGCCGCAATCGAAGCCGTCATTAGTATAGCCAAAGCGAATCCTGGATTCCCCATCATTCTACAATGGACCGGTGGGCGAGCTGGAGGCCACCACTCCTTCGAGGACTTCCACCAGCCTATCTTAGGGACATACGAGAAGATTAGGAAATGCCCAAACTTGATCCTAGTTGCTGGCAGTGGATTTGGAGGAGCCCACGATACGTACCCTTACTTGAATGGCGAGTGGTCGCTCCAATACGGCTACCCACGAATGCCATTTGATGGTTGTCTATTTGGGAGTAGGATTATGGTCTCAAAGGAAGCGCATACAAGTCCTGACGCGAAGCTTGCCATTGTCAATACTCCAGGTCTTCCAAATAGCGAGTGGGAGAAAACCTACAAGGGTCCGGAAGGGGCTGGAGGAGTTGTCACCGTTATTTCGGAGATGGGCGAACCGATCCACATGCTTGCTACTCGTGGCGCCAAGTTTTGGTCTGAGATGGACCAGAAGGTTTTCAAGCTTCCACCTACTCAGCGGTTAGAAGTCCTGAAGAAGGAGCAGAAGAGTATCGTAAAGAGACTCAACGAAGATTTTCAGAAGGTCTGGTTTGGTAGAGATTCAGAGGGGCATCCAGTTGAGTTAGATGATATGACTTATATGGAAGTCTTGAACCGGCTTGTCCAGCTACTATATGTCCAGAGAAGGGGAAACTGGGAATGGATCGACAAATCTCACGAAAAGCTTACCTATGACTTCATCCGTCGCATACAGGAACGCTTTGAAACCCGAAGAGATCGGTCGAACATCGCCAAGGTAGCAATCCAAGACCCTCACAACGCGGCCGACCTTTGCTCGAAAGCCTATCCCTCCATTCGGGATCAATTGATGTCACCTCAAGATGTCAGCTATTTTCTACAGCTCTGCCAACGCCGGGGTCAAAAGCCCGTTCCTTTTATTCCTGTTCTTGATGACAACTTCCAAGTCTACTTTAAGAAGGACTCGCTTTGGCAGTCAGAAGATCTAGAAGCTGTTGTTGATCGGGATGTCGGAAGGACTTGTATCCTGCATGGCCCTGTGGCGGCAAAACACTCTGTCCGGGTGGATGAAACTATCAAGGATATCATGGATGGGATCAACCAAAGTCATATTCTGAATCTAATTGCTGATTCATATGGCGGAACTATTTGCTCGATTCCGGGCATTTCTTTTCCATGGACCAGGCTAGGCAATAAAGCCTCCACCATGGATGCACTTGCTAACATTGACACGTGGATGGTCAGTGAGACGGAGGAGAAACATATATATCGCGTTCCACTCTCTGAGGAATCTCCCCTGCCTTCAACAGAGTCCTGGCTTCATCTCCTTGCTGGCTCAAGACGTAGCTGGCGAGAAGTCCTCTTCCTTTCGGACGTCGTCATGCGGGGGCACCGATACCAGCGCAATCCCATCAAGGACATATTCGTCCCTGTCCCTGGCCAGATCGTCGAGATCTCAAACCCGAACGACGATACGTATGGTTCCGTTGCATTGAAACAGAGATGTAGCGAACGAGGTGCGTATGTTACTGTTGCCAGCGTCGAGTTTTGGAATGCCGCCAACGAGATCTTACTCTGCTTATGGAGCCGGGCAACTCCAACCAGCAAGAGCATCGCATTACCACTCCGCTTTACGTATCACCCCGAGGCTAGCAACGCTCCCATTCGTGAGCTTCTGGACCATCGCAACGAGAGGATCAGGAAATTCTTCTGGAAGACGTGGTTTGGAGACGACCAATCATACGATTCGAGCGCCTGTGTTTCGACGATTTTTGCAGGGGATGAAGTTACGATCACTCCAGAATCAGTCCGAACCTTTGCTAACGCAGTTGGATATCCGGAGTCCTCGATAAGCCGGGGAGATGAAGATATAACAATCCCAATTGACTATGCTATCGTAGTGGCATGGAAAGCCATCACAAAGCCCTTGTTCTGCGAGACTCTGGATGGCAATCTTTTGAATCTTGTTCACCTGTCTAACGAGTTCAAGATGGTACCTGGTGCAGACCCACTGAAGGTAGGAGAGACCGTTCTCTCGATGTCTAGGATTACAGCAGTTGTCAATCAAGACTCGGGTAGAATGGTCGAGGTCCAAGGAACGGTCCTTCGTCAGAACGCTCCAGTGATCGAAGTGGTCTCTCGCTTTCTATTCCGCGGCGTGTTCAAGGACTTCTCGGGTACCTTTGAAACCAAGCAGGAAGCCCCCTTTGAAGTCCGCTTAGATGGTCCAACGTACGTTGCAATCCTGACTTCGAAGCCATGGGTAAGCCTGGATCTGGAGGATCCCGAGACCGAGCTCCTCAACAAGGATTTAGAGTTCCGTCTCTCTAGCACAAGCTATTTCAAGGACAAGAAGGAGTTTGAGATTGTCAAATCAACCGGTGATATCATGATGCGGCTCCAGAGCAAGAATGCCGTTAAGATCGGGACTGTGAAATACAGCGCCGGAGTCTCGCGCAGCAACCCTGTTTTGGATTACCTCCACCGCCATGGTACTCCAATCGCTCAAACAATCCCTCTCAAGAATCCCATCCCGATCGAGACTGGAGGGACTGGCTACCTGATAGCCCCATCTTCAAATGAAATCTATGCCGATGCTTCTGGAGATACCAACCCAATCCATGTCTCACCCGTGTTTGCTCAATACGTCAATCTGCCAGGAACCATCACGCATGGGATGTGGACGAGCGCTGCTGTTCGTAAGCTCCTAGAGGAGTCTGATGATCACGCTGGTAGGGTGCGGAGCTGGAGTGTGAAATTCGTGGGCATGGTCCTACCCAATGACACGATCCAAGCCACCTTCCACCACGTAGCCATGGCCAAGGGCCGGAAAGTGATCAGGGTCGAAGCTCGAAAGGTCGATACGAACGAGCTAGTCTTGACGGGAGAAGCAGAGGTCGAGCAACCCCTGACTGCTTATATCTTCACCGGTCAAGGGTCCCAACGGAAGGGGATGGGCATGGATCTGCGAGAGAGTAGCGCAGCAGCACGAACTGTCTGGGACCAAGCAGACAGCTACTTCACCGAAACCTACGGCTTCGCATTGACGCACATCATCCAGAATGACCCGCGAGAACTCACGATCCACTTCGGTGGTCCCAAAGGAAAGCGCATCCGCCAGAACTACATCTCCCTAACTCAAACCACGCTCCTCTCCGACGGCACGCCGCTCACCACCCGTCTCTTGCCCACCATCACCCCCTCGTCCCCCTCCTACACCTTCCGCTCCCCTCAGGGCTTGCTCTCCGCAACGCAGTTCACCCAACCCGCACTTACCCTCATGGAACTCGCCCTCTTCCAAGACATGTCCTCAAAAGGACTCATCCAAGAAAACAGCCTCTTCGCCGGGCACTCCCTCGGCGAATACGCCGCGCTCGCCGCTCTAGGCGGCCACCTCTTCCCCGTCGAGATCTTCGCCGCCGTGACCTTCTACCGCGGTCTCGCCATGCAGATGGCGGTGCCGCGCGACGCCGCCGGGCGCAGCGACTACACGATGTGCGCCGTGAACCCGAGCAAGATCTCTTATTTCAGCGCATCCCAGCTCCAGGACCTCGTATCCCAGATCGCGGAAGCGACGGGGGAGTTGCTCGAGGTGGTCAATTTCAATATTGAGAATCTACAGTATATATGTGCTGGCTCGCTCACCTCTCTCTCGCTCTTATCATCCATCACCTCGCATTTGCTCGCGCACCCTCTTGAATCCCCCCCGTCTCTCGCCACATTCACACCCCTCCTAAAGCACTACCTCGCGCATCCGCAACCCTACACGCGCAACGCAGCCCTAACCCCGCTCCCGCAGATCGATGTCCCATTCCATTCTTCGGCGCTGCGCGGAAGCATCCCGGCCTACCGCGCCTTTCTCGAGTCGATGATCTCGCGAGAGACGGATCTGCAGCCTTTGGAGGGGAGGTGGGTGGCGAATATTACGGGGAGGAGGTTTTGCATTGCAGAGGGGATGGGGGTGGTTGTGTGAGGTTGTGTGAGGTGGGAGGTTGGTCTTTCTTTTTCTTTTTCTTGTTTTTGGGGGGGCGCGGATTGGGTTTGATGGGGTGTTTTGAAAATGTTCGGGTTCGGGTTGTATATCATGGTATAGCATAGGCAGATATCGTTTTTTCGGCGTCGCGGCTCTTTTTACCTTCATTCTTCTTTCTTTTTGTATGTATGTATGTATGAATAGAAAATATCCCAAAAGAACACATCCATCATCCATCAACCGATCCTATCTCTATCTCCATCCCCCCTCTCCCCCTCTTCCCCCCTACTTACACATACCTTATACTTCCCTTTAGGGTATAAGCTAAGCTAAAGTAGTCAGGCAAGGTAGAGTAAAGTGGTTAGATATATATATACTTCAGAGTCTTAGATTATGTTATCAGACACCCCCCTTTGAGGTTTTGTTTTTGCTTGCTTGCTTGCTTGCTTGCTTAGATAAAGGAGGAAAGGGGAGGAGGGGGGGGGGGAATCTTGGTATACACGATACATGTTAAGAGTTTCAGCAAGATAAAAATGACAGACGATAATTCAGACTATGCAGTATATCTTCATGTCTTTATAATCTTCTCTTCTCTTTTTCTCTCTCTCTTGTATGTGTGTCTTATTTCCTGTATGCCATGCCATGCCATGCCATGCCATGCTACCAACCTCATATCTAGCAAGCTAAGCTAAGCTAAGCTAAGCTATCTATATCTCTTAGCCAGCAAGCAAGCAAGCAATGACCAAGAAAAGTTCCATCCCATCCGTCCGTCGAAATATCCCCACTCCACTCCACTCCATGATATGATATGATAAAGAGCAAAACCCAGCCAACGCGACGCAATAGTACATAGTACATACATGCATATAGAAACAAAAACAAAAAAAAAAGAAGAGATTGAGCGATCTCATGCAAAAAAACCTAGACTCCACACCCCCGCCTGCCATTTCCCCATGCCAAAACGCCGTCTCGTGAAGAAGCATAATTACAAGAAGCGTATGTAGGAGCGAGGCGAGATGTGAGGACCTCTCCCGCGCCGTACTTGGTAGGAGATATCAGGGACCGTCGAAGAATAATTCCATATCCTCGCCCTCTTCCCACTTTGTCTCCCCATCCCGCTCTCGTTCCTTTTCCCCATTCTCGCCCTTCCCTTTGCTAGGCTGCGAATCATCCTCATCGGCCTGGTTCGTCAGATCGTTAAACATCTGCTTCAGGTCTTGACCTCCCGCGGGAGTGCTTCCACCCAACCCCTGAGAACTGCCGAGTCCTCCAAAACTATCTCTGATGGGACTTCCTACCCCACCCAGCGTCGCCACCCCATCGATTGCCCCAAAACCGCGGTCGTTGAACATAGCTGATTGCCGTGGACTTACGCCACCGAAACCAGGGCCTTGGAGACTGTCGGAGTTGAGGAAGGCGTGCGGTGTGAAAGCTTCGCGGGAGCTCTCGCGCGGGTTGATGTTGAAGTGGCCATCTTGGACACCAGCAAATCCTCCATAGTGCGTGGGGTGAGCGTGGCCGGAGCCATCGTGTAAGCCGCTGAGGATGGGACCCTGGAGGCCGTGGTGGCCCATGGCTGAAGACACAGGGAAGGTGTGCGAAGTCGGGGTTCCGGAGTCCGAACGTCCAGGGGCAGGTTGGAGAGGTTGAGGACGCGCAGCTTGAGGTTCGCTGGATTTCCGCTTGAACGTATGGGGTTTGGTTCTCAAGTTCTGAGGGAGGGCCTCTGGATCGTCGACACCGTGTTGGGCCATCAGTTTTTGGAGCTTTGTTGGCCTTGGCTTCCTCGTACTCTTTGAGGACTCCAAAACTGGCGGCGGGTCCGGTGCAACAGGTGACCACTTGTGGAGCTCTTGGCGGAAGAAGTTGGTCTCGTACGCGAGGAGGATTTCTGCGCCTTCAATCTTCCTCAGGTAGAAGCGTTGTGTCTCGGCCTCATCCGCGGTAGCCATGACGGGATTGCAGAAGGGAGCGACGTGTTGCCGGAACTCTTGAGCGTTGTTGATGATCTTCTCCAGAATTTGTTCTTCGTCAGGTTGGAAGGGAAGATTAGGAATCTCATCTTGCCAGGCTTGCAGATCTTCTAATTTTGGTCGAGCGGCGTCTCGAGGGATGCGCACTCGCCAATCGCAGATGGGGCAGGTATACTTCTCATCTTCCTTAACCTTACCTCGAGCGATCTTTAGACATTTCCCGTGGTACCTAAAACGTGTCAGGAGATATAAACTTGAAGAGAGGGAGCAACTCACCATTCATGACAAAGCTCGCACTCGATCATCATTCCAGCTTCGATACGTCGACAGATGCAGAAGACTTCCCTGAACCGAGGGTCCTCCCAGCTGTGGAGTTTTGCATCGGATGGACTCGGCTCTCGTGACGCAGGCTCCGCAGGCAATCTTGGCTTATCGGCATTGATATCGAAACAATCCAAGTTTCGCTCGAGCACGTACTCCATATGTGATTTGAGGATATGCAGCGGGGCATTTGCTTTACCGAACAACTTCTTGCCCTTCCGCATCCAGTCTTCGTGTCGCTTTTGCTCCTTCTCGAGATCAAGCGTGCCATTGGGCTTGCTGTTCAGTTCTGTGAGACGCTCCATTGTCTCGCGAACTTCCGAATACTTGGGTCGCTTGGTAAAATCTGGATCCTTACTGCGTTCACACAAGGAGATGATCTGTCGGTGTGCCTCTCGTTGCTTGTTCAAGATCTGGTCCACCGCGGCAAGGGTCTCTGAGGATACGGGGAGAGCCGCAGCCTGCGCTTGATTGGATAAAGCCTCGAGCTGTGGATAGTGAACGACCTCAGCATTGATGAGCTCCTTGGCTTTCGCCTCCCACGCCATGCCCGCAGCCTTCTGCTCTTTGTAATGGTTGAGATAATCGTTGTATTCAGGGATCTCCAGTTTGATGCCCTCCTCGATCATGTCACTCACATCCTTCAAGCTGAGGAACTGTCCTCGGTTGTCTCGGGCACGATCGTTCCATTTCATCTGCTGCACGATCTTGTCAAGTTTCTCGATCTCGGGCATATCGACATTAAATCCTCGGCCCGTCTCAAGCAGGTCCTCAAACTCCCGTGTCTGGCGCAGGACAACATTGGAGATGGCGAGGCGTGCCTCGCGCTGGAAGTTGTTGATCGCTTCAGCCCGCTCGCGAAGCTGGGTGATCTCCGGGCAGTCAAATCCGATCCTGTCAGCTTCCTTCAAAAGTTTCACGACGTTCTCGACCTTTCGGAGTTCGCGATCTCGTTCTTCGAGCTCGGCCGCTTTGCTTCCTTTCCGCCACGCCTTCTCATTCTTTCGACGGTTCTGCTGCTTTCGAACGATGTAATTGGTGGCTTCTTCGACCCACTCGTTACACCGATCGACAAAGGTCCGGAGGGTGGGGAGCGACTTCAGTTCGTAGGGGATCCGCTCGCCTTCGTTGAGTAGGGCTCTTAATGTTTTCAGCGACGGGGTGGGGTCTTCTTCGAGCGTCTTCTCTACCTTTTCTTCCCACAGTTCGGGTAATCGTGCCTTATCGGCTACTTTTTGATACATCGCCTCGATGGCCTCGGCCGTGCGACGGTAATGCATGGTGTGGTTCTTGCCGGCATACCGTTGCTCTTCGGGCATGTCGCAGCATTCGTAATTACCCGCATGATAGAGACACATCACCTTGCCGCTCTTGTTGCATTTAAATCTCGAGATATAGGCATAGGCTTTGCAGTACGCGCACTGATACTCTTCCTCGGGCACGTCTTCCTCGTCAATGGTAAAACCGATGTGGCATCGGGGACCGGCGCCTTCGATCACATCGGTAATGACGCATGCGCCTTCGTGAGTCTTGTGCTTCTCCAAGAAGAACTGGCGCTGTGCCGCTGCACGATCCCGTAGGCGCTCGAGGGCCGGAGCCAGCCACTTTGCGGTTTGTATCGTGACCCCATTAGTCGCGGAGCCCTCGGCCGCAGTCCACAACAGCTCGTCGTGGGAGAAGCATGGCTGCCGCCGGAATTGCTGCAGCCGCTCGACTCCGGCATCACCAAACGGTTCCCAGTCGGTGGGTGCGAAATTCACAGCCTCGTTGAAATTGAAGCCGTGATTGAAACCGGCATGATATGCTTTAGGGAAGGTGATGACAAACTGGCCCGCTCTCTGATCCAGGGCGTAGACTCTGACCCCTGCCTTCTTCAGCTGTTCAGGGGTCAACAGCGTGACGAGTTGGAAGAGAAGGTCGGGTTGAGTCTCGAACAACTCCGGCACGGCTTCCCGCATGGCGGCTTCGAACTTCTCGGTATCAGCGCCGGGGATGCCATACCATGTCTTCGTGGATCCGAAGTGCTGGTAATTTGCGGAGTACGCATAGTGATCCTCGTTGTGCCAGCAGAAGGTCGAGAAGATCATACCCACGTAGAGCCAGGGGACGGTCATGCCGGAGATGTCAGACTTGATGTGTCGGAAGAGGGAGGATGGGTGGTAGGGCATGATGTTCAGGTTCCACGGATCGGTCGAGTAAGGATCTTGGGGGTTCTTCTCGATCGTGGGGAAGCCACTGCCGTGGGTAGTGGAATGAATGTCGGCGCCATACTCAACCTCGACGGTCTCTTCCAGGCTTGCGACCAGGCGCCAGAACTCTCTCTCGATGTCATCTTCCGTGACCGGGCGCGGGCAGTTGAGGACGGGATCGAAAGGCATCTTGTTTTGAAAGTAGCCCTCCTTGAAGTCGGCGGCCTTCTCTTGGAACTGTTTGAGCGAGTAGATGCCGCCCTCCTCGAAGCCAAACTGACCGTCGCCAACGAGACACCGGGGGCAGTGCCAGTCATAGTCGGGCTTGTGGGTGACGCGAGGGTCAAGGCAGTACATATGATAGCCATGGTCGCAAGACTCGCAGATCAGAATATTGCCTCGATCGTCGCTCTTCCCGCAATGTTCACACTTCTGATGGGGGTTTGAGCATAGGTTCTCGGGGACAGCAGGAGGCTTGGAATGTTTTCTTACCTCGCCCGGAGTCGACGAACCGCGCTCTCCTGGAATCCGTGGTGGTGTCGGTCGGAACAAGGTCATATGCGAACCAGCGACGGTCGGCACGGCATCTGCAGGTTCAAGCATTAGCCGAGGCTGGGCTCCCGCCAATCGAGATACGAGGAGGGGAGAGACGAGGGCGCCACTAGAGGGGATCCCTGGGACCATCACATCGCGAATCGAATCGCGAGAGGTGGTCTCCCCTTGTAGGAAATAGAGACAAAGAGATAAACTTGGCTACATACCTTTCTTCAGACGCTTGCTACGCCGTCCTCCATTCTCATTCTCATCCGGAGGAGGCTGGCTTGTTTTTCGTGAATCGATACTGTCGTGGCTTAATTGTCGCTTCAACATCGGATTCGAGGTGAAGCCATTAATTACAGGGGCGGAGCTCAGAGCGGAGGGCTTGTACTCGGGGGTAACTTTGGCGGACCGAGGGCTGTCGAAGGGCCGTCGGGGGGGAGGAGTGTATCCATTCTCCTCCCGCTCACGTCGATTCGAACTGACCGGGGTGAAGGTCGCCGGCGCCGAGTTGACGGGTGTGAAGCCACCTGCGTTGACGGGGGTAAATCCCGACGTCACCGGTTGGGGCGGCTGAGGCGTCGGAGTATCGAGCATGGGGATGTTCTTCATGTTCTTCTCGAACTCATCTTTCATGGATGCGTTGAGTGCATCGGTGGCCCGGATGGCCGGCGATTCGCCGCGTAGGCTGGACGGGGTATGCTGATGCGACCTCTTCAAGGGCGAGTTCGCGGGTGAGGGGGTGAGCGGTCCGCCATATTCATATTCTAACTGTTGATGGACGCCGGGCTTTGCCAATCGTAGATACTCCTCATAGGGGAACAGCCAGCGCTGGTAAGAGTTCTTCAGTGATGTGGATAACGAGGACATAATCTTCCCACTGTAGCCTAAATCACGACCAATCTCGGCCCATTTCTTGAGCTTGCAGACCTTCTCGAAGCCTCCTCGGGTCTCGACGGCCTTCTTCAGTTTGTAGAGATCGAGAGGCCGCTTGTCGACACTCGGGAAGCGATTGAGATTGGTCCCATGCTGCTTGTGGAACTTGGCGAGTTGGTCGAGGTAGGTCAGATTTGCACGAGTGCCTGAAACAAGCCCGGGGTCAGTTCTGCGGAATCTCGAAAGGAGCGTTGTCGTAAGGATGGGGCGGGACAGAGGAGATGGAGGATCCAACTTACTCCCTTCAACCGAATTCAGCTCCTGTTTCCGGGTTCGAAAATGGAAGCGCTGGGACTAGTTAGCATCGCGATGGGGGCCGAGGAGTGTAGAGAGCCTTGGAGAGGGCCTCGCGGGAAATGGGATGGTACCTCAGTGTCTATCGCAAAGTCGGGCTTCCACGACTCCGGGGGGATGATCTTGCAGATGCCGTATTGCGAGGCCTCGGGGGCAATCTTCTTCATGTACTCGAAGGGGTCCTTAAATTCCTCCTCGGTCGGTCGGTAGGTCGGGGCCTCTTGCAAGCCGTGAGGGCGGATCCGCTTGCTGGTCTCGCGGCTGGCGGTGGCCTGCCCCCTCCGCTCGACACTGGTCATGTCGAGGGGCGCCGAGTGCATGGCACTGAGGGGGAGCGGCGCGGCGGCAGGATTGTTCGCATTGGTAGGGGCGCCCGACTTGCCTCGACCGGTGTTGGTGTTGGAGTGGGAGCCACGAGCGGGCGAGGCTCGCACGGTGGTGGAGCTCGCGGCCGCGGTGGCCATGGGGACCTGGACCATGGTGAAGGCGGGTGGACGGAGGACGAGGAGGGATGATGGGCGAGTGGGAGAATGGCAGGTCGCGGAGGAGGAGGGATGCTAGATGCTCGACATCGAATGGCGGACGAGGCGAGCAGACGTGGGAGCGTTGGATGCGGGACCCCCCTCGTTACGGGCAGGGCCAATGTGTCGAGGGGGACGGGGGAATCGATTGGGGGGGGATCTGGAGGAGACGATGGAAACGAGCGATGGGAGGTGGATGAGTCGAGATGTGGTGGAGGGTTCGTCGGAGAGGTGGGTGAATGGTGAATGGTGATGTGAAATGTCGATGGAGAGCGGGAGTGGAGAGGGAGAGAAGACGGATGGGCGCCCCGAAGGCTGCGAAGCGTGTGTGCCGTGTGGTCCAGCAGGTCGGCAGGCGCTATGGAAGAACGGTGCCTTGGGTCTCGTCTCTCTACCGATTACTACTCGGTCTGGATCTCCCGTGCACCGGCGGCGCCCCGAATGATGGCGATGATACCTGAAGGGGGATGGGAAGAATAAGATTCACGTATCAAATGGGAGATCAGAGAGAAGTTGTTGTCTCTTTGGCGAACACGTGACCCGTCTCACGTATCAGCCCTCGAAGAAGAAGAAGAAGAAGAAGCCAGAGTCTAAATGAGATATCACGTCCTCCCACAAATGCAGCAGTAGTAGTAATACGGCGTTCCATAAACCCCAAATGTGGATCTGATAGAGACAGGGGGGCACCTCAGCCCAGCACATCGCGGGCCCCACAATTCTATCTCTCGCAGCCAATCACAATGACATGTCGTCCGCAGCGCAGTATCGGGAGATCGATGTGTGTGTGCGACTGATCCGCCGTATTCTTGCTGCTGGGAAGGAAAAGAGGAAAAAGGAAAAAAGATATCTCAAATGATATTAAATTCAAATAAATGCATCAATTCGGAAAAACAAGAGAAAAAGACATGGGGGATAGAAACAATAGAAACTCCGTCATATCGTCGTACTGTCTCGCTCTCCCGTATCATGGTCGCGGAAAAGTGCCACCAATGGACGGATGAACCATCCTGTCATAACAATCCGATCCCTTGGCCTCTCTTCCCGGTCGGCATGACGGCTGATGCTCGCTGACCTAATTTCACGTGGCCACCATACATCCACCTCCACAACACCATCCATATGGTCCAGGTCCCTGATCAACATCGCTCGTCCTGTTACTCCTGTTCTCTCTCCTCCTCCTCCTCCTCTCCCTTCACCCTCAATCCCCAATCCAATGCCGCTGGATCGCCCCATCCCCGCCTTCTACTGCTGCTACCTTCTGAGGTCCACCGTCCGTCGCGCCAACGTATATATCGGCTCAACCCCCAATCCAGGTAAGGCACCCCCCTGCAAGACAACTCTCATGCTCATGCGTCCATAGTCAGGCGCCTCGGTCAACACAATGGCCTGGCCAAGGGCGGCGCCGCCAGGACCAACAGACCCGCCCTGAGGCCCTGGGAGATGGCCTGTATCGTCACCGGCTTCCCCAGCCATATCGCCGCCCTGCAGTTTGAGTGAGTCCCGTCGTGAAGCCCGCATATTGGTCACGTGGAGTGCTATCACGTGCATAGATCTTGCCCCTCTTCTAACTGTTCAACTACCCTTAGATGGGCCTGGCAAAATCCACACGTCACCCAACACATCTCCGATGAATCCCGTATTCAACACGCAACGCAGAAGAAGAGATCAGGACAGCCCAAGCGCCCCCGGCACAGCGTCCTGTCCCTCCTCTCCAACCTGCACCTCCTCCTCCGCTCTCCCTCCTTCTCTCGATGGCCTCTCGAAATTCGCTTCTTCTCCGAAGACGTCTACCAAACCTGGCTGAAGTCTTCGTCAACGGCCGATGAATCAATCCGGGATTCGATACCCGTCATCAGAGATTTTCCACCTGCGTCAGAATTAGGAGGAGAGGACAGTGGGAGTCCACAGATGAAAAGGCGCAAGACTAGTCATGGTATAGCGGCACTGGATGTCGACTACGCAAATCACAAATCGCATGTGGAGAAGGCAAGAGAGGTGATGCAGTTTGAAAGGGAGGGGAGGTGTGCTGTCTGTCGGAACGAGCTTGAACACGATGCCGGCATCTACACGGTCTGCCCGAATGCGGGATGTGAGAGTGTTTCCCATCTCACTTGTCTCAGCAAGCATTTCTTGGAGTCCGACGAGAGCGCGTCGTTAATTCCGATAGCGGGGAAATGTCCAGGCTGTCATGCCGAGTTGCGTTGGGTCGATATCGTGAAAGAATTGACCCTACGAATGAGAGGGCAAAAAGAAGTCGAGAAACTGCTGAAAGGGAAGAGAGTGAGGAAGGCTACTGCTGAATCCTCTTCGCAAGCTATGCTTGAGACATCTGATTCCAATGAGTTTTCGGACGATGAGATCGAGAGCGATATCATGGAGGAGCTGAAGATGTTGCAGAAATTCAACCCGATAGGAAGCAAGATGGATATGGGCGATAGCTGGCATGTTATCGACGCTTCGGATGATTCCGATACACAGTCAATTGCTAGCATAGCATCGCGGACAAAGAAGGACACCTCGTACAAGACCAACCCTGGTGGTTTGGGCGCCGTGATCGAGGACAGCGATTGGGATGATGCAGAGATTCTGGATTGAGACACGGTGAGGCGTTAGTATTGGACAAACAATGATACCCCTTCTATTATACCACATATCATATGGGAAGCCTGATCCCTTTCTACGGCGTTTCTGGAGACGACAGTGATGAGCGGGTACCTGCATCGGCACCCAGCACCTGATCAGTCGCAATACAATCCCAACTCGTCATCAAGGTATGTCCCTGGGTTTCTTCTGGACTTTTAGTCCGTGTTCCTCCTCTTTTGACTCTCATCCCCTCTTGTGGTCTTCAGGCTGGAAATATTGCCTAGTCGATCAAGGCCTCCTGATCACAATAGGAGGGGATTCAGGGAGGACGGTAGTCACGTGGAAGTCCGCAACGGAATAAATGAATATGTCTGCAGCTGATCGTCATGTCACACCCCCGCACTCTCGCGTTGGGCCAATCAGGGATTCTGGATTATTTTCACGCTTTCTATTCTTATCGGCTCCAAGGGTTGTGTACGAAGTTTTATCCTTAACCGATCTGCCCGATCCTTGAGCCTACGTATCTAAGCCGGACGATCAAGACCTGAATATAAAATTATTCTCCACTCAACTGGTCTCTGAAACAACAGTCTTGGCCTTAGTTGAATAAGATGCATGGGAATTACCTTCTACTCGCTCGTTTTCGTTGACCTACTCCGAGGCTACTCGCCCGTCTTCATGTCAGGAACTTCGCGTGGCATGCGGACCGACGGGATCTTGAATTGCTATCTACAGAGGAGTAACCCATCATGGAATTTTGCTTGCTCGATCATCGTAGGGGATAAGTATTTAAAAAGGGAGTTCGCAGCTCAAAATCAGATGTAGGTATGCTAATAATAGTTCTATCCTGCTTTCCGTTCTTGTCACTCTTTTAGATTTCTTAGAGCAGCGGTCGCTCCAATGCTGTCTTCACTCTTTTATCTCCTGCTTCTTCCAAGCGTTTGCTTTGCTTCAGGCACTCCAGTCGTTACTGTAAAGAATGGGTCATATAGTGGTGTGTATAACCCAACGTATAATCAGGATTTCTTTCTAGGCATTCCATATGCTCAGGTAGGTTGGTTACCTCAACACTTGACACTGGTTGACAGTTCACCAGCCTCCGGTCAACGATCTTCGATATCGTGTGCCTCAGTCTTTAAACACATCCTGGAGCACGACAAGGCCTGCCACGGCCTACCCGCCATTCTGTGTTGCCTATGGCGGTGATGATAATGGGGCCCCTCAATCAGAAGATTGTCTATATCTTCAGGTGATCCGACCAAGTGGCATCTCAACCAATGCGGAACTCCCCGTTGCAGTATGGATTCATGGCGGTGGACTCTTCGATGGCGGCTCTAACGACCCACGCTACAATCTCAGTTTCATAGTCCAGAATAGCGTCGAGATGAACAACCCCATGATCGCTGTCAGTGTCCAGTATCGACTTTCTGGGTTTGGATTTCTTGGCGGGAAAGAGGCGGCAGCGGGAGGGGCTACGAATCTGGGGTATCGAGACCAGCGATTGGCGCTCCACTGGATCCAGGAGAATATTGGGGCTTTTGGAGGGGATCCCACAAAGGTCACGATCTGGGGCGAGAGTGCGGGAGCGCAGAGCGTAGGCGTCCACTTGCTTGCTTACAACGGTAATCTTCTCTTCTCATCGGTCGTTCATGCCATGTTCTAACACTCCCAGGTCGCGATGATAAGCTTTTCCGCTCTGCAATCGCTGAATCCGGTGGCCCCTCCAACCTCTTCTTCCCCTTGGACGGAGGTTACAATAGCAGCGCCACGCAAGATGGCTATAACGCCGTCGTCCTCAATACATCCTGTGCCTCGACGCTCTCATCCGGCGACTCCCTCTCATGTCTCCGCGCTCTCCCCTTCGCCGAACTCAACGCCACGCTCAGCACTGCAACCGGAATCGCCTCCTCTTTCGCGCCCGTCATCGACGGCGACCTCATCGCCACGTACCCCTCCCTCCAACTGCGCTCCGGCGCCTTCGTCCCCGTTCCCCTCCTCATCGGCACCAACACCGACGAAGGGACCGGTTTCAGCAACGGCTACGGTCCCAACGGCGGCGGGGTCAACACCGATTCCGAGTTCCTCTCCTTCCTCAACAGCACGAACCTGATCCGGCCCTCCTCGCCCGCCTCCTCCATCATCCCCATCCTCTACCCCAACATCCAAGCCCTCGGCATCCCCTCCCTCGCCACCGATCCCACCCCCCTAACTACATCCTCCCCGCAAGGTCTCCAATTCCGCCGTCTCTCCGCCTACCTCGGAGATACCCTCCTCATCGCCCCTCGTCGCGCCACCTCTCTCGCATGGTCCACGCGCTCCATTCCCTGCTACACGTACCGATTCTCCGTCGTCCCCTCAGGCACGCCCCCTCTCATCGGAGCGACGCATTTCTCCGAAGTCGCCTTCGTATTCAACAACACGCGCGGTCTCGGCTACGACCCCAACCCCTTCCAAAACGCTCCTCCAAGCTTCTTCTCTCTCGCACTCCTGATGAGTCGTGCTTGGGTTTCTTTCATCACGATGAGTGATCCGAATAATCATGGGATTAGCGGGGTCGTGGAATGGCCCGCTTATAATGCGACGGGAGGCGGCGCGGGCAGGAATTTGGTTTTTGACACGCAAGCGCAGGGCGGAGCGCTGGTGGAGTGGGATACTTGGAGGGGGGAAGGTGTCGCTTGGATTGAGAGCAATGCGCTGGGGGTTTATGGGAGGTGATGTATGTGTGTGTGTATGGACTCTGTATTATACTACACTATACTATACTATATTATATCATAAAACTATATATCCATCTACCTCACACAATGAATCATCCAAAACTCAAAATCCAAATTCCAAAATCCAAATCTTCAATCTTGCATATTTATTTTCTAATTAATTGCTCTTCCCCTGCATCTCATCTTATCTCATCTCATTTTCCCAAAAAGACATAAACATATATAAACACCACTCCTTCCTTCCGTCTTTCTTCAAACCAAAATTGAGAGAGCTTATTCACAACCATGGGGTTCATTCATTCATTCATTTATTCCTTCATTCCTAATACACACACGGTACTCACGTAAATAATTTCTCTCTCTCTTAGATGATTTCTATCTATCTATCTATCTCCTTGCTATACGAATCTTACCTCATCCACCCCCCCCCCCCCCTTTCTCTCTTTATAATAGATAGTGCCCCCTTCTTCTTCTTCTTCTTCTTCTTCTTCTTCTTCTTCTTTTACAGGAGGAGAGGGGGGGATCAAGAGATAGATTGATGAATGTGATGGCGCGACTCGCGAGTTGATTGGAAAAAGAGGATTAGGGAGGATGGGAGGATTAGGGGGGGAGGAAGGAAGAGAAAAGGAAAGGGGAGAGGAGTGTATATGGGGAAATGGGTTAAGCTAGACGGTAGGTAAGGTATGTTAATACACCTTTTTTCTTTTTGCAAAGAAAAGAAAAGAAAAGAAAAGAAAAGAAAAGAAAAGAAAGGATAGTAGAGAGGAAGGGGGGGGAGGGGCGTTGATTGGCTGGGTTATAGATATTATAGTAAATAACGATGTAAGGAGAGATAGATCATGGGTCTCTCTCTCTCTCTCTTGAAGAAGAAAGAGTTAAGGTTATTAACTAATAGAACCCAACCCAACCCGTCCATCTGCGCTAGGCTATATATATATATATATAGAATAAAGTGAAGCTGTGATACCTTAGATAGCTCATGAGAAGAGATCCCTCGGTAGGGAAGAGAGGGGAGTTAAAAAGAGTTATTCTTAAGATAGATGATGATGATTTCTGATGGAGAATAGGCGGCTACTGGCATAAGTTGCCTTGAGTGAGCTATGTGGATTTTCTGCTTTTGATTTCTTTCTTTTTTTCTTAGAGGATGCTGATGCTGATACTGATATATGTAATTTCAGAAATCAATAAACTTGATCTTCAAAATCCGCGCTGATGGTTGTTACTACGCTAGTAAATCTATTACATTATCGGGTGACCTCGATTCTCGAGTTATTAGTGCAGAACGTACCTATTTCACACTCGATTACTAGGTCAAAATGGCTATTAATAAAGATAGCAAGCATCTCAATACTGACCTGGATTAGGGCCCAGACTTCGAGGAGCGAATCGTCCATCCCAAAGCCTAGGTATATATAATCGGAGAAAGGTAAGGTAGTAGCGGGTCGGACCACGATGGAGAGGCGAGAGGTGGGTGAAGGACTGACTTACTTACTTGCATAGATCAAATATAACCAACCGCATTAAGGCGATGCTGCATGGATGGATATACTTTGACCGGTTTAGAGAAGTCGACAATTTATCCCACTAGAGATCTGGTTGAAGTGTCCACATCTATTTGCTCCTGATCGTTTAGCGAGCTTTGAAGGTTCTTTGGAACTACCTCTTGGAGGAGTATCGGAACTTTAAAGGAGCTGGAGGTTCTGGTTCATGTGTACCGTCAAGAGCCGAGCAGGGTTTGGGTGAATGGGTAGGAGAATATCCTCGACCATATCATTATGAGCCCCTGAATGTTGTGGTGCCGACGACGGGATGGGTTTAGGAGAGCGGAGGAAAGCGAGTAAGTAGAGGTATTCGACCAAGTATCAGTAAACGAAGATGCATTGGCAGACATCTTGACGTAAAACGCGGCTTCTGTGGCGAAAATCATGACTGGATAGATTGTTACCACCTGTGCAGCTATTGCGCCACTCTTGGCCATTGGCGGTCAACATGTCACAAGCTGTAAGAGTCTTGAGAAGACACGTTGTTTGTGTCAATTTAGGATCGGTATTAAGACCTTGGAGAGGAGAGAAGGTATAGAGCCTTCCTCTATTGCCAGTATTTGTCTATTGGATGACCCTGTGAGTGTTGTCTGTCAGCGGTTAGTTCATAGAGGCAGCACACACATCTTGATGTTTAGGACATTCTGTATCATGGCAGTACATCCATTGTAAACAAAACCAGGAAAAGACGTGTAGAAATGTGTGTAATGTGATATTGCATTGGGGAATTTTCCGTCCAACATCTGGAAAATTACTCTCTCCTCATCTTATGTCGTGAAGTCGTCTCGTTGAAAGGAAAAAGAGTTCGGCCAAGTTTTGCTTTGACAATTTTCCATGAGGAGTTTGTCTCCTGCTTTGCTGGTTGAGCTCCATTTTCAAGAAGCAATTTTACAACCTAGTGATTCCCCCAAATGGGCCAAATCTCAGCAAAGGAAAGAGGAGCTTCCCCATCTTCACTCGGAATATTCGGATCAGCATTCTCCCACGGGAGTAGTGAAACAGATCCAGCCGAGTTTCTCTCCTGCTTTGCTGGTTGAGCTCCATGTTTAAGAAGCAATTTTACAACCTCATGATTCTCCCCTTTCTCAGCAACGGAAAGAGGAGTTTCTCCATCTTCACTCGGAATATTCGGATCAGCATTCTTCGAGAGGAGTAGTGAAACAAATTCAGTCGAGTGCCGAGGACTCGCCGCAACTAGAAGAACAGTTTGACCCTTTTTGTCCGGAATATTAGGATCTGCACCATTGTCGAGAAGTAGTGTTGCTAAAGTGATCAGTGTCTCCTTCGCGGGGTTCTTCGAGGTTGACCAGAATTCCACCTCTTCCAAGGCCTCTCTCAGAGGTGTATAACCCTTATCGTCGTAAATGTTGGGATCTGCTCCGTGTTCAAGCAGAAGACTTGCAATTTGCTCCTCGCCTCTTGAGATAGCCCAGAATAGCGGCGTACGTCCGAAATTATCTGCAACGGATACTTTGGCGCCGTGGTCCAGCAGGTATTCTACTATCCGACGCTGCTGGTTGTAAATTGCAGATAAGAGAAGAGTCTCGGACCCTCCGCCTTTCGAATTTATGTCGACTCCTCTGGAAAGACACTCGACCAGAATCCCCACGGCGTAGCCTTCCTCCCTAGATTTCTCTGACTGCACCGCTGCTCCCAAGCCCGCCCTCAACGAATCTGCCCACCCTTCCTTACTCCAGTCCAAGGATTCGATCTTCCCGAGGAGGAGCCTGAAGAGACCTTCGTTATTGCTTTCAATGGCGGCTTGAATCGCACATTCGCCATGAACTGCAAGATTTGCCCCTTTGCTCAGTAGAAAGAGAGCGGCAGCTTCTTGTCCCGCACGAATGGCGACTTCCAGCGGTGTTGTACTCGAATCGGACCCTTCACAGTCTACGGACTGCCCCTTTTCCAGAAGCACACGTAGCACTTCGACAAGTCCAAAGCGTGCTGCGGCATGGATAGGCAAATCGTTGTACCTACCTTTTTCAAATTTGGCACCATTTTCCAAAAGGAGGACGGCAATCTGCGAGTGAAGTCCACGTATCGCAAGCATAAGAGCCGTTTCTCCAGAAGGGTAATGGTGGTTGATTTCTGCACCTGCGGCAAGTAGAACTTTTACTACTGCCAGATGCCCCCTTTTAGCAGCGAATTCGATGGGCATTTCCCCTGCTTCAGATAAGATTCTGTCTCCGTTGACATCCAATCCTTTTCTTAATAGAAGAGCAACAACTCCGTCGTGGCCGCCCCTCGCAGCAAGATGGACTGCAGATTCGTTTGAACGTTTCAATTTTAAATCTGCCCCGCCTGCTATCAGGAGGTCAACCATTTTCTCATGGCCAGACATCACTGCAACGTGAAGCGGTGTTCTGCGATACTCGTCTCTCTCGTCGCATCTTGCTCCATGGCGAAGGAGTACCTGGCCGATTTCGATGTTTCCATCTTTCGCGGCCTGATGAAGTGGAGTTCCACCCGGACGGCGGTCGTTAACTCTTCCATACCTCGTCGACGAGAAAAGTTTTGATACTGCTTTGAGCTGATAACTTCGATTTACGTCAGCACCAGCCTGCAGTAATGCCTCCACAATCCTGGGATTTCCTTGAGCCGTTGCTCTATGAAGTGCCGTTCCACCAAAATTGTCCATGGCGTCTACTTTAGCTCCATGGTCAAGCAGAAAATAAACGACGGATATGTGGCCCGCTGCTACAGCTTCATGTAGTGCTGTTCCTCCTCGTAGCCTTTCCGTGCGCACTTGAGCTGCCTCTAGGAACCGCATCGCAGCTGAAAGTGTCCCCCACGCAGGGTTGTAGGTTTCACTTGGAATTGTATCAAACGCAGGGCTGTAGGTCTTACTCGGAAATTGCTCAGTAAACAGTTTGATTACGACCTCCAGACGGTATGGCCGATCAATCTCTGCCCCACTTTGTACCAACAGGTCAACAATTGACGCTTTGCCACCTCTGGCTGCTCGATGAAGCGCTGTTCCCCCATATTGATCTTCCACATCGATTTCTATATTTTCTTTCACCAACAATTTGGCCACCTTTTCATGTCCATTTTTGGCAGCCCGATGCAAAGCAGTTCCGCCATATGCCGCATTGTAATTGACATCAGCCTTGTTCTCTAACAATATCTGTACCAGGCTGTCGTATCCATTTTCAGCAGCACGGTGCAATACGGTCCAACCATTCTGGTCTTTCGCGTTTATGTTTGCACCTTCCTTAATAAGGTCCTTCACCATGACTTCGAGATTGAAGTATGCAGCAATCTGTAATGGCGTTACATCACTTGGGAAATGTTGACTATACCCGGCGTAGGTGTATTCTGAGAGATGCATGACTTGAACAGCGCTGGATAGAGACTGGGGTGATTCTAGGAAACACAGAGCAAGCTGCCGTATTGAATCATCTGACTGAACTTCGCGGGCATGGTGTCCCCAGTATCTCGCAGCATATTTCAATAGAGCAAAATCACGGAATCTAGCACCCATTTCATCGTCGTCCTTGCAGTATCCAGTAGCAAAATCATCGAGAGAGAGGTAAGCGAGACAGGTCGCTGCGATAACTTGATGAAGCTCGGGACATTCTTTCTTGATGCGGTCCTCCAGATAGTTTTGCAAAGTTCGGTGAACGAGATGTGTGGTTTTCCGCTTCTCATCCATCCTTACTAATCCAGCACATACATTCAGTAGAACTTCTTCTTCTACCAAACTTCCTTCGATGGACGCAAGCGTCAACTTGCGTGGCTCAGAGGGAAGCGTGACTGGTTGATACTCGAATATGTTTTCAGTAGGAAGATCGTCATGTGGTGATAACGCGTCGTGCATAGCCATGGCATGCTGAAGTTCGGAGATAGATAGTGCCCGAGAGGTAGAGGCTACCCAGAAGAGGACTGCTTTTGCCAATTCGGCATCTTCGTTCTCTTGCTCGAAAATCCTTTTTAGAGCTTCGTCATACGATTTGTTCACTTCTGCGGGAAGTACTTTCAAAGTCGACGATATTCGATTTCGGGTCCGTAGTCGTACAATCGAGTCCATATGAAGTCTTGCAAGCAAAATCATGTCTTTAGCTTTTTCGGATATGGAAGAAATGATCTCCTCTTTCAATGGAGGGTATTGCTGGACTTGATTCATGAGGCGTGGTTCTCTTGGAATGCGCCACTCAATGTATCGGCGGATGTCTTCTTCGCGCGTCTCAACTTCAAACGCCGCATGGTTTCCAAGTTGCCCATCTAGTGTTGGTAGAGGTGGACGGCAGGTGATGAGGAATCTCACCACGCTCGGCAATTTCTCGAGTTCTTTGAGGAAGTCCTTTCTGCTGTCAAGCTCTTTGTACTCATCAAGTGCATCGATGATGATTGTCACTTTGGAGAACAACTCTAGTTGGGTCTGAAGCAATTGAGACCACTCTTGTAGACTTGGCCTGCTTCCTCTCCGGTTGTGTTTATGATAAAATGACACTAGCCGTTCGGGAACTGTTGGCTGGTCGTTGAGAACTTGCCAGAGAATTGCGCAGATAAGATTTTCAGTCGTTTGGAGATGCTGCTTATAGCTGCAGAAAACATATGCAAGCGTCTCCGTCTCACGTTGGATCGATTGTTGAGTTCGATGAATGATGTGTGTGGCAAGGACCGTTTTCCCAACGCCGGGATTTCCGACACACCACAATGTCTTCAGGTCTCCTCTTTCCCACCTCTTGAATTCTTCCGAGCCAGTGAGTCGAGCGCATGAACTTGATTCGTAATTGTCTTCATGCTCCAATTGGAATTTGAGCGGCGAGAGCCAATCCATGATCTCGAGAGACGCTTTCTCTTTCCGAAGAGCATCTTGGTCCAGACGATTTTGTGTTATTCCACTCTTTATCTCGTCAATGCCATCTTTCAAATAGGAAACATCGTCTTTGATCTCTTGCGCCAGCCTTGCTTGGTCATTCCCCATAGCAAGAAGTATGAGGGATTTCTGTCTTTCTGTTCTCCTCAGCAACGCTTCGATATCATTTTTCTGGAATGGCCAAGAAACGCTTTTTCCAAGCTTCTTCAATCCGGCGACCGGACATATCTTGGAATGTAGATACTCCAAATCCTTTTTCAGCTGTGCCAGCGGACCACGCTCCCCATCCAGAAGACTCGTGACACCTTTCTGTAGCTCATTGCTCTTCACGTACCCATCGAGGTTGAAAAACAGACCGCTCAGATAGAAGACCTCGTCCCGGATTGATGAGCGCTCTTTGTCTGCACCTTTGATATCGCGAATGCCTTGGATTAATTGTTGAGTTAGAGCCAAAAGGCCAGCAACACTGGCGGAAATGCTGAGTGGATCCATGGATGAGCCCTTGTCACTTATAGCTTCCCAAAACAGCCTCTTTGTTGTACTAAGATGGATGCTGAGGATGCCAACTACTCAAGTTGCTGTGAAGAGACCAACAACTTGCTGATCATGCGACAAAGGCATTTGGAGATAAATGCCACAATGCACGAGAAGGCACGCCTCTCCTGCGAAGATTGAGGTCGCTCCATCTCGCCATAAGGCTGTGAAGATCTGCGGCCAGCGCATCGTTTTCAATATCCCACTTTCGCTTGCTTTCTATAGCCGTACAACAGCGTCAGGTGCAATGTTTTTGGGGCTTTATTCGTAACATAACATATGTAGTTTTATAGGCTTTTTGCAATGAAAGATTTGTAAAGCTCTTATTGACAAGCATTTGTTGAAATAAGCTTCGTATCACGTGACCCTATCGGTTGGGATTCCGGTAAAGCAATTACCTACCTTACCTACCTACCTAGGTAGGTAGGTAGGTACCTGAGCTCATTGTGTGCTATTAAGAAGAGATTATATAATAGTCAACTCATCCTAGCAGAAGGAGATTCATTCAAGCTCAGCTACTCCTTTATCTGACCCTAACTTGCTGTTTACTCTACTACCTACATCATTTGATTCATTTCCCATTAATTGTCGCTACTTATCAATTACCACGAATTGAACTGGTTGTGATGATTCTTAAGGACAAGGCTTCTGTCTAATGAAGTGATGTGCAGTGTCCGGATTCTGAATCCAAATATTGCTTATTTATTCATCTATTTCTTATTTCTATTTTCATTTCTGGGACTCTCCTCCCTATTTCCGGTTCCCCCCCCCCAAAAAACCACATCCGCATTCGTATCACTATCCACATTCCTCATTCCTCATTCCTCAATCCCCACCAATGCAGCACATTCTTTCCCTTCCCCCACACCCCCTACCACCACTCAAAATCCATAAAGCCAGAAAGACAAAATCGTCAAACAAAGGCAGATGTATGAATCCAGACTGGTCTTTCTATGGAATGCGAGGCTTTTCGCTAGTTAGTTGGCTTTATATCCCTATATAATGGCGGCGAATCCGGATGCGGACTTGGATCTCTTTGTGCTGAGTAGACAGACGGACGCGAGCGGGATTTTGGGATTTGGATTTGGATTCGGAAGATGGAAGGGGGGTACTTTTCTTTGATTTTGATTTCTGAGTTTGGTTGGGTTTGGGGTTCTTTGTTGGGAGGGGAGGTGTATAGAAGATGAGGAAGATGAAGTTGAGGGAGGGGATGTTGGAGGAAGGAAAAGAGATATTGAGATTTTTTGAGATTTGATTATTATTCTGTTTTGTCTTGAAGAGAAATAAGAAAAGCGAAAAAGGAAAGAAAGAGAGAAAGATATCAGAATGGTCTCCCCATCCGCATCACCTGAAGAGCGACAAGAATGGTATGACGCCCATCCCTCAAGCGCAGATATCCCAACCTTCCTGCTCGGTCTGCGGGCTAAAGAACTCGAAATCCCATCCCTGAACAAGACCTTCCAACAGCGGTGCAAAGAAGGCGGGATCTGGGAATCACCGCAGCCTGGTAAGCGGGGTGAGGTTGAGGATGTGTATGAGAGGGTAGCGAATCAGATAGTGGAGGATTGGAGGGCGACATGCGAGGAGAGGGGGGTGCCCATCATGTGGGTTAGGGAGTGGTTGAGAGTGATGGTGGAGTGGTCCGTGGAGGATGAGGGCATGAGGGATTGGTGGGAGCCAGATGAGAGTGCAAGGGTGTTTAAACCTGGTATTTTCCCGCTCTATCACATGACGTTCGTGTTGACGGTGGACGGCAGGGAGAAGATTGAGATAGTAGCATCGAGATGTTTGCCATCAGGGATGCATGGCGATCATCCGAGTGCGTATAGGCTCGACTTCTTCAAAATGGAGATTGAGGAGATGCTGCGGGAGCGGGGGATCGATTCAGAGGGCAACTTGTGGTGGCTTAGGAATGGGAAGGTCTGTGTCATCGAGGGGCAACATGATTTTGAACTTGCGATTGTGTATCTTTATAATTCGCGTGCGAGCGGCTGGGCGCTGCATTTCTCGCTCGGGCGTGAGGGTACCGGTCCTGGAGTCAGGGGCCCGGTTTCTGAAGCATTGAATAATCTGACTGGGAAAGGGAAGGGGAAAGAGAGAGCTACGGAGTTTGAGATCGAGTTTGGCGCCGATCAGATTCGTCAGGCTGAAGAGTATCCAGCAGGAGATGCAGGATTCACGGACACTGGTATAGGCGGATTCGAGGACGCCCTTGACGACACGGAAACAAACATTGATGATACCATCAGAACAACCTGGAACTGGGGCCGTGATGCTCTCAGCGGAAGCCATAGGGCAGAACAGCGTGTTCAGGCTGCAAAGAAGAAAGAGCACGAGAAGGAACAGGGAGAATCAAGACAGAGACTCTCCAGCTTTCAACGCTCTCTCCTAGGGGGCTCGAGCAAACCGGTAGCTTTAACAACATCCAAGAACATCTCGTCGAACCAAGTCAGAAGTCACAATATCCCACTTGGTAGCACATCCAGTGTTACAGCGTATAAGATGTCTAATAAAGAACGCAAGGAAAAGGTTTTGCAGGTGCGGACACACTTCCTCGCGTCTGAGATGCCGGGCTGGCAAGCTGCTGAGGAGGCTCTGATTGCGACGAGGGGTGATGTGGATCAAGCTTTGATCCGCCTTGGTGGTAAGCCAAAAGAGACTTCGTTACGTTCAGCTCCCGAGTCGAATACCCAGAAGGCAGGAAAGCAGCATAGGGCCACAGCGTCTCAGCCGAATGCCTCAAGGTCCGGAAGTAACTTTCAACGGAACAAAGAACCCGAGCCAAATATCGCAACTCAAGCGCTCGCTGGACCCTCAAAATATGGTGCTCCGGGTAGGAGTTTCCCGCAGAGAGTGCAAGAAGCTCCGCAAGCTGCAGGAAAGCGGATTTCGCTGAGCCGTCCTGCTCCAAGACATGATACTGGAGCCGGGACAAAGAAGAGTCCTCTGCCAAAGCCGGCCAACGAATCAAAGAAGGGTCTGCCAAAGCCGGCCAAGGAACCAATGCCTGTAATAACAAAGATCATTGTCTATACATCGGGAGGCAATAGGGATGATGCTTTCGACCCATTGGAGACTATCCAGAAGCCGGATCAGGATATAGAATCGGATGAGAATGAGGAAGGCGATCGTCCAGTGAAAAAGCCAAAAGACGCAATTTCTTTGTATGCCCCATCTCATTCGAGGAACGCTTGTAGACGCTAATTTTTACATAGGCTTAAAGAGCTACAGAACACCAAAGAACTGACTCAACTAGCGGGGCCAGGCGAGGACGAGTCGGATTCGCAGAGGTGGCTTGATTGCTGTCGATTATTTCAGATCGACCCCAACAACACAGGCAAGAAAGAGCGGGTCCGCGTCGTGGGCTTGAAACGGCCACTCTTCCAATACCAGGCTTTTGCTGTATACTGGCAGATGCTTACCAGTCGAAAGTTCGGAGGTGGCTTCGTAGCAGATATGCCGGGCCTGGGGAAGACTCTCACCTTCCTCGCTCTCCTAGTCGTCGAGCGCCAGCTCTGCATCCTCTGGAATGAAGTCAATCGCTCACGAGGGGCAAAAGACGGGAAGCACCTCCCTGCCACCGGCCAATTCGAAGACGATGTCTGCCCATCCCAGAGAGAGAGACCAGGTTGGATCGCGTGCCCCTGCACATCCTCCAGCCCAACCTCGCGAATGCAGGCGAAGCCCGGCGTCCGCATCGCAATCGTTCCAGTCTCTCTGATGTCAAATTGGCGCGAGCAGTGGAAGGAGCACATTGATGACAGCCGGGAAGATCTCGCTATGCAGCTCCTGCTCGCGCATCAAGAAAGTGTGGCTTACCGGACAGATACGAGCCAGATGGCCGATTTCGCGGCGAATGTCTCTGCACTGAGAGCGAACAAGGTTGTCAAGGCGCCTGATTCGGCACGGGAGGGCCAGGAGAGATTCCTTGTTCTCACAACAGCTAAGGCTTATGATGCGTGGATCGATAAATTTAAATATGGAGGTCCACGTACAACAGTGGTGATTCCGGAGCTGAACGTCTTGAGGACCAAGTTTATGTGGGCGAGGGGAGGTTTTAAGTATAATATCCAATTCGGTATTGCGTGTGTAGATGAATCGCATGAAGAGTACACCATCAATAAAGGAAGAGCCGGCGTACTTGCCCGTTTGCCTGGAAACCCTTGGTGCTGGGGCTATTCCGGTACGCCATTCGACAAGAGCCCGCGCTGCCTTGAGGGGGTCCTCTATGCTCTGGAAAAACAAGCCATAAAGACCGATCAGCAATCACTGGCTTCCGGATGGGCACAGAACGAAGAGCTCAAGCCTTTCAAACGCGAGGTGTTCGATAGGTTGTGTAAAGACTTCGAGCATTACGTCAGATTCAGGACCAGCAATGCAGATGCGCTCGACGGCTTCGTAAAGAAGTTTTCCCTGTTCATATCAACATTCATGATCAGACGTACAACCGAAACCCAGTGGTTTGGCCATTCTCTCGTGGCTCTGAAGCCTAGTTTTCACAGAGACATAGTCTTCGCACACAATGAAGAATACGACGAGGAGATCAAGGCACTGACCCCTGAGATTGAAGCTGATATCGCAGACAGGCTACAAAAACTCCAAGCATTGTGGGATAATACAATAGAAAGCAAGCGCACACCTGAGCGACCAACAGTCTTGGGGTTTAACAACAGCATCCACGCACAATACAAGTTGAGAATCTTGGCAACGGCTCCGGCGCTCATACGCTTAACGACAGGTGAAAATGCTCTGACTCTGAAGACGGATGAATTGAAGCAGTGGCGAAGCCACCTCATGCTTTCTCCGTATGAGGGTCATATTGACGATATCTTCTTTAGCAGCCCCAAACTTTTGTATCTCGCTGATTTAATCGAGGAATTGGATCGACATAAAGATATGGAAGGAAGGGAGGAGAAGATGATCATAGTGACCAATTTCAACTGCATCGCATTTATTGTAAAATTGGTAAGCTTGGCATCCAATCACCCACCACAGATAGTATCAATGCTGATTGATTTGTAGATGTTTGACTACTTGTTCCCTCTCAAGCGAGGACGAGTCGCTCTCTTACACGCAGAGATGAGCACCCGCGCCCGCACCACCATGCTCGAAGCATTCACAGACGCCACCACCGAGGGTAAACGCGGCGTCCCTATCCGTAAGCAGAAAAAGAACTATCAATACCTGATCGGCACAACACCGCTCCTAAGCAAAGGCTTGCAGTTGACGCGCGCCAGCACCCTCGTCCTCATGGAGCCGGACCACGAGTTCTTCCGAGAGCTGCAGGGCTACGCGCGCATCAATCGTATCGGGCAGAAGAATCCTGAGACCTACACGTACAGACTCATAGATGAGGGGAGTGAGATCGAAATGAGCATTCTGAAGAGGCAGGCGGAGAGGGGCGAGTTCCCGGGGCAGTTCAGGCAACAACATGTCTGGGAACGGCGCAGTGCTCCGGATGATGAAGAACCTATTAGCGAGTCAGAAGTGACAGAGTATCCATATAGTCACAGTGGAGGTGAGACGTCTGGACAGAAGTTGGCGGGGCATGAACCGAGTGTTAGGAGAAAATCTGGACTGTCGGATCTGAGGAGTGCATCGGATTCTGGAGAGAGCCGTTAGGATTCAGCATCTTGGGATGGGAATACGGTTATTTCTGCAATTTTGGTTAACGGGAGTAATGATTTTGGGACTGTTGATGTTGTTGTTGTTATTGACATTGTAGTAATGTAAGGTAGAAGCAGAAGTCGCAACTTTCAGACACGTAAAAGGGGTTTGCTCGCTTAATCTATTCAATAAGAAATGCTTACCTACACAATCACGTGTAGAACGTTCCACGTGATTCTCAACTTCTGGGCAACAAGTCTTTGTCAACATACCTACATAGTAGAAGGCCCAAACTGGATGGTTATTAGAGGTCAAGTCATAGAAAAATCAAAATCCAATCCTAGTATCTACCAAAGGTAAACTAAACTTCGCTGGTTTTCGAACTGGTCCACTGACAATCAGAAACCCTGGATTGACGATATACCGGCAGTTAGGTATGTGCGTCGTCACTCAGACTCACTCTACAATTTTGGGATCACAACGCGAATGTTATAGAACCATATATAATGATTCGTAGGCGTTTTAAGAAAGCTGCCTAGGAAAGAGAGCTGTGGTATCGCACTTCGGCGTAGTGAGCTCAGCTGCTGGGCATTTTGATACTATTTCAGATGCGTACACAACCTCAGTTGGGGGCTGGCTTTCACTCAGCAGACACACTGCAAGTGTACCTGAACAGATCATAAAGCCTTTAGCTAAACAACTATAGATGTCGTCTCAACTACATCAATTTGTCCTTCTTATAAATCGTGGACGTCGTCTATTGTCAAATAATTAAGGTTATATCACAGTATAAAGGGAGGATATAACAGGCGAATTTAGGTGTTTTTAGTAGTGTAACAAGTAGATTAAATTAAATTAAATAGAATAGAGGGTAGTCCCCTACTCTATATACTTAAAAAAGGGGTTACTATTTATATGTATAAGCGCTATATCTACTATAAACAAGGTATATAGGTACCTAAGTGCCTAAATCCTAATAACACTATAAACTATTAAAAACAAGGTATAAGAGATTAATCCTTATATATTAATTAAGGATTAGTTAGTAATTAGGGGAACGTGTTTTATAACCTAGTAATTAATCTTACTATTTAATATACCTCTTTAAGGATTAAGCTAATTCTAGACTTAACTAGAGAGCTAAGTACTAGTATAGCTCTCTCTCTAGCTCTCTCTCTAATTAGGTAATAATAAAGCTATTCCTATACCTAAAGGTATACTAGTACTTACTAGTATAGCTCTCTCTATAAGTAGAAAGTTAAAGAATTAAGGAAAGTACGTAATAGTAAGTACTTAATTAAGAGAGGCTTAACGTTTAAGTCTTAAAGCTCTTTAAAGAAGAACTTTAAGGACTCTTAGTACTCTAAGTAGTAAGACATGTTAAGTAATAAGGTCGAGTAAGTAGTAGAAATAAAGTATATAACTATTAAAATAGTTAAGTCTTTAAGAAAAAAGAAGTAGACTTTCTAAATAAGAAATAAAGTACAAAAAGTAGACTTCTTAAATAGAAAATCAAGCTTAAGATAAGAACTAGATCCTAGAACAGGTCTTATTTTTCTTACTTAATCGTTTAAGTAAGAATTGCCTTTAGACTAGCGTAAAAGCTAGTCCTAGCTATTTAGTAGTTAAATAAAAGGGTTTCTTACTAAAATAAAGGGTGTTTAACTACCCTAATCTATAGGCTAGCTATCGTTTAGGTTTAGAGTCTTAATATCTACTAGATTAAGTAATTTAATAAATTTAAAGTGTTTCTAGTATAGTAAGGCCTTAGTTAGCCTATCTACTAGTATATTATTAGTTAATAGCTACTAGAGGTTAAGTCTCTCTTTAGTTACTTCTTAGCGTAGCTAGTATTAGTAGATATCTATATACTTAAGCTTAGTAACTAGACGTAAGGTTCTTAGTTATATAAGTTAAATAGTTTAGGTATTATTTATATTAATAGTAAACTTCTTATATAATTTTAATAAGATCTTAGTAAAGAGGCGTCTTTACTAGTAGAGATCTTTAGTAGCGTAAGATAAGGCTAAAAGCTTAGCCTCTATACTTAATGTAGTAACTATCTTTTACTTAGAGGATTTCTAATTAATAAGGCCTTTAAATAAGTAAAACACATATCTCTCTATACTTCTTCTAGTTTCTAGGTCGTTAGTATACACTATATTACTAGTGTAAGAGAACGCCTGTTCTAATCTATTATTACTTCTAAATTAGATTCTAAGAAACTAGGTTTTATAGAGGTATTAAATAACTCTTTTTATAGTATACTAATAATTAAAAGAAAGGTTTAAAAAAAACTTAAAGAGCTTATTAGCTACTTTAATAGCGTTAGGTCTAGTAATAATAGTTATATATAAAATTAAGCCTACTTTCCTCTAGTAACTATAGATCTTCTAAGAAGAGGCCTAGCTAGAGTTTAGGACTAACTCTATAGTTAACATAAGTATTAAAAGAACGTTCTTTTCTTTTACCTTTAGATAAAAGGTTAAGGTAATTAACTTAATATAAGAGTCTTAACTTAACTATATCTACTTAGTAGTTCTGTCTCTAGTTACTCTAATACTTAAGAACTACTTTAATTCTCTTATATTACGTATCTTATAGCTATTAAACAAGCTTTGTTTAAAGGTTTAAAAGTATTATTAATCTTTCTTCTTTACTAAGATAGTAATATTATCTATATAAAAGAAGACAATAAGGTATTTATTTATATAAAGACACTCGGCCTCTAGGACTAGATATAGGCTAAACTTAGCTAGTGTTTTAGTAAAGTAGGTATACTATAAGAAAGAGAAATAGTGTAGCTTATAAAGAGCTTTAAAAAAGAGAAAAACATACTTTAGGTTATTAAAACCTTTAAGATATTTAATATAGATAGTCTTGTCTATATTACTATTAGTAAAGGCATTTATAGTATTAAGCTAGTAGATCTTTAGATTAAAGTAATAGGCTATTACTATTAAGTCTCTAAAAACCTATAACGCTAGAGTAGTAGTATAGTTATCTTAGCTAGTAAGATATTAAAGATTACTCTTAACTATAAGTCTAGCCTTAAATTTATTAAGAAAGCTGTCTATATTAAATTTATATATAAATACTTACTAGACAAGGATTATATTTACTTTAGATATACTCTTAAGTATAGTCTTAAAGGTCTTACGTCTAGTAAGATCCTTATATTCCTTTAATACTACTACTATAAACTCTTCTTAATATAGATAAGTTTAAACCTCTTTCTAGTGTTTAGAAGTAAGTAGAAGTTTAGTCTTATATAGCCTTCTTTTAGTATATTCTATACTTACTTAAAAGGTAGTATAGAATCTACTATAGGCTTTAATTTACTTTATTTAAATAGTATAAGTCTTATACCTGTCTTATTAATTCTGTATTCTTATTAGAAGGATATTTACTAGATTTAGGCTAGTAGAATTAGAGCTACGCCTACGTTATTAATTCCTTAGTCTAGGCTAGTGTGTTTTCTCTTTTAGCTCTTCTCTTATAATAGTTATCTCTTTGTCTTCTTTAGTTATAGCCTTATTTATATCCCTAGTTATGATTTTAGTTAAGTTAACGTTTAGAAAAGGATTTATATATATAAAAGAAGTTATTAGAACAAGTAATACTCTTAGTGTTAAAAGAGGATTAGTAACAGGATTATTAATAGAATTATTAGTAGAATCTACTAATAGATTAATAGTAGTTTTAGTAATAGTATTAGTTGTTATTAAAGAAGTTATTATTATTATTATTTAGACAGGATTTATTAAATATATTAGTTCTATAGCTAGTAAGTTAAGTAACGTTCCTTTCTTAACAAGATTAAAAAGATCGTCTTCTTCTTTAATTTACTAGTTATATTTACTAATTACTAGTATTTTAATAGCTTTAATTACTTCTTTAGTAGTGTCTTATTTATCTTAAGGCTAATACCTTTAGGATTTATTAAATGTAATATCTCTAGCTAATATTACCTTGTTTTTAGCTAGAATCTAGACCTTAAATATATTAGTAGAGTTATATTCTACTAAGTATCTAATAAAAGCTCTTAGTTCTAGCTTATCTAAGCGTACTATGTTTTTAATTAAGGCGTAGACTTTATAGCTAAAGGTACAAAGGTAAGAGAGGTTTAGTTTAGAGTAGTAAAGACACTTATATAGTGTTTTCTAGCCTAAAGAGGTAATAAAAGATCTGTTTACTAGGTATTTAGCTGTTTTTATTAGTTTAGGCTATAGCTTTAATAGTAAGTTAGATCTTATTTTTAGTACTCTTACTCTACTAAGGAGTACCTCTCTAGATCTTTTAATTAGCCTATTTTAGGCTACTATATATAGTACTAATTATTTAGTAATAAAGCCTTTTACCTTTACCTAATTATTAAAATCCTTCTTAAGAGACGTTTCTTTATTAAGCTTAATCTAGTAGACTTTAGCGTTAAAGTGTCTTTTAATTAAAGAAACAAAGTGTTATATAGTAGCTAAAGAGCCTTGTTTAGTTATAAGGATATATATAAAGCTTATTCTAGTAAGATCGTTAAGAAAGTAAAAGATATATACCTCTTTAGAGTCTATTAAGTATATTTAAATAAGATCTAAGTAGATCCTAGTAAACGGTTTGTTTATACGCTTAATAAGAGCTCTAGATATAATCTATTTAGTGTTTACTAGATAGTAAACCTTATATAGTAGGATTAAGTACTAATCCTTAAGTACTAGCTTAACTCTTTTAGTACTAGTAGCTAGGCGTTAGATTACCTTTATATATAAGTACCTTATTTGTTTGTACTAGAGCTCTACTAACGCTTTTAATAGTACTCTTAGTAGGTATAAGTTAGCTAGAAAGGCCGCTAAAACATCTATTAATTTAATAGTTAATACAACTATTACTACTAGTTATAGCTTATATTTAATTAGTTTAGGTATAGAAACAGATATAAAAACAAATATAAAGACAATAGGTATAAGGGTAACAATAGTAAAAACAGCTAAACTAAAAGTACTCTTAATAAAAAAAGGTTCTTAAATAGTTAAAAAGGTAGATCTAGTTATAGTACTATTATATTCTAACACTTATTAGTTAAACTTAACTAAGGTATAACAAAAGGTATTGTTTTAATAAGTAAGTGTTAAGGACTTAAAGAGATAAGATTAGAAATATACAGGCCTTAC